AATTAATAACTGAATTGATTAATGAAATTAGTTAAACTGACATTTGTGATCAGAACCATTGGTGAAGAATAATTCTGTTTAATGTAGACTAAGAAATCATGAAGAACATTTTTATTGAATGTGACCCTAACAGTAAATAAAAAAAAAAACTTTAATAAGTTGACAAGGAATGCATGTTATATCCAAATAACTATCGCAGCACTGCAGACCTCAAGTACAAATCAATTACTGTCTAATAAATAGTACCAGGATATTAAAGGGGGATGGGGGGGGTTAATTAAATAATCATAAAAAGACAAGATTGCCCTAAAACCGTACAATTTAGTGACATTTAATTTTTTAATGTAGGCGATGTAAGCATTTTCTGATATAGCCATAGCAGAGTCACACTATGTTCCGGTTCCACCAGAGTAATACCATATCTGAACAGAAACTTACTGCCCGCTTCCTACTTCGCTAAGTGTCGTGGGTTCGATCCCCAAATGGGACAATCAATACTTTATGTGTTCCACAAACTGTTGTTCTGAGTCTGGGTGTTCTTTCTGTCCGTTTCATGTATGTTTGTAAAGATCCCCGCTACACAAGACATATTCCTACTGCGGGAATTACCTTTTAGAGTGAGGTTACCGGGAAACCTTACTTCCTTCCCCACCCCCTCTAATTGGGAGGGAGGAGGTAATCGAAGGCTGGCAACGCACTTGTGACTCTTGAGTTGCAGGTGGCAATGGACGGCTGTGGTCCTCCTAAAGTAGGGCACTTGAGGCCTGCCGTCGAGGTGGTTTTCAGTGAATCAACAGATACTCCTGGCTCCGAGTCCTCAAAGAGAAGAAAATCCGAATTGATTTTGACCCGCGTCAACAAAAAAAAAGTCACTTACCAAGAGGTGACCTGCTTGATTAACCTCAGACTATAAGGAACATGGTAACGAATACTGAAATAGTGTATTCAGAACATCATTCGAGTCGTGAGTCGAAAATCATTGGAATTTTCTGCCTTGAATGATTTTCAGTATTCATGACGACGTCCCTTACACCCTTTATAACAATACCAATAAATTAATCACGGTGACTAAGGAAAATGTAGCTGATTTTGTGGTTACTCATAATTAAAACTCTTTTCCTGTTGACACAATATTATCCAAATTTAACAGGTTAGCCTGGTTAATGAGGATCTGTTGTTACTTGTTCATTGTTTTTTCCTTTACACAAATGTGAAAAGTACCTATAACAATAAGTACCAAAAAATAAAAAACCGGTCAGGTACGAGTCGAACTCGTGAGTCGAGGGTTCCGTACCTACCCAGCTTTTCACGTCTGGAAACCTCCTCGCGCGTAAAACATCTGTCACTATCGGCCATGGAACCTATGACGACCGGTAGCGAGAGATCTCTTCCAATGACTGCAATGAGGACCCAACGGCGCGACGCCCAGGCCGGGTAAATTGCCAGCGTGTGCTAAGCCGAGTCCTCAATGCAATCGCAATGGTGACAGGCGGGACGCAATTCCCTCCTAGCAACCGAGTGCAGGTACTTCCCGAAGCAGCCGTGCCCGGAAAGAACCTGCAAATTGCCCTGTACTAACCCTTCTGGACAGCGTAGTACCTATAGTAAGCCAAAATCTCTTTTCTAAGGAGAGGCCTATGTCCAGCAGTTGACTGTGAAAGGCTGCTGTTGATGTTGATGATAATGGTTTTCTGGGAGGCCGTGGTCACTCCGATCGGATTAGCCCATGGCCCAAAGTAAAGCTCTTTTTTCTTCTTCTCCTTTTGAGAAACGCAGCTCTAAGAATAGCTGATAATGTTTTAACCACCCATAGTTCCATTCATAAACTATTCACACATGAGGTTGTACGAGTTAGGAAGGTTAAGAAGGCGAATTATTTACTCAAGAGATATATACGACGATATAAATATATGTACCTACAGTAAACACCAAACTGCGTTTACTTAGCACCATTCTCTTATCTTAAACAAAGCATTTTCTTTATCTTTTATTCGGTATTGGAATAAGCATTTGTCTTCCAAGTAATCTAATTTAAAATGACGATGAAAACACCCAGTTTTAAAACGACAACCATAATGTATCATGTTACAAACAGAAATTTGTCACACTTGTGACAAGTGTGTTGGCGCTCTTTGTGTACCCACCTCGGAACTAGTGGGGGGAGGGGTTGAATCTCCTGGAACCTCACTCACTCGATGAAAAGTAACGAAAGATTACTTTAACACCGGTTTTCTGGGAGGCCGTGGTATCACTCCGGTTGAGCCAGCCCTTTTTTTACCTAGCCTGGCTCTCCCACGACAAATAATATACAAATTTGCAAATTAAAGGCAAGAGAATAGTCTGCTTTATATCTTTATATAAATTATAGTTTAAAAAACTAGGGTTGTATCAAATCCCCTATTCATCGTAAGAGCCGACTAAGTGAGTAAACTACGCAGGACAAAAGCACTGCAAAGAGAATGAAAACTTAACACAAACCCTATCGCCAGCGTGGTATAGTAGGCCAAAATCGCCTTTCTAAGGAGAGGCCTATGTCCAGCAGTGTAATGGCTGTTGGTGTGTGTATGAGACGACGATGACTACAATATGCGAAAGGCACTTCAGAGGCTTGTGATAAGTTTTCTCCACGCGTTCTTTAAATTAGGTAGATAATAATAACGCTACATATTATCTTATCTTATAAAAGTAATAAGGTGGTTAACAGATAAAAAGATACAGGTTGTGTGATTTGTTATATTTTAAAAACATTATAATAATAACCTAACACATCTCACAGGTCCGTGTGGTGACGGATTAAGAATACAGAGTGTCACCACCCCTATTGATCCCGTGGGTGTCGTAAGAGCCGACTAAGGGAGCAAACTACGTAGAACAACAACACTATAGAGAGAAGGAAAACTTGACACAAACCCTATACCAACCCGTCTGGCCAGCGTTGTATAGTAGGCCAAAACCTCCTTTCTAAGGAGAGGCTTATGTACAGCAGTGGACTGTTAAAGGCTGTTGATGATGATGACATCTCACATACTCCTAATCCTGATCCCAGACTAGGCAGAGCCCATTTTATGGTAAACAGACTGCTGATTAACATACTTATGTATTTCTAAATACATATCTTTACATATATAAAGTCGCTTTTCTGTGATTTAAGCTTAGATCTTTAGAACGAAGGCTTTGAATGCGGTTTTCACTAATAGAGAGATGTGTGTGTGAGAGAGTGTGAGACTAATGAGAGTGATTCAAGAGGAAGTTTTATATGTATAATACATGCATATTATAGTAGAGAAAGTCCGAGAATTTCAAAGATTTGTCGTAAAAACATGGTTTTGTACGCTTACTTTGCAAACTGGCTAAGCCTTACGAGGTAGACCAAAATAATGTACTACGGAATTGTATATCTTAAAAAGATCTACGAAAATGTCATGTCACAATGAAAAGTCAGCGATGGTACTCGTATATGCCTATCTCCTGAAGACATAGTCGTCATTTTTATCTTTTAAATATAACAAAAAATAAGGGGTTATTTACGAAGCTATTTTAAACAATACATTATTATTCCTTATCCAATTAAATACGTTAGATACGTTGTGCATTTAATGTAGAATAAAAATGCTCTTTGCAACATATCATCAAAATGAATATTTTAGAAGATATTAGAGATTTAAAATGGGCCCAACGACCGTCGAGCCATACGTCCGTCCCGGGTGGCAGCAGCCGTCAGGATCGGAATTCGGAGCGGGCCTATAAATATTGCATTCAAAAATGTCCTGTAGTATAGTCCTATCATAATAATAGTATAATTAATTACTCCACATTGACACCACATTGGTAGTATTAGTAGTATCTACATTGTATTCGTGCGAAGCCACGGCGGATCGCTAGTCTATACATATAGAAATGTTAAGTTGGTTTGTAATAGTTTGTATACGCTTCCAAATCTTAAAAACATATCTACCGATTGAACTTAAATTCTAACACGATATACAACCCGCTTCAAAGATTGGTTTTATTTATTTTTTTCGTTAGTTTGGTGCCTAATTTCTCAACAATGCAACCAGAGCCATCACAGCTGAGATTAGCAGGGTACAGTTACTATATCATAGATAAATTACATCCAGACACAAAACAGTTAATCACGCTCATCACACAATTATTTGTCAACTGGTAATCGAACCTAAGACCTCTGACTTAGCAGGATCAGAAACCATTACATCTACAGGCCCATCAAGTATTCACATAAACTGGTATCTGAATAAAACGTTATTTAAGCTACTGCAATCGCAGTCTCTATTTTTCCGTCCATAACTTACGAAAGATTATCTCCCTGAAGAAAAATAAATCTATATTGTAAATTATGTGAACGAGAGTTTGTTTGTTTGTTACCCTTTGACGCCTAAACCAATAAACCGATTTAAAAAAATCTTTCAGAATTCGAGTAACATAGGCTATTTTTTATTGCGGTAACCGATATACACGTGGGCGGAGCCACGGACAAAAGCTAGTATTGAAAAAAAAATTTAAAACGATTTCTAACCAACATGTGGTTTACTTGTTCCAGGTAATAAACATACTTTTACAAAGGTTAGTCTTTCCTGATAATGTAAAATTTTGTCAAAAAATTTACTAATATTTAATTTAGCCCTACCCAAGGAACAGTTTTCTAACTGCTGAAATTAAACCCGTCTTTATAAAAAGCCATTTATTTTACTTCCTTAAAATAGTCTAATTATACAAATTTGCCTTGACGCCATATTTACGTTTATACCGTAATAAATTCGGTATAAGAGCGTACTACAATATTTATTCGTACTGTTGCTCATCATACCATTCAGTGTAAATGTAAGTGCTAATGTGAAGTGTGAAGCATGTTGTATATTAAGTCCCTACAATGTAGGAAATACAATAATTAATATTTTTTACGGTTAACGGTTAACAATAAACTAAATTAAATATCGTGTCAGACGTAGTAAGTGTGAAAAGGTTGTGTGAAATCTTAAACAATGGGAAAACTAAGTCAAAATTTAAGTGGACCTCGCTATTTACTGATCTCATTTTTCTTCTCGTTTGGTTGTCTGTATTTGATTTTATATTTTTACCAAAATCATTTGGAACTAGAAGAAACCAGTACCACTATTAAGCCTCAGATTATTCATTGGACAAAATTAAAAACCAATCTGGATTGTTATTATTCGGTACAAGATGACGCGCTGCCGTCTCTTGAAAACGAAAACTTTTCAACAGGAGACAAGGCCATATTTTTTCATGAAACATCGTGCCGCGGTGGGATTAACTCCAGGCAGGCCTGTGCAATAGAGTCAGCCGCAAGATTACACCCAAAATGGCAGATCAACTTGTTATTTAATTCACCAGTCACCGAATACATCATCAAGAACAGTAATCTCGTGAAATTACTCAAGTACGGCAATGTGAAACTAGGTAGATTAAAAATTAATCAATACGGAAAAGGAACAATAGTAGAAGACATACTTACAAATCAATTAAAGCAAAGCGCACATCCTATCGAGCATGCAGCTGATATACTTAGAATAGTTACTTTACACAAATTCGGCGGCGTTTACTTGGATACAGACTCCATTCTTGTTAGAAATTTAGAAGCGCTGCCACCGAATTGGATCGCTAAGGAAGAGGACTCACAGGTGTCATCGGGCGCAATGGCGTTCACGAAAGATGGTTTTGGTAGAAACTTGACTACAGCTATTTTAATGTAAGATTCTATTTCAATAGCATTTAAATCATGTAGAAATATCAAAAGTGAAATGTCCCTTATCCTCATATAGTAACAATACGATATAATGGGTAGAATCATTGACACTTAGTGTAATACTACGCCTTTTTAATTTAATTTTTTTATATTACCAAATATTTTTCGAAATTTAAATATATTTTTTCGCAATTTTTCCCGGGAAATAATATTATTATTTAATAAAAATATTTAATATTCCAAAACATTATAGTCCACAATTCAACCTATTATTATTATGTTGACCCACCTACTTAGTGAGATAGAGCCACATTTGTATAAATGAGAAAGGTCTGTGTTTATAAAAAATAAAATTTTACTTATTGTTGATGATTCGCAGGAGTATCTACCGAAACTTTTCCCATATCCTGGTACATTATCGCGCAAATGCACAGAGCATGTTCAAAACATTCAAGACAAGCAACTAAAGTGCCTTTCATATTTTGTATTTTCGTCCAAATACTGTAGCTGCTCGTTCAACCCTTACACCACTAGTAAAAAAAGAACACTTAAATAATCATAGTAGAACCTCAAACTGGTACATCTTTCTTTACGATTTCTCAATGCTCATTTCATCAGAGTGCTCGGGTTAGTGTTTGAACACGCGATAAAAATAATGCGCATATAATAATGGGCAAGTACTATCAGCTGCCAAGATTAAGCAACAAAGAAACATATTTAAAATTGCGTCAAGATGAATAGGGTTTTAACAATTAAATTTTATTTGAACAAATCATTTTGATGACAATAATATAAACGGTTTTTTCCTGAACCATGTAATAAACCAACTACCTTTAACCAGGTAATTCTCAATAACAAAGTGACAAATAGATATATACGTTTACACCTAACGGCAGTTTGTCAACTACAATTTTAGTTCCACGTAAATTACAAAGGGCAAGCCTATCGCAGTTAACAGAAAAATTTGGAATATTAATACTGAAAGGAAAGGAGGATAATAAGAGAAGGCAATGATAGAAAAAGAATATTGCTGTACAATTTGATTGGGAAATGTAAGCAAAAGCTCGAGCAGGGTTCATCATTATCAACAGCCTATAACAGTCCACTGCTGGCCAGAGGCCTCTTTTATAAAGGAGGTTTTGGCCTACAATACCACGCTGGCGTTAGGGTTGGTATAGAGTTTGTTTCAAGTTTTCCTTCACTTTGCAGTGCTGTTGTCCAGCGGTGTTTGCTCCCTTGCTCTTACGACACCCATGGGATAATTCTATGTGGTGACACTAGGTATTCTTAATCAGTCATCACACGGAGAACAGGGTCGCCTACTTATAACTCAAATTAATTAATGTCGGTAAACCCGAGTCAAGTATCATTATTACATATTACTTTTTCTAGATCTAAATATGCATCACTAATTCCAATAAAATCACTAATTGCAGATGCCTTGAGATTATCTATATATATATATAGCTGACCCGGCAAAAGTTGTTTTGCCATATACATTATTTAAAAAAAAATTGCCAAAAAAAAATAGGTGTATGAAAAATAGATGTTGGCCGATTCTCAGACCTACAGGATATGCACAAAAAAATTTCACGAAAATCAGTCGAGCCGTTTTGGAGGCGTTCAACCACGCACACCGTAACACGAGAATTTTATATATTAGATATATACGATATACCAATCGCATTAAAGATTGTTTTCATCTATTCTACTTGTCAGTTTTGCTCCTCATTTTTCATCAATGCTACTACAGTGTGCTACAGCTAGTTATACAAGTACTTACAGTTTTATCACCGAAAATACTAACAGAAACGTATTAAATACCTAATTATTATTATTTAGTTTTAAAGACAACTTCCGCCCTAGGAATAGATCCTGTATCGCGGGGACCTTTACAAACATACATGAAACGGACACAAAGAACACACAGACTCAGAATGACAATTTGTGGATCACACAAAGTGTCGTCCCATGTGGGGATGGAACCCACAACCCATGTGGCGACTGCTTAAAGCACACTACAATAATTTTGTAGTTGCTCATGTGCACTAGTTTTCTTTTATAGTATAGGAGGTGGACGAGGAGCAAATAAGCAGACCGATCAGTGTTAAACAAGCACGACGGAGCAACGCCGAACCGTCGGTTCACATCCGACACGTCCGACAGCGCTCCGTCTGGGTACCAGTACCGTTTTTTAATTCAGTTATTTCTTTTTTGCCACGATAGTGAACTTCGAGATACTTTCAACCCAAAGTCCTGGTCTTATAACGGACCGGCTGCAATCAAGCGAGTTCTGAACAGAATGTGTCCAAATTATACCAACTGTAAAGGTATGTTAACAAAGTTACTTAAGTATATTGTGCAAACAAAATTGTCGACTTTGCCAGAATAAGAAATTGAGGTGTTTTCCTAAAAATATTTTCTTTATTCATGGTCGTCGGTCGTTATTTTGTTTATTATTTATTTTAACTGTTAGCTTAATTAACTACTGAATCCCTCCGAAGCAGTAGGTATTTTGTTTTGGTAACCACCTCTGCAAAAGTCATTTTATTTGCTTAAATATTTATTGACTTAATAAATATTTAATCAATAGTATAATCAACGAATGTGTAAGTGAATATGTAAGTATAACACTCCTTGACGTTGGTAGTATTGATAGACCGATGGAGGTATTGAATGAAAAGAAGAAGTAGAATAACACTGCTTGAGTATGGTTATGCCATGGAAAAATTCTAAGTAGATAATTTTACATATTGTTAAGACTCTATTCAATTCCTTGCAGTTTCACCCACTTTAATGGTACACTGTGCATTACTCCACCTGTAAGCGTCGCAGTTGATGTTTCTTTTTTTTTAAAGAGTCTGAATCCAGACGCGCATTCTTCTAAACACATAAAAAAATACCTTAGTAAAATTATACAGGTTTTTTTTATTGTTATCTGTAAAAATCCATTTTTGTTACAGATCTCGAAGTATTCTCACCTAAGGATTTTTACCCAATATATTATACAAAACATAAGTTTTACTTCGAAAACGGTACACTCACGAACATGGAACATCCATACATGCATCACATGTGGAACTACTTGACAAAAGATTTGAAAATTGAGAAGTATTCTCCTTATGCTGCACTCGCAAGGCAATTTTGTCCAACGATCTACAAAATGTATGGCGATCAGTTTGGAGAATAAGAGTAACATCATAAAATGGGCTATTTATAAAGAATACATTACATAGGAATAACTTATATAAATTAGTTAAGTATAAGTAGCAGAACTGCAATGTTCTTTGTAAACACAGTACTTCACTCTGACACTGGTGTAGTGCCTTCGTTCCTACCCTTAGTTTTTGTTGTTAATAGTGTTTATTTTCATATTTTTATTCAATTAAATTAACTTTATATTAAGAATTCTGTACTTAATCCTTAGCCACCGAGCCTTTTACTCAAACTCGATAGGAGTCGGCTTTCAATCTACTACGATACGGCTACCTACTTTTTAACCTAACTCCACTATACTCTCCTCAGTATTTACTACATTATACAGCATATAATAATATACACTGCTACTCAGATATTTTCGTTTGTAAATTCGTCAGTGATAAAAGAAAGTGCTGGACAGCCCTATAGGTCCTCCGGATAGGTCTATAGACAAGGAATGAGATGAGAGAATACTCTAACTATTTCAAAAGACCAGCTTTCGCCAGTTCCAACTCTCAGTCAAATTATGTAGATAATTGAGATGGTAAAATTAGGACCATAGCCTTGGCAGATATGTCCCATGGTAATGGTTAAGTTCTGGCGTAGGTTAGTGGCCGCTTCTTTAACTTAACACAAAGCGTTTTTAACGCAGAGCGTGCCTGCGCAAGCACTTTAGCATCGCGATCTTTAGCAATCACGGAGTATTTTATATTTACTGATAGCAACTTTCTAGTGACTTTAAAAAAGAACGAGACTTCAATTTATAAGAGCTGGCCACACTGCCAGTTATTTGACACGATTTTGCGCGGGACAATAATGTGACATTGACATATTGACAGTTCAATCTAAAATCTGATTTTCTGTTCGTGCGTTTATATTTGTGTTACAAAGCCATTAACCAAAAGTTGAAGTTGAAGTTATATTTGTGTTTTAAGACATTCAAAAGTTTAAATACAGTTTAATTAAAATATGTCTAATATGAATGCAATCACAAAAGCAACACGCGCAATAGCTAAAAGACCATTCAGGGTTTCTATTGAAGGCAATATTGGCTCAGGCAAGTCCACTTGCATCAAGTTCTTTGATAAATACCCCAATGTCGACAAACATGGTGTGAGTATTTAGAATTATTGGTTGATGTACTAGGTATACGTAAAAAGTAATTGAATTAAAAGTTCTATAAACAGTTTATGATATTTAGCTGATTCTGTCTTCTGTCACTGATCTTGCATGGGTCAAATGGCTGTAATATCTAACCTGCTCGTAAAACAAGTTAGAGCATCCTTTTGGAAATCATTTCTGATGTGAGGGGCAAAAGATATGCATAGAACTATTGCACTTATTTATTTTTTATTATTGAGATAAACAGGATTACAATTCCTGCCTTCTCTGTAAAATCATTGAGTAAAGTTTTTAACACAAAAAATAAAACTATAAACTCCTTATGTGCCGTGTACAGTGCTTACCAGTGAAAGAACTGTACAGTGTAGCAACACATGAGTTAAAGTTGAGAGTTCCGGCAAGAGAGACCCTGTTTTGCTCTTAAGTAGTTATTGATAGATTTATTAATGAGACAACTATTAGAAAATTGTGTTTGACTTCAGATTTGATCTAAGCTTATGACACTAATGTAGATAGTTGCAACATGAGAAAGCTAAAACAAATCAGACTGCTGATAAACATACTTATTTATGTCTTTAAACATAAATATTAAAAAAATAACACCTAGACTGAAAAAATGATCATGCTCATCACACAATTATTTATTCTGGGTGGGAATCAAACCCACTTAAGCCAATATTAGTAGTCGGGATTACTACTCAGTAGGGCAACAGATAATACCACCTCAATACAAAATAAAACAATACTGTTTTATTACAACATGCACATCTCTTAATACAGCAAATTTAAAAATGGAATGTTTTTCAGGAACCTCTTAATGAGTGGCGCAATGTCAGTGGTCACAACCTGCTTGGCTTAATGTACAGTGACATAAACAAGTGGACATTTCCATTCCAGCACTATGTACATCTCAGCCGACTAAAGATTCAAACCAGTGCCCCTAGCAACCCTAATATCACTGTTAAAATGTTTGAAAGGTATGTCAAACAGTTAAAAAAAAATATTTGTAAGAGTATGAATGTAATAACAAAAATGTAAAAAACATCCAATATTAAGGTTTTCCTACCCACATCTACAAATTCCATCAGTTTTACATTATAGTGTTGTTACTATATGTTCAACCTGAGACCTCAGATGGTCAGTTTCGCTCCTTTAATAATAAACTGAATTAATTCAAAATTTACGTTTATCGAGTTTTCAACAAATACCAAATCAACTTCATCAGTAGAACACGAACAATCCAACAGCCGACTCGATACCATGCAAATGGCAGAGATAAGAGATCGTCGTTCTCTTTTTAACGAACTCGCACGTACATCAATGTCAAACTTTAAATGCGATTTCCCACAATATTGAAATTCTAAGTTAATTCAGTTTATGAATAAAGGTGCGGTTTGCAAAATTAAAAATTTATTCACAATCCAGTTCTCATCATAATTTACTTTCGATCTCACAAAAGTATTAAACATCCAAACTTTCAGTGTAATGTGATTATACTTTGAAAATACCTTTTAGGACATTTCTTAGATTGAGAGAAGATCAGAACTAAATTTTGAAAAAAATTTATATTACAAGAATTGACCCTCAGGCTGCATTTATTCTTTAGATTCCATAAAATAATAAAACAATTTTGAAGATTATGTCTTTTTACTTTGTGTTTTTCATCATTATCAACACAATTTAATAGTCCACTGCTGGACAATTTCTGTGTTTAACTTGGAGTTATCCCTGCATTACAGGTCAGTGCAAAACAGCCGGCATTGTTTTGTGGAAAATGCAAAGAAACAGAATTTTCTAGAAGATCCTGAGTACCAAACATTGATAGCCTGGTTTGATTATACAGAGAAGTGCCTAGATATTAGTTTGGACCTTATAGGTAAGCAAATGTAATAAAATATTTATTTTTGTTTATGGTTTTAGTAGAGTGGAACAATTGAGTGTGTTAAGGTTGCTTATTTTCTTTTTAATGTTACTGCTAAACTAATTGTAGGTACATATACATAATTTTGCTGTGTCTACTGGACTAGATTTTTTCTAAAATTGATTTTTGTAGAGTCAATGAACATTTTCAGCTTCCCATTTCATTCTTAGAATTAGACTTACCTTTCAGTAACACTAGGTATTATTTATATGATAATTGTAAACAATGTTTTATTTCAGTATATTTGAGGACTACACCTGAAGTAGTGTTTGAGAGAGTGATTAAACGTGGAAGAGCTGAAGAATCAGAAGTGTCCTTAGAATATTTGCAAGAAGTAAGTGCTCTGTATAAAATCTATATATAGGTATTTGGAGTGGTTCTGCTTCCTTGTTCTCCTTGAATTAGTTTGCGCGAAGGTGAGTAGGACAGTCATGATTGATTGTTATTTATAATAGAATGTTCTCACCCAACTTACACACACATTTACACAAAAATTGTGGTAATGCTTGACAATGTGAATCCGAAATGGTATGATTCTTTCAATAGTTGAGATGCAAAATCTGAATACTGACTTTAATAGTCGACTGCTAGACATAGGCCTCTCCTTAGAAAGGAGGTTTTGGCCTACTATACCACGTGCCATACCTGTCGTAAGCCCGGCTTGTATAATACAGTTATAAAATATGTTTCTTTCAGGTCCATGATTCATATGAACACTGGCTCAGTTTGCCGGACGTAGGCTGTGAAGTGTTGACGATTGACGCCAACAGAGGGCTTGACTGTGTTATAGAAGATTTGGAAAGATATTCCTACAAGATTTTAGGTGGAAATCATACAAATTGATTTATACACCCTAAAGCATATATTCTTTAAAATACGTTTAAATTGTATACATGTAGTGGTGCTTGATTGACTAATAATAAAGGAAGTAGTGCAATTCTCAACTATAGCTACCTCAAAATAAATTATTTTAAAAGTTTATGTTTTGTTATCTATGTAAGTAACTTAAATAATATTAATATTTTTTAGAAAGTAGCAGGACTATCATGTGTTTTAATATTATAAGCTGTATTTAAAGATAAATATTATTTGACTTTGTATACATCTAAGCTTTCCTGAGCTTTTTAAAAAAGGTTAAAAATTCAAAATGCAACCTTGCGTAATGACTTGATGATATCATAAAATAATATAGAGACTTATATCAGTGACTATTATTATTAAATTATATTTGTATTATAAACTAATAACGTAAATTACCTAGTTGTTAAGCTATAATTGATTATGAAATGGACTAAATAAAATTCTAATTAACTGAGATGTTGATTTATTTATCATAAAACAATATAATTTATTAATTCTCGATTCTGAGGCGTATTTTGTATACTTGCAATTCTTAGAATTATTATTCAGATATTGTTCTGAAGCATCAAAATAGGTCTCAAAAATGCTATTTACACTAACAGAGCGATATTATAATTTGTTCAGCGGTAGAGGTGATCGGCCCTGATATTAGAAGCTATTTCACTCTCCCATTTGTCACCGTTCGATAGAAGTTTTTCCTTATTGTACAGGAGTTCTTCGTGAGTTTCTGTCGAGAACTCGAAGTTGGGACCTTCTACAATAGCGTCGACTGGGCAGGCTTCCTGTAAATGACACATTTCATTATGAAAAATAATCGATTACCTATTCGGTTTGTCTTTTGATCTAAGAAGACAGTCATCATCATCAAGAAGAAGACAGTCATTCGACATAAATTCATACATTCACAAGTATTTTTGGAAACATTAGGAGATTACAGAGTCTAAATATTAGTCAATACATGTCTAAAAATGTTACTACTCGTAGTACAAAGGACTTAAGCACTTCATTTGTAAAAGATTGATTATTTCCTGTCAGAAACAGAGGTTTCATTGTACACATCGATAGCCCGGTACACAAATAATCGAGTAATACCAAGCTGATGGATAGTTTTGAAAATCGCATTTACTTCCATACCTACTTTGTGTAATGCTATCACAGCAATGCAATTCTCTTTATTACCAAACTCCATTGTAATATATATCACAAAATATTTAAAATTGATTAAAATATTGATATAAGACTGACAGATTCCAAATTCAAATGTAATATAATCGTGTTTTTTTTTTATTGTAACAAAATAAAGCCAGACTAAGCACATAGCTTTTAAAAAATGACTTAATTTTGGATTATTCAGCTTACCTGACAGAATCCACAGTAGATGCATTTTGTCATGTCAATATCATAACGCGTGGTTCGTCGTGAGCCGTCTTGCCTTTCCTCAGCTTCTATGGTGATTGCCTGTAACAAAGATGTCAAATTACTGACAGGAGTCCTGAAAATCCTTTGAAACCCGGAATGAACACACAGAATATTGACTTGACAATTTTTTAGATTTCTCCATAAAAACGAATACTTTTAACATAATAGCCTTTCTAAGGAGAGGCCTATGTCCAGCAGTAGACTGTTAAAGGCAGTTGATGATGAGCCACAAAGCAAACACTCGAACCACATCCTTTGTCATGGGTATGTAGTACCCATGACAAAGGCCTACGTTACGATACATTGCGTGTTTTTTTGTAATATTCATAAACAATCTATAAAGATGAAGAGGTGATGAATATCTACATTTTTCGCAAAACCGAAAGTAGATTGATTAGTGTCCAGGGTAGTATACTAATAGTGCGCGTTGAATCTGTGTGCACGTAAAATATTAATGTGAGTGTTCAATCTCGAGTTCTCAGGCTTAGGGACTACAGTTTTAGTATTTGAAACTCTCCAAACTTCCTTCTTGCTTTAACAATATCACTTGATCCTTAATGTCTTGACTCGTTATATTAGCCACAAATTTTCTTCCAAATATATATCAATAATATTGTATGATGCATTAGAATGCTGAGCGTGCACTATAGACACTCACTCACCGCTCACTGCTCCATTGAATGCCTTATTCACTCAGGACATACACTTACGCTTATTTTCAAAACAAGATAATTACCTGAGCTGGACAAATTGCCTCACAAAGTTTGCAAGCAATGCATCTTTCTTCACCAGATGGGTAACGGCGTAGAGCATGCTCTCCTCGGAACCTTGGTGACAAAGGTCCTTTCTCAAATGGATAATTAATTGTTGCTGGTTCCTGCAATTGTTTACATGAAGGGATTAGATAAAACATACTCATACTTTGTATTATATTACTCAAAGTTTTATATTGACTGTTATTGGATTTTTTTATATTGCTGTAATTTATTTGTGATACATTGCTGATAATATGATAGAAAAGCATATGCTGCAATCTATTAGAATAAAAATTGCAATAATTAAAAAAAATATTATGTAACAAAATATTTATTAACTATAGTATAGAGAGTATTCTTTCATTCAGTATTTTCTAGTATATAATACTTATGGATTAGTTTTTGAATTAAGATTTATCCATATTTTAAAGATTTTTGGTACTTATTCAAAAATCATACCATTTGTAAAAAATAAATTATTAGTTTATAGCATATAAACTAATAATTATAGACAATATGAAATGCAATCATTCATATTGCTTTATCTGTCAATTTAATTCTGTAATTAAAGTGATATAATAATGTGTAAATTAGTTTAATATTAGTTGTAGCCCCACAATCGCACTGGGTTTCTTTTAAAGATTGTGTGAAAAAAAAACTATTTATTAATAAAAGAAATCTAATAGTATAATTTTCTCAACATCTTAAAGAATATAATTTCTAATAATATATGTAATTTGAAAAACATTGTTAGAGAGTTTTTGACTATAGTAAGATATTTGGTAAAAGAACATTTATAAACCTAATTAACACAGTCTATTAAATTACCTTTTAATATGGAATAACTAATAATGAAAAATTAATACCTTAAAAATATGAGCCAGGGTGACAGCAAATCCTCTAGCCAATTCCGTCCAGAACATAGTCTGTGCAGCTCTATCAGAAAGTGCCTTCATTGTCATGTTCGGATCGACAGCATTCACATACATGTATCCTGGCTCCTTAGGCGGGTACACCTTTTCTGTTTTTGCCTCCGTACTGTACTGGACATGTCTGGACACCAAACTGCTAGCTCCACCAGCTCGAACTATAAAGCAGTTTCACTTATTAAAACAATGTGAAATAATTGTCCTAATACAGGTCTATCAGCTGATAAATATGAGATATAGGTTATAAACAAAAATTGCGTAACAGTTCTTAGACTTATTTTCTAACATAAGAGTATATTTACTTGTTGCGAAAGTAAAAGTTAAACTACTACCTCGAGATGATACGGAAAATATTTTTACTAGCGACATTTTTATAATAATAAAGAATGTTTTCGTTTAGCAATATCGATTCCGAAAGTTTAATGAAATAATGAACTGTCAAACTGACACGAAAAACAACGTAAGATTAAAAAAAAAATACAACGACGCGGTGTTACCACATAGGTATGGCGATTAATAATATTTAAAAAACTTGAAAAATTCTGCAATCAATTATTTCAAGTACTTCTTGTTAATCTTAATCTTATATTTGTGAAATATTACTCAATTATCAATCAAAATTGAACTTAGTCACTCAATGGAACACGTAAAAATGAATATACTGCACCAAATGTAATGATTAACAAAGTGTAGTGCAAAGATGTATATAGGTATATATATGCTCATTTATTTTGCTGATCTTTAAAAATAAGCAAACCCAATATATATATATATATATATATATATATATATATATATATATATATATATATTATAGTATATATATACTACTACTAATATATACTTGGGTTTGTTTAGTTTTATAGATCAGCCTAAGGAAATAAAATCCCTCTTTAACAAATCAAATTATTGTAATAATTTTAGTCGATTTTTCTTTTAGTAACTCTAACGTTAAATAACAAACTATTCATGCGTGTACTCTGGTCCGTCACCCACGTCAAAACATTGGAATTGAAGTGACGTTTACACATTTTATGTCGGTGCTGTAAATTTGCGAAAAATTCGCCACGCAGCATGGGAGATGCACCGGCTTCCGACACGGAATCTAATAAACTTAGCCCTGAAAATGAGGTCACACCAGAACAGGTAAACCTCCTTTTCTATGGACTTAAGTTTTATGTGGTAAATCGGTCAATGCTGACTTTGTCGTTTGTCATCAGGACCGGCGTCCTTTCGGCGGTTTGGAATTCCAAGTTTCTGAAGTAGTAGGTCGCCTAGAAGCTGGGGTTAACGCTCAAGATGTACAAGAGGAGGAAAAAAGGCGGGAACCCCGCAGAATCAGCCCTGGCTTCTTTGAACCGGAAGAATCGTCGATGGACGACATTTTAAAAGTTTTAGAGGACCTAGTGTTAAAAACAGACCCTAGCTGTGAGAGTGTTGAACCACCGTTATTGCCGACAGACGCTGTCACGCGAGCAGCTATATTATCACACAGTATATCTGCACTTTTCGGGAGGTTGGAAAGGAGTCATGCAGCAAGACTCGGTGCTCATATAGCTAGTGAGACAACGCGTTGGATGGCGCATATGTTCAGGTGAGAGAAATTACAATAAACATTTCAGTATTTACAACATTTAATATCGAATGTTTAGTATAACAAAGGCTTATAATTCTATTATATCAAATTCAATCTATTACCAACTTCATTCCATATTTAAAATAATATTGAATTCTCAATTAATGTTAGTTAAATATAAAATCTTTATGGCAGTACATAAAAAAAATGTTTGTTGTTTTTTTTTATGTAAACACACATAGAAATACATGTTACACTTATACACACCTATATACATTACTTGAAAGTGGATGACTAGAGTTACTAAACTGTAATGCTTATGGTAAATAAATACTTTTTGTTTTGTGACAAATACGAAGATTTAGTTATGTTCTGCACATGGAATGAGCAATAATGATATTAAAATGAATTAATGTCTAGGCTTTTATTTTAATAAAGCTCAAATGTTTAGCGATTTAATATAATAAAAATGGTTATAAAATTGTGGAAAGACATAAACAAGGAACAGTTAATAAGTAAAAAAATATTAATTTGTTTATTGATCACCAAGACCTTACTCCATAAAGTGCTCAAAATTGAATTAAAAAGCTTTTAAAAAGTAAACCCTAATTCTTTGTGGATAGTAAGTAAATGTACTGATACAATTACATTACTATTTAAAGTAAGTTATTTGATCATTTAAATAAAAATATAGGAATTTTTGTTTTCAGTATGGATAAAGTTTTTTTTTACTTATTTGGGTACTAGATGTACTAGTGTATAAAAATGTTCACCTGTCAACCAGACAATTCTTAGGAATTTAATAAATGTTTACTTTAAAAAAAGTATAATTTTAATTTAAAAAAAAACTTGATTCTCATCTTTACAATTTAATTTTAACTTAACTTTTATGTATATTTTAATTTCATTGGACTTGCAACCCTTTACATAATACATTTGTGCACGATGAACTTATATGCATCTGGCAACATAGCCACATAGGTTCGAATCAAATAAAATCAACAAAAATAAATAACTACTAGTGTACTTATACAGTCATCTGGGAGGTGGCGCAGTTTGCTGAAAAAAAAAAAATTTGAACGGAAGCCACTGATCTGCTACCTGAGGCCTTACATAGGTTCGAATCAAATAAAATCAACAAAAATAAATAACTACTAGTGTACTTATACAGTCATCTGGGAGGTGGTGCAGTTTGCTGAAAAAAAAAAATTTGAACGGAAGCCACTGATCTGCTACCTGAGGCCTTACATAGGTTCGAATCAAATAAAATCAACAAAAATAAATAACTACTAGTGTACTTATACAGTCATCTGGGAGATGGCGCAGTTTGCTGAAAAAAAAAAAATTTGAACGGAAGCCACTGATCTGCTACCTGAGGCCTTACATAGGTTCGAATCAAATAAAATCAACAAAAATAAATAACTACTAGTGTACTTATACAGTCATCTGGGAGGTGGCGCAGTTTGCTGAAAAAAAAAAAATTTGAACGGAAGCCACTGATCTGCTACCTGAGGCCTTACATAGGTTCGAATCAAATAAAATCAACAAAAATAAATAACTACTAGTGTACTTATACAGTCATCTGGGAGGTGGTGCAGTTTGCTGAAAAAAAAAAAATTTGAACGGAAGCCACTGATCTGCTACCTGAGGCCTTACATAGGTTCGAATCAAATAAAATCAACAAAAATAAATAACTACTAGTGTACTTATACAGTCATCTGGGAGATGGCGCAGTTTGCTGAAAAAAAAAAATTTGAACGGAAGCCACTGATCTGCTACCTGAGGCCTTAAAAGACTTGCCTATACTTTTTTTCTTCTTTGATAGTTAGAATCTCTTGTTTTAATCTATATAAATAAATAAAATTGGAGTGTCTGTTTGTAATATTAAAATAACCGTTTTTTACTAAATGCATATGTATGTTTACACGATACTCTATACATACAAATAAATAAAATTAGGCTACTTTTTTAGACTAGCGTCGCCCCGCGGCGTTGCCCGCGGTTATAACAACAAACGCGGGTAACAACGCGGGTCTCAGCTAGTATATTAATATTAATGGTTAAATATTAATATTTTTTCCTAATGTGAAACTTCAAACGGTTTATTATTGCTGCTTTATGATATAATTTTTTTGGAGTTTCTTACTTTCCTTCTCTATAAATTCTATTTCTAACAGATAAGTTGCATAACAGACTTCTGACTGATTTAAAAATATTTATGAGTGGTTAAATAAAATAACTGATTCTGATTTCATTGTAGATACTATTTAAATATCTACACGGAAGTTTTAACAAATTCTAACCGTATATCACCTGAAAATTGTAATAAAATAGACCTTGAAATCTAAAATGTGATAAATTAATGCGTACTTACTCATCAGTTTGTCATCTATTGATTTGCTATTAATAATTTATGTTGAAACTTGTGTTTCAACAGATGTTTACGAGGTCTATCTTAATCCAGATTTGAACTGCACATTATTCTGTGCAGGTGAGTGAGGCTACCATAGCTCAAACCTTCCTGTTCCTCTGATTTGAGAGGAGGGACTCAAAGGGCAGGAACATTTTTGTGACTTTTGAGTAGCAGGCATTCATAGGCGGCAGTAGTCACTTACCATAAGGTGCGTCGTTTGTCCCCCTCCCATCTATAGATATATATATACATAGTAGAAAATACTGCTCTAGCAAATCCTTAATAAGCTAGGCTGGTTTGTTCAATGTGGAATCCATCTGGCCATAACTACCCAATGCCTTCAAAGCAAAGCAAATTGACTGCCTCTGTGTTTTCTATGTATAATATGTATGTATTTACAAAAAAAGTATATAAGTATTCTATCAATCCATCTAGCTTTCATAGTACAAGCTCTGCTTAGTTTGAAACTAGATGGTGTTGTATTTCAGATGCCCAAAAATATTAAAGCAATATAAAACAGCTTAAACCAAAGTTTAACTAAAATGGCAGACTTAGTTCTTGTATGTAACAGAAAACACACTTATTTAGGTTATTTTTAATCAACCCACCATTTCCTGCTCAATTATCATTAAATCTACACATCTTTGCAATTTCTTTTTACAAAAGAGATCATACACGATAATATGTGTAATGTAATGTATTATCTACGTACATTGTTATCAGTCGCCTTGGAATATAATTGGAAATGGATAAGAACAATTGTGTGGTTTAAGAGCCGTAAATGTTCATAAATATAATGACCGCAGGTGTAACCACTCTGAAGGATACGCTTACTGCCATCGTGGTGTAAGCGGAACTTGTTGATTATACATATTGTTTCTTAATCGTAAAATATAAAGGGCTACATGATCTAGAACTGGTATTATGAAACGATGTTTACAATAGGTATTTGTTAATTTCGGAATAATCGGGGAAGTACCTCTTAACCATAGATGATCGGTACTTGGAAATTGGGATACCTTGTCTTGAGCCAGCCTTTTTTACTACCCGTGTCGGGTATTTAAAGTCGCCGTTTGGCACGCAGTAGAATAAAAAACCTGAGTTCACATTATTGAATTGCCATATTCATATCTTTCAACAAGAACAATATATAGAGATGAATTTAAAAGATACTCGAGTATTAAAATTCTGTCTGTAAAAATGTCTAAGGAGCCCTCTTCCATCTAAAAATTTGGCCCTATATCTAAAAATTGGCCCCATTTTGGCGTTATATTAAATAAATCAAATAAGTAGTTCGCAATAGAGTAGGTAATAAGTAATTAATCATAAATGGCGTAGTTGTTTAAGCGGTCGCCACGCCGCTTAGACCGCTACTGTTAGTTCTGAGTCTGGGTGTACTTTGTGTCCGTTTCATGTATGATTGTAAAGTCCCCCGCGACACAGGATTTATTCCTAGTGCGGGACTTGTCTTTTTTAAAATGAAATAAAAAAAGAAATGAAATAGATGTAACTTAAAACTACTCGCTGTAAAGTCAAACAAACTGCTATAATGACAGTTTCAGGTTTTGGTGATGGACTGGTATATCTAAGTTTGTTGTTGTGTTGTTGAAATTCTCCCAAAAACGTATAGGAATGAGGACCGTTTGAGAACTCTTAGATCTGCTAATTCGTGCTGATTGGTATTTAGCACTCGCACGCAGCGTATGTTTGATAAGGTTAATAAACTTTTTCTAATTCAAACTATTGAACGAAGAATATTAAAAAAAAAGTGTATGATGTCATTGCTGCAAATGTACTAATAGTGGGTAAATAGTTAAAAAATAGTTCAAGTAGGTATTTTATCAGGAAACCAGTTATAAGGTTTTTTTTGTGTATCGTAAATCGTCGCCCGCAAGACTACTATTATTCTATATTTTCTATCAAGAAAGCCTTTATTCAGTGTGTTTTGAATTATGTATCTTGTTTTATTTATAAACTTACTTATAGCCAAGTGAAGAGACACACATTTAGCGATCAATCACAAAATTTTAAAAAGTATTCGAACTTGAACGATGAGATTTGGCGGGAATAGTTGATCGGTCATGTCAGCTAAGAACGGATTTTGCACTAGAGCCGGTTTAAGGTCTAACAGCTCCCGAAAGAAAATGGCCAGAGAACAAAATACTTCCAAACTCTGTAAGTGAAAAAAAATGGAAATTTGATAATATGTTAGCAAAATGAAGAATTTTATGTTACTAAAGTGTTATAATGCTTTAGTAACAAAATCGCGGGTAACAGGAAGAGTTTTATATTTAAAATAACATAACTAATAGTTGATATACCCCTACATAGTTGAAAGTTTAAAATATGAACATGTTCAAACAACAAAACGCGTACTGTGCGTACTGCTATTATCATAGTTTTAATAGTTAATAATAATTTGGCTGTGGATAGCGATAACAAAACCTTACAGTGAATATTTTTTACACCAAAGTTGTCATAAAACTATTTTTTTTGTTTAAGACTTTGTTTCTTTCCACATCATCGACAGCCTATAATAGTCCACTGCTGGATATAGGCCTCTCCTTAGAAAGGAGGTTTTGGCCTATTGTACCACGCTAGCCATTTGGTATGGTTGCTATGGTATGGTTTGATTTCCTTCCATACTTAACATTACTATTCAAACAATGCATCTGTTGATTTAAGAATTGCCTGCTGTCACTCTGGTCATTACACAGGTGCACTATCTCTATAGATTGAGACAGGCTCTTATTGGTATAGTGGATAGGGATTATATTGATGAGCCCTACAGACCCGGGAATCGAATTCAACACCTTATGCTCTTGTTGAGCATGATTTGGATTTTTTACCTACTTTAATAAAATAAGGTGGTTCTCCATCCGTATTTTTTGTAGAACTCTGCCAGTTAAACGATTTAGAGAAATCTTTTTTGGTTATATTGCCGTTTGACCCCTTCCAAATTAAAAAAAAAAAAATAAAGCTTAGTAAGGCAGAATACAGGGCACAAAGCTAATAATAATCTAATAAACTTCATAGTTATCATAGTTTACGTAATATTCAGTTCCCTTGTAATTGAACTGCAAGCTTAGCTCTACTTATATTTATATATATTTGAACATTAATACAAATATCTATTCGAAGCGTTATCGGTAACAAATTTTATCACAATAATAGCACTTCAAAGGGTACATATATATTTGAACATTAATACAAATATCTATTCGAAGCGTTATCGGTAACAAATTTTATCACAATAATAGCACTTCAAAGGGTACATACATAACTTTAATAATCAGTTCTATTATACTAATACTTATGAAAGAGGCCTGCAAATATGAAGATTTAAATCTTATCACTTTTAATTCACAAAATCACTGAATATCAAATCTGAATCGCAAGGAAACAGATACATTCTACCATATGTATTTCAAAAAGAAAAATGAGTTTATTTTTTAAGAAAAATGGGTTATACCATTCGTCAAGACCGTTGTTCCAGGAACGTGTTTAGGTATCAAGTTAAAAGTAACATGTAATACCAATGTCTGCGGTCCCTTACCTCAAGTAAAAAATGTGTGTGGAACGACAGAAGTGAAACTTCAATCTGTTTGTTTATGAGAAAAACCCTACAAAATTATGCCCGGTTCGGGAATCGAACCCACTAAGGCAGCGTTTTTCAAATTCCACGCAAACGAAGTCGCGGGTACTAGCTAGTATTAAATAAAAAGATAAGAATATTCACACTGTCAAAATATTATATTAAAAATAATATGTACCTAAAGTATTCTATCTCATTCTCTCGCCGACCTAATCCTAAACATTTATGTGTTCGTTTCTTTATCGTGACGCATTTTCGTTTCATCAAGTTTCAAATCACTAAGTTTCACTTCAAAAATCAAGATTCTATGTGAATGCAATGGAAAGACACGATACACTTTGTATTTTTTATACGGCATGAAGGCGAGGGGTGGGGCTCAAACAAGAAGACAGATCATCTGGCCCTCAATTAGGCTCAATTCTGTTATTTTAGTTAACGTACAAGCCACTGTCATTCCATCGATACGCTATTGAGATGCCATTGACACTGGTCCAAATATCTGTATTCTACAAACATCAATTCACAGTGTCAAAAGACTGTCGATGTAATAACAATAGCTCGTTAAGTTAAGTGTGATATCAACAACATTGCCATATCTGGCAAATTAAATATTTCATTTCATTACAAATTTAAAATTTACTGTTTACCAACCTATAACAAAGAAATCGACGACATTTTGGTCAGTGACAAGTCATCGGGTCTTACATATTTAGTAGAATACGAAAAGTGCAAAGCTATTCCGATGACAGTCTATTGATAAAATATTAAAATAGCAGAATTGAAGCCGGCTGGTGGTAAATAAATATCGCCTCCTATGGACACCTGCACAAGATTCACAAATTCATTTCTGCCCATTGAACCTTTCTCCCCCAAATTAAAGGGAGGGGTGTAACCTCACCCACTCGGTGAAATTGAATTGCTTAACACTGGTTTCCTGTAAGGCCATGGTATCACACCGGTCGAGCCAGCCCATTTTTTGCCGAAGCCTGGCGCTCCCACGCCAAAAAAATCAAAACCTCTATAGGGTACTTCTCTTTGACCTAGAATCATGAAATTAGGCGCGTAGCAAATTCTCACAGCACAAGTAAAGAACAAATAATAGGAAGCTTTGTAGTGGTGTTACACGAAACTATATGTTTTTATACATGGGTGAATATTTTTAGAACGGCAAATTTGTTTGTAAGAAAGCTTCCTGCGTAAATCATGTCTGTTTTTTTTTAAACATTCCGTTTTAAAAGGGGAACCTATGTTTCAACATTATTAGGTGTTTCCCATTCTCAAGAAAGAAGTATTTGTGTCATACAAGTGGTTAAGATATAAAAGACACCAATGAAACTCCTTTACAATGGTTTACACATTGCGCTTACATCAGATAACGAAAAGGCAGGCAGTTAATAGTCTGTGTGTTCTTAGTCGAGTATCAATATCGAGTAGAAATTAGTATAATTCTTGACAGATGTGTTTGTTTACAGATTATCAGACTACAATGCATATTATCACCAGGAGCAGTTGGAAGGTCTTACGAGAGTCACACGTATGCTTCTACATCACAGATATCCCCGGTACTTGGAAGATGGAGGTGAGTCATAGACTCTTTTTTTTGTTGGATTTGATTCTCTTACAATTTTAAACTCACTTTGTTCTCAACAAATGTTATTTTTCTTACAGCTTTAGCGTTTTCAAACAGGCTACCATGCATATATAGCTGTGTAGCAAGCCCACTGGGCGTGGTGCAGCATCTGTGCAGACAGCTGGGCTTGCCACTTGCCTGCGTCAAACCTGTGCCTGTACACCCATCGGGTAAGAAGACTTAGTAATTAAACCATACAATACTTAACTGTGAAGTTCAGAGTTTAAAACTTCACCCGGTCCTGCTCCGCCATCTTCTGCTCGCAGAAGGAGATGGTGGAGTTCCACGCACTCTCTCACTCTCCGTCTCATGGCCGCATTCATGTTACCGGTGACACAGGTGATCCCGAAGCATCCTTTCCCAGTGATCACCTGCATCGGCCGGTATGAAAGGGTCCCGTGATGCCTCTCGAGCCAATCCTCCATAATGGGTCTTACCGCTGCAACAATGGCGTGCCCGATCCAATAAGCCCCTGTAAGTTTATGTATGCATGTAAAATAAAGTGGCATTTCGATATCGTTCAGAAACAATTGCTGGCGGTCAGATACTGAGTAATGCGTAGCTCCAATCGAGAGTGACTCACCGAGCATATCGGCCGATAGTTTATCTATTACTGCGAGCGTCATTTGCAAGCTAATATTAGGACGTGATTTCTACGGCTATCTGTTGAAATATCCCTTCTAATATCATAATATAAATAAAAAAGTAACTGCCTATCTGTCACGGCCAAACCGCTACTTCGATTTAATTGAAATTGCCATAAAGATACTTCGATTCTTGAGGATAGACATAGGCTACTTTTTACCGTGATAACGGACATAGACGCGGACAGTTCCACGGGCAAAAGCTAGTATTCTTATAAATAGATCATCATCATCGACAGCCTTTAATAGTCCACTACTGGACATAGGCAATTCCTTAGAAAAGAGGTTTTGGCCTACTATACCACGCTGGCCAGACGGGTTGGTATAGGATTTGTATCAAGTTTTTCTTCTCTTTGAAGTGCTGTTGTCTAGTGTAGTTTGCTTCTTTAGTCGACTCTTACGACACCCACGGGATGAATAGGGGTGGTGACACTCCGTATTGTTAATCCTGAAACCTAATTTGACTGCTTTTCTGTACATCGTACACGTTGTAAATGTATGCAAAATTGTATGTCCATAGCTTCAGTAGTTAAGCCGTGACAAATAAAGTAGTTACGCATTTATGTAATATTTGTAAGAATTCCGTCTAACTCAATTCATCAAAATCTTTTCTCTAATAATCCAGTCAAGTTTCCTTTTGCTATCTTTAACAGCTGAGGTCAGTTCAGTAGCTGGACTGGTTTTAATTAGATGAGTTAACGGCCCACGTACAAAGAACAGCCGCTGTATAAAAGGATAAATTCATGCTTAATTAAAATCATACGCATCCCTAATTATGTGTGATGTGAACAGATATGTATGACTTTTTGTCTTTCGAAATTAAGAACATGTGCCTCTCAATTCCGAAAGACAAATCATTTTTCAAATTTTATGATTTGCTCTTTATCAGAGATAATGTCCATTAATTAAATTTTAATAAAAAAATATTCCGAATCCGTCCGACCGTTCTATCAAATCGATTTTCTTTATTTTTAATCGACTACTAAAAAAGGAAGAAGTTCTTAATTCGATTGAACTTTTTATGTTTGTTATCGTCTTTTATTAACCGATTTGAAAAAATCTTTTTTTTTCGAGAGGAACACATACCGTTTAGTCCCATTCAAATTTTACGATAAAAATACCACTGAATTAAGGATGGAAAATTAAGGAATGAAGAATACAGTTTATAGATGAACACAATATAGTTGAAGTATACTCTAAAATGTGAATAGGCAATTATCAAAAACATGAAGAATCAAAGATGCCTAAATTGTTGACCCGTATAGTGAAAACTCAGTGATTTTCTAAGAAACCACAAGTTCGGAATGCATATTATGTTTGTAAATACTTAATCTTAGGAATCCTTTGTTATTTTTTGACGTATTTGTTGTTGTTTTTTCAAGTTACCGTAAATGGTACTTTAAAAAGACTGTACGTATTGTACCATTTAGCAGAGTATTATGTAGAGCGAATAACGATCGCGGGGTCTGCGTATGCCCTGAGGACCCTTAGATACACATAGGCGGACACATCGACCACATCGCCCTTTAACAAAGAAAAGCCGCCGTAAAGGTATTTACCACCGGTGGAAACAGTACCTTTACTTAGAAACGGTTATCCAGGTCACCCATCGGCACTCAGAACAAAACGAAGAAACCATCTCTTATTAGAACGCTGTTTCTGCTGTACTTCAAGTCTACATAGATTGTATGATTCTGACATGTTTTATTTATTAGTGTGTAATAATCGTGTAAAACAAACGAAATTGCGTCAAATACTGCGAAGGTAATTTTAATTATTCTCATTGTCTAAAAAAGAGTTTGTAATTTGAAAGTAGATTATTATTTGCATATTGAATGAATGTTGCTGAAGTACTCATGGTTACTACTCGAGCATTTTAATATAGGCACATGAATAATAATATTATATTTAAAATTGTAATTATATGTATATTTAATGAAACAAAGAGAATAATAATTAATATTATTTAACGGGAATTAATGCGATCTCTTATTTAGGGTATTACATACCTCTGGTTTGCCTGACGTTTCGACCAGGTTGCACCGTTAAAATAATATTAATTATCATGGAACGCGAAAGTTTAAAAGTTAGTAAAGAGAATAATAATAATATTACTACTATGACAACTAGATTGACTGACAGAATACCTATAAACTTTTTTTAAATATATACATGTTATACATTGAAAAGAACCTAACTCCGAAACAAACATTTGGTCCGACCCGGGAAACGCACCCGAGACCTTAGCACAGCAGCTCGCCTCGCCTATTGTGTTGGAGGGACATAAAACCCGTACCCCTACTTCAAAATTTTTATTCAATGACGCGTCCATCGTTTGTTCCTACACATAAAACTGTCCACATTTGGCGCCATAATATCTTCTGTGCTTGCAGACACCACTGCGTTATCCATTTGACTCTGCGTGTCTCAAAAGGAATAATTTTTCCCCCTTTCCCCTTTCCAATGTTGCACATTTTTCATTGATGCTCTATTCCTAGTGGTCATAGCGCTTCCTCAATAAATAGGCTATCCATCACTAAAAGAATTTTTCAAATCGAACCAGTAGTTCCTGAGATTAGTGGTTCAAACAAACAAACTCTTCAGCTTTCTAATATTTGTATAGATTTAAAAACCTCCAAGAAAAGAGCGTGCACCTTCCTAAAAGGGCGCGCTTGTGACTCCTGAGTTGCAGGCGATAGGCGGCGGCAGTCACTTTCAGGTGACCCTTTTGCACGTTTGCCTCGTCCCTCGTCTTTACAAAAAAAGAAAGATTGAAGGGAGATAAGTGAAGAAAAGACAAATCCAATAAGGTCTTATTTTTTTACTTATTGGGATGAATAGGGGTTGTGACACTCCGTATTCATAATCCGACACCACACGGACAAACTCAGTATGTTTAAGCCTTTTGTGTTATTTGACACCGAAAGTAATACTTGAACACAATATACTTACACGAATTCTTATAATTTATTGTCTGTTATAGGTCGAGGCATGGATCTAGAAGCTTTAGAAAAACTATGCGACGAAGATATAAACGCGAATCGTACCCCTCTACTTGTACTAGGAGAAGTAGGAGCGCCCCCTTTAGGCTGGGGAACTCCTTTATCGACTCTAGGCGAAATTTGCAAGAAGAGAAACATACATCTTCATGTGAGGGGGCACGCTTTAGCTTTGCCGGGAGCTACTGGAAAAGATGAGGTACATAAACATATAATAATATATTAGTAGAATAATAATAATAACTTCACACATCCCACACACGGCCGTCTGATCCCAATCTAGGCAGAGACTGTACTATGTAAACCAGGCTGCTGATAAACATACCTACTTATTGATTCTAAATAAAATATCTATACAAATAAATAAAATTGAACTGTCTGTAATATCTAAGTAATAGGTTATTTTCATACTCACACGGTTATTTGCACGATACCTATGCCTACAAACCAGTTTAAATATCTATATTTTGTCTATCTGTCTGTTTGTTCCGGGTAATCTTCAAAACGGCTGTACCGATTTTGATAATATTTTACTACCATGTAGCCGACTAAATAAGGAGTAACTTATGCTATTTTTCCTCTCAAAAAACCCTATAAAATTTTGCCCGGTCCGGGTATCGAACCCGAGGCCTCAAGGACTGCAGCCATGTACCGACCCATACTACATCACAAAAGCTCTTCAAATTCCATGCGAACGAAGTCGCGGGTACCAGCTAGTTATAAAAAAATTACACCCAGACGCAGAACAAATGATCGCGCTCAGCACACAATTATTATTGTCCTTGGTAGAAATCGAACCCACCACCTCTGGCATAACAGTCGAGTAACTGACTACTAAACAATCACAGTTCTATCAACTGAGAGGAAACATACTTTGTAAATTTATGGCAACTATTGGATTAAAACGTTTAATCGTTTGAAATGTCAATCTCAAATAAATTAATTGTAATATATTTTAATCAATTCATAATTTGACCTATTTTTTAATTGATTGATCCCCAACTCAGCCGATAATTAAATCGGTGCCCTGTCTATTAATGGTAATTAGTTTATTTTCATATTTTTTGCAGTCATACAGTATACCAGATTCAGTGACATTAACACCTGGACCGTGGTTCGGAGTGCCAGGACTGCCTACTGTCGTATCCTTTTTAATATAAAAATATAAACTTCAAATATACAATAATAACCTACACTATATAGAGCCTGTACTATGGTAACCAGCCTGCTGATAAACATACTTTTATATTTTTAAATACATACATATTATAGATAAAGTACACCCAGACACAGAACAAATGATCTTACTAGTCATACAATTATTTGTCCTGGGTTAGCAGTCAGGGTCACTAACCACTAGACCAACAGTCTTGTCAAGTAATCAAGAACAACCCTAACAGGGTGTAAGGGACGTCTTAACGAATACTGAAATAGTGTATTCAGACCATCATTCTATGTCGAAAATCTTTTTTATGCAACCAGCTGTCAAAGATTAAGGTAATTCCCCGTAGGTATCGCACAAAAGTATTAACTACACTTGTATTCCGTGCAAACAGTCTACGCACACTAACACTTGTGTTATTAAATCGTTTTATGTAATGTGAAAAGTGAGTGAGTGACTTTCTTTAACTCGATGACAGACATTTTACAAAATACCAGAACCGATAACAGCTAATGATCATACCAAAGGAGTAAATGCGGTAAGTACTATTATATGTTTAATATTATAAAGCTTTTCAAATATAGTTGAAGTGGTTAGAAAAACAATTAACGTTGGTTAAAACATTAAAAATGGTATCCACAATTTTTAATTCACATCACATTAAAATGGTGGATGCAGTACGACGCACTAAAACCAATGATAAATTGAAAGCTATAAGACGTCCGTATTAGCCTTCAGAAGATATATATAAGAAAATATTTGAAAAATAATTTCTGGATAAAAATCTGGAACTTTTTACCGTGGGATAAACATGCTTCATACGTATAATCCAGATCAACCGGATACCACGGCCACACAGAAAACCGCTGCTAAGCAATTCTTTCATTACTTTCCATGGAGTGAGTGAAGTCACCAGAGCCCCAACTTAATCTCCCTCTTCACTCTCCTTCTGAAACGCACTTGTGTCTCTTGAATTGAGGCCTAAGTCGCTTATCATTAGGGGATCTTCTCGCTCCATTGATCCCATATACAATAGCAAATTACGAACGTTAAAACAATTATTTTTCAATTCTGATACTGTTACTGTGGCTATTCCAGAGAAATACCAAGCTTGATAGCGGCGAATTTAATGTGAGTAATGTGTTAGGCCATTTACAATTCATTTACTCAGTCAATAGGGTCAGTAATCAGAGGTAGTTTAGTGATTGTTTCTCATAGTAGTCACTGTTTGGTATTAAATATATAATAAGTATCTCGTTCCTTTAATTGAATTTTCTTATAAGTTGTGTCTTTATTTTATTTATCTGTGTTGATACGAACCGTGTAGCTTCATAAATATATAATTACATCAAAACGATTAATAGACCATTTGCGTTAAGAAAATAGTGACGCATCGATCGAGCCCCGCCGCCTGACCAATCAGGTTCCAAGAAATTATCGTTTCGTACGAACTTGGAACTTGATTGGTCAGGGGGCGGGGCTCGATCGATGCGTCGAAAACGATAATAACGAAACCAACGGTGAGTGTTTGATAGATAGTTTGGATCTGATAGATGTGGTTTATATGTTGAACATATTTATATACGTATATTGTTGTTATATACGTATATATACAGCTGGTAGTTTATAACGTGTAAAAGTGAGTACCTATATGTAGTGTTGGTGTGTGCGGGGCAGGTGGGGAGCCGCGAGGGCGCGCTGGCGGCGCTGGCGGGGCTGTCGGGCGGCGGCGCGCGCCTGCCCGCGCTGCCGCTGTGGACGTGCGTGCGCGCGGGCGGCGCGCGCCACCTGCAGCTGCGCCTCGCGCGCGCCTTCCGCGCCGCGCGCGCCGTGCACGCCGTCGTGGCCAGCGCCGGCCTCACGCTGCTGGTGAGTCCTTGATACCTCGCAGGAGACCTGGCGACAGAAAAGGACGACCCGTCTACGCGCCGTCTACACGTCTACACAGTTCATTTTTTTTGTGTAACGCACTTTTCCTTCTCTAATAGTAGATATAATTATTCTAATTCAGAGACCATTTTTAATCGAATATAATATTTGTCGGTATGCGAGACTTTGGTCAATCCTTTCTAATGAATAGTAGGAAACTTTCTTACGCTGTTTGCATTTCTAAAAATTTCATAATTAACAAATCTGAAATATCAATTTGTCAATAAAAATATCTAACGAAATCTGTAAATAGAAATTATTTAAGTTTCATTTAATAGCTGATTAGCCCAACAAACACGATTTTGTCAAAACACCCTATCTGTATTAATCCACAAATAATATTTATAAAGAATCTACATTTTATCTTTCATAAAAATGTTCCTCGGACGCCAACAAATATTTTTTTAAAATATTTAACATTTGGCCTATGACCTTTTTTGACCCTCTTCGGTTATATAGTAAACGAGAACCATATGTCTGCTGAATAAATAATTGTATCATCATGATCGTATAATGATGCGGATATGTAAAGCAAAAAATCTAATTTCCTCATGTATGTGTTTACATTATCAAAACTAGATTTTATGCTTTACATAATAGGCATCATTTTTGTATTACCAAACAATTTCTTTAACTTTCAGAGTGAACGGCCGGGAGGCGATGAACCACCGAATATCGATGTCGTGGTAAGTTTATATTACCATTCGCCCAGGTTGCAAAAAAGAAAAAAAGATGACACGTAAAGAAAAACTTGTATACTGTTATAGAATAATAACAAAATATATTTTTTACTTTGATTTAATTAATTACAGGAATCAGTTTCACACGCATCAGCCTGCGTGGCATTTCAGTTTTCGCCAACCGGCAGCGAGAAACCACCACCTTACTACGACAAACTAAACTCATGGCTGGGACAGGTGCTGCAGAGAGAAGCTGAGATGGTATGTTCTAGTCTAGACGAGAAACAAACATACTACAATACCGATAGTCGGCATTGTTGTATGTTTTTTAACACACGTTTATTTCAGTTATTTGAAAATTGATCGATAGAGTTCTTATTTTGTTGGAGAGTCGGGTGACACCATTGACTATGGGTTATCTATTTAGTACCAAGGTATATATCGATGGAGTATCTAGATTTTTTCTAAAAAACCTCAGCAATAAAAAAATAAAACACATTGACAAAATTATTCAAATTGACACGGAAATTCCACGGAACATCGTCTAGAAATGTGTACTATAGAAAAAATAAACATTTCGAGAAAAATTGTTTTAAAATATAGACTTGTTTTGAATAATATCACTGCAGATTTGTCGGTTATTCATATCGATCTTAAAATTTGAACCCTTGTAACACAATAAACTTTCCATGGTCGTAATAAACCATACCGCGTGGTCTTTATCACCAAAACAACCTGATCAGCTAAAAATACTTTGTCCAGATAAGCATAGAAGTGTGCGAGACGGAGGCGCATGGGGTGGTCCTACGGTACTGCCCGCTGGAGGGCGCGAGCGGGGTGGGGGCCGAGAGCTGGCAGGGCGAGGGGGTGGAGGCGGGCGTGGCGGCGTGGGGCGCGGCGCTGGACGCGCAGCTGCACGTGCTGCACGCCACGGTGGCGCTGCGCCAGACCTTCCAGGCGCGCGTGCTGCACCACGCCTGCCTCAAGCTGCTGCACGTGCCCGGCTGGGCGGGTCAGTCTTGTACATTCTCTATTCAGTCAACATTTTATTTAGAGTTGCTCGATTAGAAACCCGATAAGAACCCCTTATCAAGGGTTATTTTGATATTTCGTAAGTCGCCACGCTGCATGCAAGCGACCGAAATACTCCAACATATCCAAAGTCAAAGGTAATTGGGAGAGAAGAGAGGCAATTGTTGACAACAGAAGATGCAAAATGTTTGGCAACTTGATAAGACACGACAACTTCTAGAATAATACTGGAAGGAAAAATAGAAGGCAAGAGAAAACGAGGACGGACTAAATCAACATTTATACAGCAAGTGAAGGAGAAAGTGGCAGTCGTAGCCTATCAAGAGATCAAACAGATCGCAGGAAATAGAGAAGAGTGGCGATTGCTCCTCCGACAAGAGCAGGAAATAGCTGTTAAATTGAGAGAATCATCCGAAGTCGACTTAAACCATTGATTTTTATTTGTATATGTATAAATAAAAATCAGGAAACCTTATTATGTGATATTACTTGTTTCTGAGTTCGTTTTCATGTTCCGATATTAAATGTCTTCGATTTCAGGTTTGGGCGGGGTCCGATACGTGCCCTCTGGCTGGGAAGATGCTTCACCAGATGAAATAAACTCTTTGAACAGACAGTTGGTGGAAACCTTGAGAGCCACTGACGGGGCGTTCTCGTGTGGAGATGGCGACGATGGACTTGCTTGTGTCAGGTAATAAAAACGTAATTAGTAAACTTTTTTATCTAAATTAAAATTATTATTCATAATTTAGATTTACGTAGTACAAGTGATCTACTCGGTTCGGTTCACTATTTATAAACATGCTTTGTTTTGTTCTAAAAATATTTAAAACAAAAATCCTTTTCAGGTTCGGTATGGTGACTGAAGACACGGATGTAGACGAATTACTAGACTTAGTAATATCTGCTGGAAAAGAGGTCGAAGAAAGTTCCAGAGCGCTCACCAACATGACTGAAGTATTAAAGAAAGGTAAGTCACATAAATAATCGTAATTACTAAAGTTTCTGGTGCTAATATCTCCAGTAGCGAAAAAAGAGAGTTAGTTTCATAATGGGTTTGTTTTTTGCATCTTTCACTGAAAGTTTAAAATATAATAAAGTTCATGTCGGCTCGAAGGACCAAAGTTGCTTAAATAAAGTTCATGTCGGCTCGAAGGACCAAACCTTCGAGCCGACATGAACTTTATTTAGCGTATAAAACGACTCACTGATTCCCAAACGTTTTACGTATTAAAGCTTATATGTACAACTGTCTCTGTTTTCGTCATAAGGTATCGAGGCGGCCCAGGCGGACATCGAGCGCGAGAACGCGGAGCGGCTGTGGCAGGAGGGGCTGCTGCGGCGCGTGCCGGTGGTGGGGCGCGTCGTGGACTGGTGGGCGCCCGCCGCCGTGCAGCCGCCCACCGGCCGCCGCCTGCACCTCGCGCACGGCACGCTACAGACCACCGACGACGTGTACAGGTCAGAGCTGTAGTGTGTGTAGTGTGTGTGGTGTGTATAGTGTGTATAGTGGCCGCCGCCTGCACCTCGCGCACGGCACGCTGCAGACCACCGACGACGTGTACAGGTCAGAGCTGTAGTGTGTGTAGTGTGTGTGGTGTGTCTAGTGTGTATAGTGGCCGCCGCCTGCACCTCGCGCACGGCACGCTGCAGACCACCGACGACGTGTACAGGTCAGAGCTGTAGTGTGTGTAGTGTGTGTGGTGTGTATAGTGTGTATAGTGGCCGCCGCCTGCACCTCGCGCACGGCACGCTGCAGACCACCGACGACGTGTACAGGTCAGAGCTGTAGTGTGTGTAGTGTGTGTGGTGTGTATAGTGTGTATAGTGGCCGCCGCCTGCACCTCGCGCACGGCACGCTGCAGACCACCGACGACGTGTACAGGTCAGAGCTGTAGTGTGTGTAGTGTGTGTGGTGTGTATAGTGTGTATAGTGGCCGCCGCCTGCACCTCGCGCACGGCACGCTGCAGACCACCGACGACGTGTACAGGTCAGAGCTGTAGTGTGTGTAGTGTGTGTGGTGTGTATAGTGTGTATAGTGGCCGCCGCCTGCACCTCGCGCACGGCACGCTGCAGACCACCGACGACGTGTACAGGTCAGAGCTGTAGTGTGTGTAGTGTGTGTGGTGTGTATAGTGTGTATAGTGGCCGCCGCCTGCACCTCGCGCACGGCACGCTGCAGACCACCGACGACGTGTACAGGTCAGAGCTGTAGTGTGTGTAGTGTGTGTGGTGTGTATAGTGTGTATAGTGGCCGCCGCCTGCACCTCGCGCACGGCACGCTGCAGACCACCGACGACGTGTACAGGTCAGAGCTGTAGTGTGTGTAGTGTGTGTGGTGTGTATAGTGTGTATAGTGGCCGCCGCCTGCACCTCGCGCACGGCACGCTGCAGACCACCGACGACGTGTACAGGTCAGAGCTGTAGTGTGTGTAGTGTGTGTGGTGTGTATAGTGTGTATAGTGGCCGCCGCCTGCACCTCGCGCACGGCACGCTGCAGACCACCGACGACGTGTACAGGTCAGAGCTGTAGTGTGTGTAGTGTGTGTGGTGTGTATAGTGTGTATAGTGGCCGCCGCCTGCACCTCGCGCACGGCACGCTGCAGACCACCGACGACGTGTACAGGTCAGAGCTGTAGTGTGTGTAGTGTGTGTGGTGTGTATAGTGTGTATAGTGGCCGCCGCCTGCACCTCGCGCACGGCACGCTGCAGACCACCGACGACGTGTACAGGTCAGAGCTGTAGTGTGTGTAGTGTGTGTGGTGTGTATAGTGTGTATAGTGGCCGCCGCCTGCACCTCGCGCACGGCACGCTGCAGACCACCGACGACGTGTACAGGTCAGAGCTGTAGTGTGTGTAGTGTGTGTGGTGTGTATAGTGTGTATAGTGGCCGCCGCCTGCACCTCGCGCACGGCACGCTGCAGACCACCGACGACGTGTACAGGTCAGAGCTGTAGTGTGTGTAGTGTGTGTGGTGTGTATAGTGTGTATAGTGGCCGCCGCCTGCACCTCGCGCACGGCACGCTGCAGACCACCGACGACGTGTACAGGTCAGAGCTGTAGTGTGTGTGGTGTGTATAGTGGCCGCACCTCACTACTACTCCACTTAGTTTAAACGAATTAAAAGTATATATAGCCAATAATAATATAACCATCATGTTTCTTCTACAGGTCCCTTCAAAAGAAGGACTCGGAACCTGCACGCGCACACTCCCCAACGCGACAAGTTCAAAATGCACAATAACATATTGTGAGTTGTACACACCTGTATTGTAAAGCCAACGGATACATACGCCTTTGGGTACAAACACTGGCCAAAATATAAACACGATTGCAGAATCGTCCAACACAACTCTGCAGTGTCGCACTTAGTTCGGAATGTCACTTACCGTCAGTAAAGTTTTCAACATTGCGTCAATCAAAACTGTCATTTTTCTTTAAGTAAAAATGGACTGACCGTGCGAGAAGTATATTTCGGCACGCATGGGCTGGCTTGACCGGAGTGAAAACACGATCTCACAGACAACCAGTTTTGAGCAATTCTCTCGTTACTTTTGAATTAATGAGAGGTTACCGTATGCACAACCTCTCCCTCGTTACTTGAGGGCAATTCAAGCGCGGCAACCCGCTTGTGTCCCTTGAGTTACCAGCGTTCATGGGTAGCGATAGTGGCGCGATTTGACAAACCCGTTGGTCTAGTGTTTAATGACCCTGACTGCTAACCAGTGGGTTCGATTCCCGCCCAGGACAAATATTGTGTGATTTCGTTTGTTCTGTGTCTGAGTGTAATTTATCTATAATATGTATGTACTTAGAAATATATAAATATGTTTATCGGCAGTCTGGTTACCATAGTACAGGCTCTGTCTAGTTTGGGATCAGACAGCGTAAGACGTATGAGTTATTATAGTAGGTAGCCCTCTCTACCTTAAAAAAAAAACAGAATGTTGAGCTATTTATTCTATTTCAACTTACGCTGTGTTGACATTGTAAGTTTACTTATAAACTGCCTGTCAGTTAGCTATATTTTTCTTCGAATTTGGATTAGTAAAACAAGAGGCTATGATTGACACAGTGTCGAAACTTAACTGACTTTACAGACAGTTTAGATACCAAAGATTGCTTATTCGAAATTATACTACTATAGTCCATCAACGTCGTGCGCGACCGTCCTGCGGGGTGACAGACGGTGGCGGGGACGTATTATTTTTGTTACACACGCTATATTGCAGAGTTACGTTCGGCAGCACTGCACAATCGCAAGTATTATAAAACGGTTGGAGCGTGAAACGGACCGTTGTTGGAGAATAACAATAAGAATATTTAAACGTAATATTAATTTGTAGATCTTTGGAGGCGATACTAAGCGTGTGGAAACGCCTTATTGCACTGATCTGTAAAAAAAATATTGTTTTCAGAAGTTAAAAAGAGTTAGTGGTAGATTGGAGCACGATGAAGGAATGTTAGTAATATAGTTAAATAAATATAAACTAACTAAATTAAAATAATACTTATTGAGAAACGTTCTATCGTCAAATGATAAGGAAATATTTGTAGTTTATGTATCTATGTCTTATCGATTCCCATAATCGATTGATTCGATTTAAAATCGAGTTTTAATTAAATAGTACCTTTATAAGTTTTACTTGTAACGTTTAAACAACATTTTTTACTGATGTAAAAAAATATGTAATTCACAATATAATCTCAAATTATATGAAGTGGTAAACAAAATAATACTGTTACAAATTTTAGATGTAAATAAAAGGAGTGGTATTCATATTTGCTGTTGAACGGTAATTTCGGAATCGATAGCGGTCATTCATCAAGATGGTGACAGCGGGTGAAAATTGATTAATAAAAACTGATTTCACATTTGTTGACGTGCTCCAATCTTTTTAGTGTAAATGTTAAAGTGATACTGAGGGTTGTATTATTGTATAGACCATATATAGAGATGGAAATATTCTCCGCTCGTGTTCATACTTCGTAATACAATCCCCGTAGTTAATAAGGTGGTTTGGCAGAGAAAGAGAAAACATTTAATTTGAATAAAGAAAAAAAAATACTTTTTTAACAGCCAACGGGTCGTAGCTAAAGGGATAGGTCGATAAGGCAAGTACGCTGGACTCTGAATTCGCTAAAACCACACGGTGTTCCATCGAGTCTTATAACCAGTGTCAGGTGTACCGTCAAACGATGCCTGCCAGTCCTTTTTTTTCCAGCCAACAGTTCAGGCCTTTACCTGGTTCCTACTAAGTACATAAAATCAAAAAATATGTGTACGTAAATAGCCTGGTACTAAAGAACCAAAAATTGTAAAATAACACACTTTACTAAATAATACATTTAGTTAAAATTTGTAAAAATTTAAAATATAGGCTGGTCACATTAAAAAAGTAAAAAAAAATAATTAAATGTTTTTAATTTCTCTGCCAAACGTAAGTAGCCCTTGTAATACCAGCTGCAAATAAATGCAGTTTTTTTTATTCATCAATACATTTAATATTAGATACGATGTATAAACACGGTCCAGTAGAAATCGTTGATTAAATAAATGGCAATACTAGTTGATATGAAGTATGTTTAGGTAATTAATGTAAGACTCGAAATTACGATAGATATACTAGATGAGAAAAGAATTGAAATTTAAGTCAATGGTTACTATTATATATTTTACAAATTATTCCATTGTATTAATTAAAAGCACACATTAAAATTTTAAAACACACCCGAACTAAAAATCCCTTCAAGGTATTGAAAAGAGCGGGTAATCTTCAAACAGACTTTCTAAGAATTAATGTTCTAGGTCCGAGTTTATTTCCAAGGAAATTTTAATCGAAATCGGTTTGTTTGTTTAGGAGTTATGGTGCCACAGAGAGACATACATATACTAGACACATTATAACACCCGTCTCCGTCCGTTTAGGAGATTAGAAAAGTAAGACAGGTTTCGATATTCTCATTCATTGTATTCCCATAATAAACGTGTTTTCTGTGTATTAACAAAACTGTTAGGAAAAAATTGCGATCGGGTGTTAATAACTAAATTATATCAATATTTTGTTTTTTATTAAACTGAGATGGTTGCCTCTCTAGACTCAATAGAGGGCGTGGAAAATAATAATGATGACTTTGAATGTAGTAAACAAATATGCTATATTTTGGGTTGCCATAGCGAAATAAATGAAAAAAAAATATACAAACACATTTATATAGTATTTTATTGTTTCTCATAAACACCTATTAATATACGTTTGGTTAAATCAGGTCCATACAAAGCAATATACAGATAATATATACGTCATAAATGTCAATTTAGAAGCAGCTCCTGTATAAAATAGTTATAGTATTATTATGAAGGCTGGCCACACCATTTGCGACGGCTAATAGAAGGCAGTAATAATATAGTTGACTGTCGTGAATTTAGTTAGAATATTCTTTTTAATTTAGAATGGTACACTTGCCGTTTAGTTAGGTTCAAATTAAAGAAAAAACACCAGTAAAGAATTGAATTGAAAATGAAATGATATTTATTTCTGAAAGTAAATCTTTTCAGATATTTTTACCAATCGAACTTTACAGCTAGTACGCGCCGGCATTTCCTAAGACTCACTCTGGGAAGAAACGCCGAAACAAACCACAGAGGTGTCTTTTTTTAACTCCGTGTACAATGTTAAAGAGAACTATGTGGTCTGGGTTGGTCTTTTGAAGAAAGGACCATAGTTTTGAGTGAGAGAATTCCAAGTTATGTTTTGTTAGTTTTACTATTCATTGGTCTTTTAGCTGACGCATTTAGTGATTATGTCGACGGGTATTTTACGACGGTCAGCCTTCGATTATTTCTCCAATCAAACAGGAACGAGTTAGCAGATCTTGTCAATGATAAAATGCCCACTACAAAGAAATCGGTGCCTTGATAATTTTCTCATAACTTTTCAGCAGTTAGGGAACGTACTTTTACTGGAGGCCCTCTTACAATCCTCCTCTCTCCCCCATCGGTGATAAACGTTAGTATATCCCAAGACCCTCGACTCTTGTTTTCACGTTGTATTCCATAAATATTGTTTTTTACAAACATAAATATAAAAAAGTATCAAATTTGTCTTTGTTAGTGGTGCTTGGCATATATGATATCGACTACGTGACGGAAAGTTAAGCCCTCCCTTACCCAAGCGTAGTATTTTGAGGACCCCCTCTTCCTCGGTACGTTCCCTTATAACGATACAGCTCTTTTAAAATATAAAGTAATTGCCTTTAAAATTAAGATAAAGATAAGTTAGTGGAGTGTAAGAATTATATTTTATTATCACAATAATATGTATGCTTAGTATAGGGTTACATATAAGTGTGATACCATTTATAATATTGTAATTATACCGGTTTAAATAAGGCTCTTATTTACATAACATGTTATTGTGTTATATCAAGAGCTTAAATTTAGGATAGGAATACACTCGATGAACTCGAGAACACGTGATACCACGACCTCAGAAGCTCAGGCCTCAGGCTTTTTTTTTTAAACACAATTCTCGCACACAACCCCGTTGTGTCGTGGGGGACTTAACAAAAAATTATGTAACGGACACAAAGAACACCCAGACTCAGACTCAGACCAACAATTTGTGGATCACGCAAAGTGTTGTCCCACGTGGGGATCGAACCCACAACACTCAGCGAGGTGACCGCTTACTTGCAGTCAATTCTTTCGTTCTTTTTCACCGCCGCCCCCCCCCCCCCTCTTCCTCCCATTTTCTATTTCTCTCTCTTTCTCTATTTTGGATGGGAGAGAGCACAAAAAGTCCACCACCACTTGTGTCTCTGTATGTTTAGGCGACGGTACTTACCTAACGTTAGGTTACCCATATGCTTTTGTCCCTATACTATAGAAAAAACTGATTCTGAATCTCGAATTTTCCTTAAAATGTATACGGTATTAGTGACTCAACAATGTTAACTTCAACCGATAGCGTCAGAGGGAGGTATTGTAAGTTTATTTCACGGCTGAATGGCGTTGTGGTTCATATAACGGACTGCTACGCTCAATGTCAAGGGTTACATTCCCGCTCAAGTCAAACATTTGTGTGCATGAACATTTAATGTTTGATTTGGTCTGGGTGTTACCATGTCTAATCAAAAAAAATAATTAATGTATTAATATCAGTTGTCCTAGTACCTATAGTTTGGGCTGTGCTTAGTTTAGGACTAGATGGTGGTGTGTGAATGTGGCAGAAAATTATATTATTTTACATTGACTCGATCGTCACGATTGTGATTGGTGAAGAATTTAGTTCGGGCCAATCGCAACGAAGTGAAATAAACTCACACTGGGCCCTCTGATGTCACACACGTCACCTTACACCTTGAAACTGGACCTTGCCGTCCGGTCTCCACACAATGCAAAATCCTATTAATAGACCTCGCAAATATATATAGGATTTTAAGTTGATTTAAACTCTTGGTATAACATGACAGTTGATGACGTCATTATATGTGATTATTTCTTTAAGATAATTTAGAATATTTAACCATTTAACGCACATCAATTTTATCGCCATATTACACATAGTAGGAAATACATAACGTTTGATAGGTTCATTTAGTTTCCATACACAGTTCGCTCTGTGAGAAATCACAGTAAAGTTAAGAATATAGTTATTGTGGTTTCATGTGTTTTTTTTTCTTTTCTGTATGTATTTAGTCTCATTAACACATTTTCACTTTTTACCGAGTGATTACCGGAGCTTAAAAGCCAACCGTGTGGTGACGGATTAAGAATACGGAGTGTCAACACCCCTATTCATCCCGTGGGTGTCGTAAGAGCCGACTAAGAGAGCAACAGCACCGCAAAGAGATGGAAAACTTGAAACAAACCCTATGCCAATCCGTCTGGCCATCGTGGTACAGTAGGCCAAAACCTTATTTCTAAGGAGAGGTCTATGTCCAGCAGTGGACTATTAAAGGCTGTTGATAATGATGATGATGAATCCCCATCTCTGCCAGATTCTGAGATGGCAAGACTCTCAGTCTTCTACAGGTGTTGATGGTCGGTGGTAGTCATCAGGTGACCCGTCCGCTCGTTTGTCCTCCTATACCATAAAAGAAACATTCATTCATTTTGTTTTCAAAATTAAAATAATACGTGTAGAAGTGATAATAACGTTTATTTTGGTACAAATATGTCTGTATTTACTTAGTTATAAGATTTGATAGGTTTTCTTCCAAAATTGGTTGTTGATTTATATTTGCGTGTCAAATCAAAAATGAACCTTTAATTAACTATCATAAAGATTATAATTAAATATACATGGTTATTAAATGATAGCGGTATGTATCATCAAATTAAAAAAATGTAAAAAAAAATATAAGCTGAAATTGTACCTTTTAGGTTTACCAATATAAATGTATTATTTCATATATATATACATATAAACAAAACGCAAGTGATAAAATTGCCGTAAATTTTATAATTTACCTACTATCGCAGCCTGGGCCTCATGTTTGCTTGCTACTCTAGTGGTAGTTGTATTGTATTTTGTAATTTGTCTTAATGTATGAGAAGGCGGAGTTAGACTACTAATGAACTACAATAGGTCCATTGAATATAATTTTCATTATTATTATAATTCTATATCTTTCGTATATTAATTGTATTTAAAATAACTATTTTATTTCTATGCCAAGATAAAATGTATATGTCTCAATGCAAATACATTTACATTGTAATTAAATTACTGTTATAATTCAATTAACATGTAATTAATTGAATAAGTTATTAAATGATTAGAAAATAAAACTATACAATGTTATTTAATATTGTTTTATTAATTACTATTGAGTCACTGTGCACTGTTGTAGGGAAATACCTTAATTTTAGAACAACATGTTGCCTTTGTAAAATTAATTATTATTATTAATTAATTAAATGAACAATTAAAGATTTCATTTATTGTAAGTAACTTATAAAAATAAGTATCACCGACTTTGTCCTTTAAACATGAGAAATTTATTTTTCATCCCTTAAGAGTGGACCATTAGAGGTAGAACATTGTCTTTAAATTTAAAGAGCATCAATCTGAATTACACTCAATTCAGTTATAAAAGAAGCATTGACAATCACTTCTGAAATGTCGACGATAGCGCGTAAACTTAATTCATTTAACAAATCAGTTGAGTGGAGAACATTCTATTTTTTTTTCAAGTCGGTTATGTACCACGATCTTGCCATTCTAATGGGTTGCCACACCGCCCTGTTTCTGCTAGGGTGGCAGACAGATGGCCTCACCTGTCACACCAATGCCTGCGCTCATTGAGGACGAAGAGCGACGAAAGTGTTTAAATACCATGGTACCGAGCAGGATAATTCCCAATCCGATGGCCGTCTAGGTCTAGCCTCTGGGCCCGCGCTGGGCATTCTGCCATGGTAGATCAGACAAAGGTGATCTCCGAATCAGCCTATCCCTGTAATCGCCTGCGTCAGCCGGTATAAGAGTCTTACCGCCGCAATAACGACGTGACCGATGTGTCTACCCCGTCTGAAATTATTTCTATCTAATTTTGTGACGTGCTGAGTATATATCGGAGCTCTTAGCGACGTCTCTGAGCGGCCAGAACGGTCTTCATTCTCACCTAAATTGTCACACCGATGTTTGTTTAGATAAGAAAACCTATTGTCTCTAACCAAACAACACCTGCCAAATTATGATCTTGATTTTAATTCAGAAAAACGTGATTGATAAGTAAAGAAATAAAACAAAAATTATAATAAAATAAACATATATATTACAACTCACGTACATACGTCCACGGGTTTCAAGTTCGATATAAAAAACTTATAAACTAAAGAAATTTACCAATAGTAGGTATTTTATGAGCGAAATTAGTAGATAAATCATATAATTACGAGGTAATTCTCGTACAATATTCGAAATCAACATTTAAAATATGTATTAAAGGTAGGCCTACCAAATGCAATTGAGTACGATATACTTATAATGAGACTAGTCTTATTTCCCGTTGTTATGACTCCAAGATAAACAACAGTAGGTAGTGCATAAAACAACGTATCTTCCACGGACAAACCGATTATTCGATTTTGTGCAGCAGATCTACAGATCTACGAAATGGTTTATGAATAAATACTTATATCTATCTAACTCAGTACAAAGTTTAGTAAAAGGTATTATTTGAGCTACGCAGAGACAAAAAACTGCGCTGCAGTATTCTTTCGTATATTTTTCATTGGTATTGCTTACACTTTAATGATTTTACTTCAAAAAGTCCGTCTGCAAAAACCTTCCTAGCATCCGACCTAAAAACATACAGATAATATAATAGAAGGAGCGAACTATATGTTCCTCTATAAGTGGTAACGTGCGGTCGTTAGACAGAGAAAGAATATTGTTTTGGTCTTGCATCTCTCTCTCCTCTCTGCACTGATTGGCTGATACTGAAGAGGACATTTAAAATAGCTAATCATTGTCAAGAGCGAGAGAAGAAGAAGAAGAGAGAGAGAACCGTACGCGATAGCACCTTGTTCGCTTCCTCTATATTTATAAGCTCTTTGCTTATAAACGCATGTTGACTTACGCTGTCGTCGCCATCTTTATTGCATATCTTAAAATATGTGTTAACTTGCTACTTTGTCATTCGTTGCTCTTTTTTTATCATTGCAACACTTAACTATGTTAGAAAACTCTCGGTTAATGCTCATTTGCTGGACAGTAGGTATAATCTTAAGTACATTGAAAATCTATAGATACTAGTAGACCACAGAATTGAATTTGCAAATATGCAAAATGTCTAAACTTAATTTCTAAAAATTGTGTCATTTTACGACTCTTCGGTAGAAAGTTAACTAAAAAACTTTTCGAGTTTGTTTTCAATTGTTTGATCAAATCTACAGAAACTTAAAGAAGCCCAGAAAATTTTTAAAAATCACAGCCCAAAGTTATCCCCAAACATTTCATAAACTTCTGGATAATATTTCTGTGCTAGTTTAGCATATACCGAATTACTATTCACTTTGTAGGCGGCGGTAAATTTGTTCCATACGTGGTAGGTGTATGGTGCCTCGACGTCAAGCTCTTTCTCCTCAAAGTAATCGGCAGCATTCAACCAAGTAACTGGGTAGAACAACTCTGGCGCGTAAACTTCGAAACCTGAAAATTGAATTAGAGGATTTTTAACTCATGGATGTTAGAAACAGAGTGTCACAACATCTATTCACCCCATGGGTGTCGTAAGAGCCGACTAATGGAGCAAACTACGCAGGACCTCAGTACTCAAAAGAAACGGAAAACTTGAAACAAACTATACAAATCCGTCTGTATTGTAGGCCAAAACTTCCTTTGTAAGGAGAGCCCTATGACGAGCAGTAGACTACTATAGGCTGTTTATGGTGATAATCATTCAAATTCAGTGTTGCCAAATGCTGATAAACTAAGCGGAGAATGGTGAGTTCGTATTTATTTTTAAGTCAAAAGATACAACTCTAACAATGTTATTGTAGAATTACACGTATTAAAAAAAAAAAATACATTTTTCAGAATAGAACTAAATCTTTAGATTGAGTACTGCACAGATAGATAGGCTACTGAGCAGTCACTGATAAACAATTATAGTTCTGGACTTCTCTTGGTTTGACGGTTGATTGAATTAGTATGTGTCATAAATAAAAATTAACGCACCTAGACAAGTGGAAGCCGACATTTCAGGTAGGTAATTTGTAGAGCATATTGTTTGCAATATTTTTGTGATGACTCCAGGCCCGTTGCGGTCCCATACGTCGCCTCTGTAGTTATCTTTTAAGTCTCTAAGAAGGTAATAAAACTGGTAATATATTTAAAGAACGAATATTTTCACTAATATTAATGAGTTTAATAGCATCCTAACAGTGCCGTAACTAGAGGGGTGCCTAGGCACAAGACGCAGATAATTATCATAATAATTTCACACATCTTACACACGGCAGGCTGATTCTAAACTAGACAAAGCCTATGCTATGGTAACCAGGCCGCTTATAAACATACTTCTATATTTCTTAACACATTCATGTTATAGATAAATTACACCGAGACACAGAACAAATGATAGTACTCGTCACACAATTATTCGTTTTGGGTGGGAATAGACCCCATGACTCTGGCTTAGCAGCTTACCAGAATAAAGAAACCAACAGTTTAGTACAGATTTAGACGCATATCAAGAGACGCTCTCGCAGAGGGGCAGACTTGCACCGGGCGCGTTAAATGCAAGTTTCTATACGGTACTGCATCCTCATGAATATCTATATACCTATTTAAAAATGTTAATTTGGTTTGTGTACACTTCAGGAACTCGGAAAGTACTGCGCCGATTAAGCTCAAATATGACACAAAATACAAACCGCGTCAAAGATTGTTTTATCTATCTTTCGCATTGGTTTTTCCTAATGTCTCATAACTGCACCCACAATGCGTCACAGCGAAGCGTCAGGGTACACCTTCTTTTTTTTTTTGTTTCCGTTCGGAAATCCCCTCGGATACCACCTATCGGTGGCATGTCGGACTCGAACCGACTAAAACCGCACACCGTCTCGGGTACTAATAGTCGGGGAAACCAGGTATACCCTAGAAAGGAAGTCCCTGGTGCCGCGTCAGGGTACACCTAGTTATATATAAGAATGTAAGTTCATTTGTTTTCTCAGCTTTCATTTGTCAACTACTCAATCTGTTGTCATGAAATTTTGCACAGTTTCTTTGAAGGGTAAGGCGGCGGCGGACTGGGACTAAAAGGTAGAGTTACATATTGAAAAACAAATATGGTAAGAGATTTTTTGATAATATTATTTATAAATATTTTGATTTGTTTGTCCGTAAAGCATATCCTAAAAAAATAAAATTCTGATAGAGTTAACCAATCTGGATGAAGTTATCGGGAGCTTAAACCCCTTTAACCCTGAGGAGAGGGGGGAGTCCAATGGTGGCAGCGTACTTGTGTCTCTTGAGTGTCGTCGACTGCGGTGGTCACTTATCAGTAATAACTAAAATAATAATTAAGTCCATTTCGAAAATATCTTGGCAGGAAGCATGTCCGTATTAGACTTCATCATACAAAATTTGTGCTCCGTGTTGACGAATTAAGAATACACAGTGTCACCACCCCTGCTCGTCTCGTGGGTTCGTAAGAGCCGAGTAAGGGAGCAAACTACGCATGTCAACAGCACTGCAAAGAGAAGGAACACTTGACACAAACCCTATACCAACCCGTCTGGCCGGCGTGGCATAGTAGGCCAAAACCTAAGGAGAGGCCTATGTCCAGCAGTGGACTATTAAAAGCTGTTAATGTGATGATACAAAATTTATAATTAATCAATTAATTTCGGCCATTGGATCAATAAAGAAATTGTGACATAACTATATGAATAGTATAGTAACTTTATTTTATAAATTAGTTGTGGAATATAACAAGTTAGGTAGCACAGAAATCAAGTGTAATAGTAGAAATCAAGTGTTATAGTGTAGTATAAAAATTTAAGGCACGATTTCATCGATTTCATCCACCGGCTGATCAAGACCAACTTAATTAATATCATGTAGGAGTTAATTGGTCTCCTTTTATAGTCACTGCTCCTTCGCTGAAAATTGTATCCTAGGTAATATTACACACCCGGCTAACTCACTCAATCATATGTCTAAAACAATATAATTATTCACATCTGACCGATAGTTACAAAATTTGATAGATAAAAATTATGTAAGTATACCTTAATGCTAGATCTGCAATCTCCCTCCCTAAAGCGTCTTTCGAGAAGGAGAGTGCTCCCGAAGCAACTAACTTATCACTATCCCGCGCAGCCCAGTTTGGTGCTAAATCGTCGAACGATCTCACTACGACCACATCTAAATCCAAATAAATCCCTCCCCACTTATACAACGACAGAAACCTTAAAACATCAGATGTGTGAGAAATTCTCCAACGCGTTCTGTTCAACGCACCACCACTTACTAAATCTTCTAAAGGTGTCCATTTAGCATAATCCACCAAATGTAACCTCAAAACTTTTACATTCTCATATTTCTTTAAGGCGTTAAAGGCCGGCGCGTTAAGATTCTCTTCCTTTACTGGCCCCGTAAATAACAGATTCACCTGCCTATCTGGGTGAACTCTAGCAGCAGATTCCACAGCACATGCTTGTCTACTGTTTAATTTTCCTGTGCATGAAGTTTCATGGAAATAAATTGAGTTATCAGGTGGATTGAAACGTTCATCGATCGCTGGTAAGTGATCATCATCGTATGAGTAATAACAGGATATGTCCTCAAATGCTCGTAAACTTAAATAATAAAGGTCTGGTGACCAATCAGTCTGCAAAAAAATCACACACGACACCACAAAGAATACAACACTTAGAGTGAAAGGTTTTCGTTTTATTATTTTTTTTACTGAGCGTCTTAACACAAGAACCATTGTCACTGGGGCATTAACTGCCAAATACTGCACTGGGGAGATAAGCGGCAATAATATAACGTGGAAAAGATAATTTTCAGTGAGATAGATAAAAATATACACATATTGTCTATTTGGGTATCGTAATTCGGGCGTAGACATCATACGGCTTTAGGCTTTAGCTGACAGGTTAAACAAGCAATATTAATACATTGTGCTATATCTGGTGGTAAAATATTTTATGCCGAATATTTTAAATTATGTGTTATTTTATGTTACTATTCGTATAATACAAATAACGGTTAAAAAGCACGACATTTTGTTCTGTGTCTTTGTGTAATTTATCTGTAATATGCATGTTTTAGTATTAGAAAAATGGATATCAACATCCATGTACTGAAAAAGCCAATATCTTGTGTTAATACGGTGTTGGGTATGCAATTAGTCAAAACCACTAGCACGATCGACCTACCTATATTTATTGTAAACCTGTTTGTATCCCTGAAGAATAAATAAATAGGTAAAACACCCGTACCCCATCACAAAGAACTATCCTCCGATCAAGGTGATCGTGCCTAGTGGACCGCGGACCAATAAGTTTTATATTAATCATATAGCTACTAATCAGTTAGAGAACTTTTATTGCTCCATGCAAGATTAGTTACTCCGTAGTTCGTTGTTTCTTCGTTGGATGGTACCGAAGTTTGTTATTCATTGTACATATGTGGAAGTCACTTCATTAATCTTGTCGGGCAGCTTTATTGCAGTGTTTACAACAATATATTGCAACGCATTAATTTATAACTATATATCCAGTTCAAACAGAGAGTTGTAAATAAAAACATGTTGAAAAGACTCATTTGAAGTTCTTGCTCACGAAAGAGTTATTAGGTGAAGACCAGCTTGTCATTTTTTGTCGTTGTACTTCAAAACAACACGTCTTACGTTACAATGTTCCTTAATTCTTTTTTTAGCATGACGCCGTTATTTAAAACAAAAAAAAATATCGAAATTTATAGTCAGTCAAATTAATGGCATACTGTCTCTTACATTAGGTACATTTTTTAATCTATATTAAAAAAAACAATATGTACACACTTTACATACATAGACTACATAGACTTTGGTAGTTTTTTTTTAAATTTATAGAAGACGGACTGTCAAGTCATTTAAATGTCAAAGCGTTAGATGCTGTACAAACCATAAATAACGGATTGACAATTTCACTAGGATGCTACTAGGTCGTCCGTTTGGTTAGCACGTGCGTCTAGAATTCTTGTGTGATTTTGTGACTATTGGGTCTTTTTTTTTTTGTTATTTTGTGCTGTCCTATTGGTTACGGTGTGTTGTTTGCAACTAAACATTACCGGTAAGTGAACATGAACGGAAATAAACCGCCCGACCCTCCCGATATTCCATATCCAGTAACCCCTCCTTTCACCCCTACTCCTTCCCTACCCGATCAACCCTCAACCCCTTCCAACCCCTTAGAACAGTTTGCCAATGTGATCTGCAATGCAGCGGTCCAAGATAATTGCCCTCTCGCTACAAACTCACGTAAACGACATGTGAACGATGAGGTAAGTACCCCCCCTATTAAACGTAGCCCTAATCAAGTAAGAAGCCCGCTAGGTCGTGACAAGTACACGACAAATGATACTGGTCCCTACATTGTGCATGTTTCCCGCATGGAGACCCAATTGGGTTCTGGCACAACTCTCCACCCTGTCTCTTTTGGTGTTTTCCTTTTTAAAAATAAAATTAACAATGTGGTCAGAGATGGAGTCAAAAAAGTAGGTCGTAATAGGGTGTCAGTACAGTTTGCATCCCCTCAGGATGCCAACTCATTTTTAATAAACCCCTTACTAAATTCACATAAATACACTGCCATCATCCCCACCTTTAACATCACTAGAATGGGTGTAGTATCAGGCATCCCCACCGACATGGATGATGAGGATGTCATTAAATTTGTTACAGTGCCGCAGGGTTGTGGCCCAATAATTAAAGTCAGGCGCCTTAATAGGAAATGTTTTACTGAAGGTCTATTGGAGTGGAAACCTACGGAAACCTGTGTCCTCACTTTTGATGGCCAGGTTCTGCCTAAAAGAGTATACTGTTGTTACAACTCGCTTCCTGTTCAACAATATATTTACCCAACCGTACAGTGTAGGAAATGCTGCAGGTTTGGCCATGTGGAGTCCATCTGCAGGTCCAAACCAAGATGCAGCAAGTGTGGCCACGAACATCCTGGTAATGGTTGTGAGGTATCAGAAAGAGAGGCCTTTTGTGTGCTGTGCTCCGGTGACCACTTTGCTTATAGCAAGGCTTGCCCGGAGTATGGTAGACAGAGAGCTATTAAGACCATGATGGCGGAAAGGAACATATCCTACATGGAAGCAAGCAAGGTTGTTCCCTCTCCAACACGCCGATACGCTGACATCCTAAAAGCTCCACAACTCAACCAACTCCCTCAACCTTCTCAATCCACTCAGCCTACCCAATCCCTCCAGCACACACAGTCCTACAAAAAAACTGTGGTTCGCCAACCTAAACCTCGATCCCCACTCTCACACTCCTACGATAAAGTCGCACACCAAGCCATTACTCAACCTCCCCAACCTTCACAACCTAATGGTTGTGCTATGAATAACTCATCCCTTGAATCCTCAACTATTGATCTTCTGTTACAACTCTTAACCTCCCTACTATCCCCCAATTCATCTCTATCCCAGTCTATTATACCGTCCAACGTTGCTGTCTCACTTATCAATATTTTAACAAATTTCAAAAATGGCGTCCCACAAAGTATTCCTACAATGGAATGTGAGGAGTGTATTCCATAAAAAACACGACCTCATATTCCTGTTGAACAAATTCAAGCCTCTGGCTATTTCTCTCGCTGAGACCTGGCTTTTACCAAGTCTCAACTTCCATGTCCCCCATTTCAATATTCTTAGATGTGATAGGCCTGATGGCTATGGAGGTGCTGCCCTCCTTATTAATAATAAAATCCCCTTAGTCCCCCTATCCTTGCCCCCATTCCTTGAGGATATCAGCGTGGTTGCAGCTAAGATCTGTAACATATCTGTGCTCTCTATTTATATAGCCCACCCCCATCAAAGTTTCCTGCCTACATTGAGAACGATTTTACAGGATCTACAGGGCCCAATATTGGTTATGGGAGACTTGCTTGGAACTGCCATCACTATAGATGGGGATCTGAACACTGCGACTCTTTCGGTTCAGGTTTAGTGGAGATCCTCGATGATCTGAGCCTCTGCGTACTTAACAGTGGCTGCTCCACTCGTAGAGTTCTTCCTGGTCAAAATAGTAGCTGTGTGGATTTGACTATTTGCTCACTCGACATCGCCGCAGCTGCTAGCTGGCAGTGCACCGATCTGTCCCATGGTAGCGATCATTATCCAATTTTAGTAACCCTCCCAACTTCAACCCACTTGGTAAAATCTCCCCCCCCCCCCTTTTACAATATATCCTTTCAGAAGCTAACTGGCAAAATTTCTCCCAAACCCTCGAAAACTCTGTGAATGCTCTCCCCAGACTAGACCTTAGACCCTTAACCCAGGATGATCGTTACCTGGTGATGGACTGTTGTGACGCGTTCGTAGAGGCAATCAGATCAAGTGCAGACAGTTCCTTCAAAATTAAAAACTCGAGCAAAGGCAAAATTCCGTCACCTCCTTGGTGGGACAGTGAATGTACTAGGGCAGTCAAGTATAGGAAGGAGTCCGAAAGGAGATACAATGCCGATATGACCACCCATAATCTACTCACCTACCAAAACGTTTTCGCCTCTACCAAAAGACTCCTTCGACGCAAGAAGCGCGCCGGTTGGGTTAAATTTTGTTCCTCCTTGTCCCCATCCACCCCATCCTCAATGGTGTGGAAGAACATAAATCGGTTCCGATCTGGTTGTTCGCCCTCTGTCTCTTCCTCTATCTCCCCCAATACAGCTGAGCTTTTCCTGGACAGAATTGCCCCCCCGTATGTCCCACAACTCGATGAAGCGACCTTACCAGACTTACCGTTTCAGTCAGTGGATACCCATGACGACCCATTCTCTCTGGAAGAACTGAACATGGTCCTCGGTTGGATCCCAGATACATGGAAAGTTCAAATTATTATCCCCATTCTAAAACCAGAAAAACATGCTGGTGCTGGTGATCCAAACAGCTTTAGACCAATCGCCCTCTCATCAGTCCTTATTAAATTATTAGAACATCTCATCAAAAACCGTCTCGAATGGATTGTAGAGTCAAGGAATCTACTGCCAAACTATCAGTTCGGCTTTCGCAAAGGGCTCAGTACAATGGACAGTGTTGCAGTTTTAATAACTGATATCCTTCTTTCTTTGTCACAAAATGCATCTGTTCTAACATCTTTTCTCGACATATCTGCTGCATATGACAATGTCTTAATACCCATTCTCAGGCAGAAACTGCATCAGCTGAGAATTCCGGTTAAGATGATCCACTGCATATGCGCAATGCTTGTGTCCAGAACTCTAGTCCTAAGGACCTTAGGTGAAGAGTTTGGCCAAAGAAAGACCTGGAGGGGCTTACCACAGGGCTCTGTACTGAGTCCGTTGTTGTACAATCTATACACTGCCGACATGGGTTCATGCCTAAACACTGATTGTAGCATCCTTCAATATGCCGACGATCTGGCATTATATGTTTCGAACCATTCCATCCAAGAGGCAGCCACACCACTCACTATTTCCCTTAATTCTCTGTGGCAGTGGCTATCAGATCATGGCCTTAGTCTTTCTGCTCAGAAAAGTGCGGTTGTTATTTTTACAAGAAAGAAGACTCTGCCACAGATTGATGTCCAACTACAGCTGCAGGAAATTCCTTTATTAAACAAATTTAAGTTCCTAGGAGTATATCTTGACTCTAAATTGACTGGCGTTCACCACATGAACCATTTAACCGCAAAATGTGAACGTGTAATCCCAATTTTAAAGGCCCTAGCTGGGGTCTGGTGGGGAGCACACCCATACACCATGAAACTGGTATATAATGCCTTAGTACGCAGTATATTGGACTATGGGCTATTTTTACTGATTCCATGCAATAAAAGCGCTTTGGCAAAGCTGGACAGAGTCCAATCTAGGTGCCTTCGCATTGTTACTGGTTGTATGAAGTCCTCCCCTATAAATGCCTTACAAGTGGAATGTTCAGATCCACCTTTATCAATAAGAAGACAATTTCTCGCTTCACGTTTTATAATAAAATCTGTTTGTAAATCTTCCCATCCTCTTCTTCCAAAAATCTTAGAATTAGACTCCATTTGTACTACCTCAAATTACTGGACTCATAAGGGAATTCCATTGATTCTACAATCCTTTCGCTCCTACTCTACTTTTTTTAACTCTGCTGTGTCATTTGACAAACTCCCTCTGTTTTCCTTTAATTATAGCGTCCTTTGTTTTAAGCCGAATGTTCTTCTGGATGTTGGAATCCCTAAAAAATCTGCCTCTTCTGTTTCCACCTTTAATACACACTTAGCTGAACACTGGGATGGGTTTGAGAGGTTCTTTACTGATGCATCCAAACTTAATAATGATAGCTACACTGGAGCCGCTGTATACTTCCAAAACTCCAGAATTCTCTTACAGTATAAGTGTCCAAAAGAGGCTTCAGTTTTTACAGGCGAGTGTGTTGCTATCTTAGAGGCATGCTTGTACATTGACTCGCACAACATCCACAAGGCAGTCATATTCACTGACTCTCTAAGTTGTCTTAAAGCCCTGCTACAAAATCCCTTTCATAGTAAACTTCACAGTCCGCTGATCCTTGAAATAAAAAAAACCCTTTTGAATTGTTCCACCAACTCAAAAATAGTTCAACTGGTATGGGTTCCCAGCCATAGTGGCATTGTGGGCAATGAGTGTGCAGACTCACTGGCCAAAAGTGCTGCTACTTCTGCAATGTCGGACCAGAAACATCTTACACACCAGCATTACGATCTCTTAAGACTGCCTCAGAGAGAATTGTTAACATCCTGGCAGGAAGAGTGGAATAATTCCTCAAAGCATAAAGGGCGTCACTACTACGCAATCCAAGCAAGCATTACCCCAAAACCCTGGTTCTATAAATTTAAGAAGGTATGTAAACCTGTCATCTCCACCATATGTAGGCTCCGCATAGGTCACTGCAGCTCACCTGTGTTCCTGAACAAGATTCGGGTACGGGATTCGTCCTTATGTGAATGTGGCTTAGATGAAGGGAATCTAGATCACATATTCTTCAGTTGTCCTAAAAATATCCCATCCCTAGATCTCTATTCTCACCTTACCGAACTAAAAATCCCCATCCCTATTAACTTCTCATCTCTCCTAACATTTTCATCCCCCCGCCTTCTCCAGGTCTTGATGTTGTTCATCCGATCCAATGACATCAGACTTTGACCTTCATTTCTATGAATATTGAATTTTATTTTTTTTGTGATTGTTTGCTTATTAGTTACCTATTTATTTATTTAATACATATCTTATCTATTTGTACTTGTCTGCTTGTTTCAGTGTAAATACTAACCACAACAAAAAGCCCCACATTCAGTCTACAATTAATATCATCAATTCAATTTTTTGTGTAATAAAACCCACGTATTTCCATCGCACTTGACACTGGCAGAATTTTCGACATCGGCACAGTTTGCCATTTATGAAGAAGAAGAAGAAGAAGAAGAACCATAAATAACAACTGTGACGTCAAACGTTGCCATATTCCATTTATTTACTTTCAAACTTCGGCTTGATAAATAAAAAACAATTACAAACTTACAAAATCGTAACAAATCTAATGTTTCCAAATATTACATTAGGGTTAAGACTCAAATTTGTATTAAAAATGTGAAAGCATCTTTTTCTAAAGCAAACCGAAATGCGTACCGTAAAACTCATAAACCGCGGGACAGTATGTCTGAGCTAACATGTCGTACAGTGAGTTGTTGGGCACTATATTGTACTTAGTTAAATAATCAAATGTTTGATATGTATGTATCGTTTCATTAGTCGATGGTGTCCATTCGCCGTCGTCAAAATATTTTAGTCTCTCGTGGACAGGTATAGGAAGGAATCCATCTGGTTCCATTACTTGAAGATCTGAAAGAACATAAGATATATTTTGCCTTTTTTTTCGTGTTGATACCCTCACGAGTCATCACTTCACCAGAGATGCCTCTGTAAAGTAAGTCACCTAAAACCCTGCAGATTAAGCCACCTGATAAACAGGTGACCACACCGTGGGGTCATCGTGCTACCGTCTCAGGCCTAGTTTTGCAAGGGTCACGGTCAGCCCGAAATGTTACCCCTAGCCACGTTTATGGAGGTCAGAAGTCTTTGTGCCCTATAATATAAACTGTGAAAATTCGTTGGTGAAAACCATCATGTATGTGAGGAATAAAAATATGTCCTAATGCTTCTCTGCTCGTTCCCGTTCCACCGCCTCCTGGACCAACAGCACCTATTCGGGAAACGAGATGGATGCACGCACGCACTCTCACTTTAGAACATGGAAAAAACAATTGTCTCTAGCGAGAGGCTAGCGACACCAAGAAAGATATTTTTTGCTATGGTGAATGTCACAAATGTGAGTGATTTTGGAACCAAACAAAAAGTCACTAAAAATGCATAAGGTAATACATTTTTTTTAAACCAATTATAAATTATTGATGTATGCGATCCGTTAAAGATAGGTTGACACATCTCACACACGGCCACCTGATCTAACTACTTCTGAGTAGTTTGAGATCAGGTGGCCGTGTACAGGATCTGTCCTGTACTGTACATTTCTAAATACATACAGAGTATAGATGAATTAGACCCCTATATAGAACAAGTGATCGTGCTCATCACACAATTATGTGACCTGGGTGTGAATCAAACCCACGACGTCTAGCTTGGAAGTCAGGTTCCCTATGCACTAGACCAACAGCAAAAATATATATCAATAATACAAGAAGTCATTAAACAAATCAAATATGTCGTTGGTGATCACCACGACCTACCTCTACACACTGACGTGTTTAAGTGTAGTATTCCAGATGACGTACACCATAAATTGGCTAGCTTATTCATTGGTTTACAATTGTCAAAGGTCCATAAGCCTTGTCTCTGAGGTAAGGAAACATCGCCAAGAACTATACTGAAACATTCAAAATATAAAATAATAATTATTAAAGTGTGAGAATTACGGTCTTAGTTGAACTACTTGTGACCACGGTCAGTGCAACTTAGTCAAAATGTCAAGCTATTCAAAGGTATTTAATAACTGTTTATCGCGGTATTTCCCATCGTTAGTAATAATTGTACGAAACGAAAAAGTTACCCAGAGGCGCAATTTGAGGAACTGAATAGAAAAGATTACAAAATAAATTGAACGAAACGAAGTATATTCTTTTATAAAGACTACTATCAACATGACGTCATATTACTTTTGCGCCATCGGATTAAATGGTTCGGTTGTATGGAATTTGGAGGAAAGCGCTGTCTAGTCTCGACCAAGTACATCTATTAAAATTATGGTTAATACGAGTACTTCTGATCCTTACAGCGCTAGATGGCAAGTAACGCGTGACTGATTCTAGAATATTTTTGGATTTTTTATTATATTCGAATACTTCAAAATTCAAAAGCGCTATAAAAGCGGAGCGGGTTGGCCGTTCGAGGCAGTATCGTTTTCAACACAGCGAATTAACATCGGAGTGAATTTCTAATGCGACTAACGAGATATATAGTGATTTCTAGTTTATTATAGTGAGTCTTTGTAAATACAGTGCAATAAAGTAATTAACCGACAACTTTTATTTATTACATACCCCTCTCGTAACAGAATGCAGAATTTATAAAAACTTAAGACCACTTCATTTGTTTTATATTTACGTATAATCATTTTTTTTTACAGCTACAAATACACGGCTACAAATACCCCTTTTAAAAACGAGCACAAATAATACTGACGCTGACTTTCCCTTTCTAAAATCACAAACAGATAGAGCCAGTCTTCAGTACAATATTTCAATTATCTATATCAATTGTAAGTACTTACTTTAAAACCATTTCAGCTAATAATCTTCCGTTTTTGTTATCAGAAAAGGAGAACATATCTGCAGATATTGATGCAGGACCGTCCTTAACAATCCAGTTATCATTGAGATCATCAAACGAACTAGCTACAAGTACATCGAGACCCAAGTATATCCCACTGTATTTGTACATAGTAACATATTTCAAAATATCGCCTATATTCGTATTTATATCATCGACAGTTAAAGGTTTCTTTTTCAGAATACTATAGAAAGGTGTTCCTTTTCCGAAATCTTCTATGTGAATTCTTACTGCTTCTGTGTTAGCCATCTGCATTATTACTGACAGTCCATTAGTTTTATACTTTTCCCAAGATACCGGTGAGGTTAATAGGACGATGATCTGACGGTCAGGGTGTGCTATGGCCGCTGATTCTATTGAACACGTTTGCCGAGAGGTCAAACCTTCACAAGACGATTCAATAAAGTATATTGCATTTGGCTGAAATTTAACAAGTTCATCGAGCGCTCTCACAGCACCTTCGTCTTTCAAATAATGACACGAAAGTTCGTTTTCTTCTGGCAAGAAATCATATTCTTCTGAAATTTCTCCTTTATTTAGAAATGTATAAAAAATAATAACAGTTACTACAATTCCAACATTTGCTATTATAAAAAACAGTCTATGTCTTGTTATAGTTTTATTAATTTTCCATATATTAAACATTTCCCTTATATAAACAGATTTTAAATGAAATGTTCGTTAACATGTTATCATTTTAAATTGTTCCTAAGTACTAGAAAGCAATTTAAAAATTATCGGTGACATATTAAGGTTTTTAGGAATAATGCTAGTAAACAGGTAATAAATAGTTTTATTGTTATTGGAATAACTATAAAAACTTAAACGATGCTAGGCTACCACAGATTCTTTATTTTTAATTAGCTGCTTAGCTAAAAAAAACTATTGCTGCCGTCTTCGTCTCCCTGTTTAGACTGAGCGATTTTGTTTTTCTACAAAGTAATGAATAACAAAATGCCAAAAATATCCACATAGGATTGTTAGTATTTTAAAACGTACTTCAAATAGGCTCAGTTTAGTTTGAAAAAAAAATACAATTGTCAAACAGTCAACTGCTGTACTCGTCAAACCCTTTTGAATTCAGCTTATACCTGTTTTACATTCCCCAAAAGGAATAAATAAACTCTTGAAAAATCATTTTTTTTATAGGTAATTATAAAGCCTTTTTTCTCAGACGTGTGGAGCTACGAAGTTAAAATTAAAATGGAAAAAAAACTGCGGCCCTTTTTATTCTATGCGGAAATCCGAATACCACCCACCGATGGTTATGTCGCACTCGAACCGACTAAAAGCCGCACACCGCCGTGCCATCTCGGGTACCAGTAGCTAGGGAACCAGAAGGTCAGTTCTCGTAACAAAAGTTCGGTCTCAATTCGGTTCTGATCTACTCTCGATATCGTCAATGTCAAAATTGGTATTCCCGTAGTCAAATTTTAGTCATCCAAAGTTGAATGTAATGTAATGATATCCAGTTGCCATCAAAAGTTGAAGACATTGTAAATCTGTATTCTCGTTTTCTTGGTGATAATTATGCAAACGTCAAGTTTGACATTTGTAAAAGATTGAATGTTGATGAATAGTAGTAGCAGTCTGTAAGAAAGCGGTTTCTTCAAAGAAGAAGATTTTGTATACATTTGCCATCCTAAGTTTTTTGAAGTTTAATTCTTTTAATATGAGTGGATTAACATTGACCGTATTTGTGGAGTGTTCAACACGCAGTTGACAAAGACAAACTTGTACAATTGACAAAGAGTTTATTAAAAACTTTGTGCTAACTAAAAGTATAAGTAAAAACACAACAACAAAATACCCATGCAAGACAATAAAATAAAATAATAACAATACTAGGAAAGGGAGGAAAAGCAGTACAACAAGTATAAAATGGGTTATAGGACTTCCTTTCCTAAAGTAGGCAAATCTATCTGTATCTACAGTAGTAGAACTCACTTTAGGTACTATATATAATGGTAAGTATTATCATTACTTTTCTTGTCTTGCATAGGTATTTTGTTGTTGTTTGTTTACTTAAACTTTTAGTTAGCACAAAGTTTTTAATAAACACTAAATAATTTCATTACAGTCAACTTTAGATGTCTAAAATTTGACTACGAGAATACCATTTTTGACATTGATGATATCGAGAGTAGATGGGAACCAAATTGAGACCGAACTTTTATTACAAGAATTGGACGTCAGGTCTTATAGCAGAAATAAACATCCGAAACTTGTTAATTTGTCGATAAATCTCATAAGAACATAATTTGTGATTATAAGCTTACCCTTATTTCAAGGTAGGGATCTTTGTTTGTGACACATAAATGTATGAGGAAGTATTCTTGAAACTACAAAGTTAAGTTTATCTTTCCGAAAAGAGTCAGTAAAAATATTCAAGGATCGATTGCCGAGATGGACGGCATTATCAAGATATATGCCATTATTATCTCTACCTACGTAGAAATGTATTTTCATACGGAACCCTCGGTTTGCCAATTCATCTGGTAATAGAATGACCTTTATTTGGGCGTATGGAAATCCTCGGGCTGTTGCATCGCCGGGGTTTGCAGTGGGGTGATTTGTCGGAATCAATCTCACTAAAATCACATACGGACACATAACAACAATGAACGACGAATACAATAATATGACGAATAGAGCACACAATTTGTACATGGTGTGTTTAGTTTGGGTTTAAAAAACTTTATGTATTATTGTGTGTGGTGTGTGGTAACGGATTAAGAATATAGAGTGTCACCACCCCTATTCGTCCCGTGGGTGTCGTAAGAGCCGACTAAGTTAGCAACCTCGCAGGACAACAGCACTGCAAAGAGAACGCAAACTTAACACAAATTCTATACCAACCCGTCTGGCCATCGTGGTACAGTAGGCCAAAACCTCCTTTCTAAGGATAGGCCTATGTCCATCAGTGGACTATTCAAGGCTGTCGATGTATTATTAATTAATATATTATTATGAAATATTTACCAAAGATTTCCGTAAAAAAAACACAAATACTATTCAAATTGAGTTTTTAATTTTTCTTTAAAGAGCGAGATCTTCTTTTCAAGCCTGGGTCTACCTTGGTCCTATAAACGGTTTAATACTGCCATCATGGAATCGGAAGCGCTCATCAATCACAGCCTACTCTTGTTCATTTCAGGGTAGAATAAATGTTTTATGAGCTCCGTTAATTCTAAAATATTTTAAATTTCTCCTTGTCTCCAAACTAAATATTGTATCCTATATTTCATGAATACAATTTTTTTTTGTATGTGGTAAACTGTGATATTTATACTGTAATGAATGAGATTAAAATGTCATCAAACAACTACCGAATTGTCAAAACTCTTCCACAGTCTACACACACAGTTGTCAAAATGTTTTGCAACTTTGCACTTCTTTCTTTTTATTTTGATTGATAAATTATAATCCAATTCTTATATTTTATTCACCAAACTCGTCACCGTACATTTCATAAATTGTAGGACAAAATTTCCTTGCCAGTTTTGCAAATGGCGAAGCTTTTCCAACCTTCAAGTTTCCCGTGAAATGGTTCCACATGTGATGCATATAGGGGTCATACATATTACTAATGTTGCCATTTTTAAAGTAATTTTTGTGTTGTGTGTAATGTACGGGATAAAAATATTTCGGTGGGTAGATTTTTAAACCTGTAAAGTAAATTTTTAATAATTAGATCAAAATTGTTTTGAATGAATAGATCAATAAAACGAAGGTTTTAAAAAAAAAAAAAAAAAAAAAAAAAATGTCTTTAGGAAACTAAATTTAGTCTAGTTAACCATCAGGGGGTGCCATAGTGCCTCTGCCATGCCCAACATAGAAAACCAAAGGCACCATACATTTAAGATGTTATTAAATAAATTAAATTAAAAAGAGTCTTTATTTCTTTTATCATATTAAATGACGTCGAACTACTTTTAATTAATCTACAATTTATAAAATCAATTTTTCAACAAAAGCAGCAAGAATTTTCAGAAAATATTTGGAAAACGCGGTGTGATATTATTTACATGAATTTCATTTCTATACCTCCACAGTCATCCGTGCTAAATAACGTCTTCGGACATAATCTCTGCAGGACTCTTTGGATCGCTTTCGGGCCATTGCTGGACCAGATTTTCGGTTTATACGTTTTTTGGATCTCCCTGTTGAAATGTCAAAAAAAGTCACATTTAAAAAACTTATTATAATTCGTACGTAATTAAACCCTCGAACTGTTGCGTGTTATGATGATCTTACTGACCAAATTACCTTTAAAGATTATAAAGAATTCCTCCTACAATTCAAACAAATTACGGACTTGTTCAGGAATGCACCTGAACTAAACAAGTACGTAATGACGGAGAAAAACTGGTTTCGAGTGGTAAATCGTTTAGGCATTTATTTCGCTTAGTAGAGCTTGCCTACCAATCGCCTAACGCCAGCCACCTTGAAAGTAGCCGTCATTATCAAAATTATTTTTCATTCATAACTGTCAAAAATTAAACCTTGCACTGATGCATTTTAAGTGTTTTAAGGGAATTGAGAAACAAATAAAGCAAATATATATTATATATTTCTTTATAGGGTCTGGTCTTATAAGACCGTGTGTTCGATTCCCACCCAGGACAAATGATTGTGCGATGAGCCCTGTCATTTAATTTATCTATATTTAGAAATATATAAGTATGTTTATCAGCAGTCTGGTTACCATAGTACAGGCTCTGCCTAGCTTGGGATCAGACGTCTGTGAATGAGATATGTGAAAATATTGTTCAATTATTATTATTATTAAACGCATTTTATTATTAATCCGTCACCAAACGGAAATTACAATATCAATTGAGGTATCTCTAGACTAGTCTAAGCCGTTTCACACTGCCTCTCTACCCACTCTTGTATCGAAAGAGAACAATTTTCAGACCCAGTGTATAAAAATAGATGGATATACTATAGTGTGCCGTAGGGAAGTATTTTAGGTCCTACTCTTTTCTAAATCTATATGAAAGTCAGTTAAAACTATCTAACTGTTTACTGAGCGCGTATGCTGATGACACTGCCTTATAAATATCTAGTGAAGATTAATCTGAGACCAAATGCTAAGCGTTGATTGAAAGTGATTATAGAGTGGTTAAACAAAAATAAACTTATAATTAATTTAAACAAAAATAAATATTAATTAAAAAGGACGAGATACGTAATCTTTACTTTAATATCGCACAATCCATTACATTATGTTTACTCTAAAAACCACTTCACGTAATAATCACGCAATACCGGAATTTAGTGACTAGAAACTTTAGATAAAGTAATTTGATTTTATATCATAACTAGCTGACCCGCGCAACTTCATCTGTGTCTCTCAATAGTAATAAATTTTCTCCGTCTTTGAAACACTCTTCATTGGTGCTCCGCTCCTATTGGTCTTAGCGTGATGATATATAGCCTATAGCCTTCCTCGATAAATGGGCTATCTAACACTGAAAGAATTTTTTAAATCGGACCTGTAGTTCCTGAGATTAGCGCATTCAAACAAACAAACAAACTCTTCAGCTTTATAATATTAGTATAGACAAGGAACAAAATTCTTACTTTAAAATGCCCATTGTCAGATTACTGCCTACCGCATCTTTGGATAACCCAATTATGCCAGAAGATATGGATATAGGCAATTCCTTTCCAATAAAATTAGGTGGCAATGAGTCCAGGTTCTTAATCAGAATAGAGTCTGTGTCCAAATAGACGCCGCCATATTTGTTTAATGCGATAATTCTTAAGATATCCGATGCATGTTCTATCGGGTATTTACTTCTTTTCAGTGGTTTCAAAAGTATATTTTCAACTACAGTGCCTTTGATATATTCTTTAATGTGTATTCTTAGTAACTTGATATTTTCAAAGTCGCGCAATTTGTTTAGATTGCTGGTTTTAAGCATCTGTTCGGTGATAGGTGACATGAATAGAAAATTCACTTGTCTGTTTGGGTGTAATCTCGCGGCAGACTCCACGGCACATGCAGCTCTAGAATTTATACCACCACGGCACGATGTCTCAATAAAGAATATAGAATTATTTTTTGTGGAAAGTTCCGCATCTTCTACTGATGGTAATGCATCATCTTTGTCTGAGTAAACACAATCAAATTTATTTTTAACTTTTTTCCAATGGATTATCACAGGTTTCTCTGTAGTACCGCTGTTTATTAGTTTTTTATAAACATCATTGGAATATATAATAATAATTACATACAACGAGCACAAACACAGAAAGAATACACAACAACGCCGGTATCGCCCTAATAAAGCTTCCATTTTATCCTTTGGATACTTAATTTATATACATGTTATCATTTTAAATTGTTCCTAAGTACTAGAAAGCAATTTAAAAATTATCGGTGACATATTAAGGTTTTTAGGAATAATGCTAGTAAACAGGTAATAAATAGTTTTATTGTTATTGGAATAACTATAAAAACTTAAACGATGCTAGGCTACCACAGATTCATTATTTTTAATTACCTGCTTAGCTAAAAAAAAACTATTGCTTCCGTCTCCGTCTCCCTGTTTAGACAAAGTTTTTCTACAAAGTAGGTACATGAATAACGAATCTATGCAAAAAATATCCACATAGGATTGTTTTGGTGACTTTGTGCTAACTAAAAGTTTAAGTAAAAAAACAACAACAAAATACCTATGCAAGACAATAAAATAAAATAATAATAATACTAGGAAAGGGAGGAAAAGCAGTACAACAAGTATAAAATGGGTTATAGGACTTCCTTTCCTAAAGTAGGCAAATCTATCTGTATCTACAGTAGTAGAACTCACTTTAGGTACTATATATAATGGTAAGTATTATCATTACTTTTCTTGTCTTGCATAGGTATTTTGTTGTTGTTTGTTTACTTAAACTTTTAGTTAGCACAAAGTTTTTAATAAACACTAAATAATTGCATTACAGTCAACTTTGGATGTCTAAACTTTGACTACGAGAATACCATTTTTGACATTGATGATATCGAGAGTAGATGGGAACCAAATTGAGACCGAACTTTTATTACGAGAATTGGCCGTCAGGTCTTATAGCAGAAGTAAACATCCGAAACTTATTAATTTGTCGATAAATCTCATAAGAACATAATTTGTGATTACAAGCTTACACTTATTTCAAGGTAGGGATCTTTGTTTGTGACACATAAATGTATGAGGAAGTATTCTTGGAACTACAAAGTTAAGTTTATCTTTCCGAAGAAAGCCAGTAAAAATATTCGAGGATCGATTGCCGAGATGGACGGCATTATCAAGATATCCATTATTATCTTCCTCTACCTACATAGAAATGTATTTTCATACGGAACCCTCGGTTTGCCAATTCATCTGGTAAGGGAATCACCTTTATTTGGGCGTATGGAAATCCTCGGGCTGTCGCATCGCCGGGGTGATTTGTCGGAATCAATCTCACTAAAATCACATACGGACACATAACAACAATGAACGACGAATACAATAATATGACTAACAGAGCACACAATTTGTACAAGGTGTGTTTAGTTTGGGTTTAAAAAACTTTATGTATTATTGTGTGTGGTGTGTGGTAACGGATTAAGAATATAGAGTGTACCCCTATTCGTCCCGTGGGTGTCGTAAGAGCCGACTAAGTTAGCAACCTCGCAGGACAACAGCACTGCAAAGAGAACGCAAACTTGACGCAAATTCTATACCAACCCGTCTGGCCATTGTGGTACAGTAGGCCAAAACCTCCTTTCTAAGGATAGGCCTAAGTCCAGTAGTGGACTATTCAAGGCGGTCGATGTATTATTAATTAATATATTATTATGAAATATTTACCAAAGATTTCTGTAAAAGAAACACAAATATTATTCAAATTGAGTTTTTAATTTTTCTTTAAAGAGTGAGATCTTCTTTTCAGGCCTAGGTCTACCTTGGTCCTATAAACGGTTTAATACTGCCATCATGGAATCGGAAGCGCTCATCAATCACAGCCTACTCTTGTTCATTTCAGGGTAGAATAAATGTTTTATGAGCTCCGTTAATTCTAAAATATTTTAAATTTCTCCTTGTCTCCAAACTAAATATTGTATCCTATATTTCATGAATACAATTTTTTTTTTGTATGTGGTAAACTGTGATATTTATACTGTAATGAATGAGATTAAAATGTCATCAAACAACTACCGAATTGTCAAAACTCTTCCACAGTCTACACACTCAGTTGTCAAAATGTTTTGCAACTTTGCACTTTTTTATTTTTATTTTGATTGATAAATTATTATCCAATTCTTATATTTTATTCTCCAAACTCGTCACCGTACATTTCATAAATTGTAGGACAAAATTTCCTTGCCAGTTTTGCAAATGGCGAAGCTTTTCCAACCTTCAAGTTTCCCGTGAAATGGTTCCACATGTGATGCATATAGGGGTCATACATATTACTAATGTTGCCATTTTTAAAGTAATTTTTGTGTTGTGTGTAATGTACGGGATAAAAATATTTCGGTGGGTAGATTTTTAAACCTGTAAAGTAAATTTTTAATAATTAGGTCAAAATTGTTTTGAATGAATAGATCAATAAAACGAAGGTTTTAAAAAAAAAATGTCTTTAGGAAACTAAATTTAGTGAACCATCAGGGGGTGCCGTAGTGCCTCTGCCATGCCCAATATAGAAAACCAAAGGCACAACCGCACCATACATTAAGATGTTAATAAATAAATTAAATTAAAAAGAGTCTTTATTTCTTTTATCATATTAAATGACGTCGAACTACTTTTAATTAATCTACAATTTATAAAACCAATTCTTCAACAAAAGCAGCAAGGATTTTCAGAAAACATTTGGAAAACGCGGTGTGATATTATTTACATGAATTTCATTTCTATACCTCCACAGTCATCCGTGCTAAATAACGTCTTCGGACATAATCTCTGCAGGACTCTTTGGATCGCTTTCGGGCCATTGCTGGACCAGATTTTCGGTTTATACGTTCTTTGGATCTCCCTGTTGAGATGTCAAAAAAAACACATTTAAAAACTTATTATAATTCGTACGTAATTAAAAACCTGAACTCTTGCGTGTTATGATGATCTTACGTAAATACTGACCAAATTACCTTTAAAGATTATAAAGAATTCCTCCTACAATTCAAACAAATTACGTAGGTACATGTTCAGAACTGCATTCCTGAACTACACAAGTATGATGGAGAAAAACTAGTTTCGATTGGAAAATTTGACTCATTTAGGCATTTGTTTTGCTTAGTAGAGTTGCTTGCCAGCCTCCTTAGAGCGACCTTAGAGAAAGTAGCCGTCATTATCAAAATTATTTTTCATTCATAACTGTCAAAAATTAAACCTTGCACTGATGTTCTGCATTTTAAGTGTTTTAATGATTTGAGAAAGAGATAAAGCAAATACATATATATTATATATTTCTTTATAGGGTCTAGCATATAAGGTCGTGTGTTCGATTCCCACCCAGGACAGATAATTGTGTGATGAGCACTGTCATTTCATTTTTCTATAATATGTATGTATTTAGAAATAATTAAGTAAGTTTATCAGCAGGCTTGTTCTAGTTTGGGATCAGACGTGTATGAGATGTGTGAGGTATATTTATTTGTTCTGTGTCTGGGTGCACTTTATCTATAAATATATGTATTTAGAAATATATAAGTATGTTTATCAGCAGTCTGGCAGTAACTTAGTTACAGGCTCTGCCTAGCTTGGGATCAGACGGCTGTGAATGAGATATGTGAAAATATTGTTCAAATATTATTATTATTAAACGCATTTTATTATTAATACGTCACCAAACGAAAATTACAATATCAATTGAGGTATCTCTAGACTAGTCTAGACTAGTATCTAACACGTTTGACACTGCCTCTCTGCCCACTTTTGTACCGAAAGAGAACAATTTTCAGACCCAGTGTGTAAAAATAGATGGATATACTATAGTGTGCCGTAGGGAAGTATTTTAGGGCCCTACTCTTTTCCAAAACTATTTGAATAACCTCTGTCAGGTAAAACTATCGTACTGTTTACTGAGCGCGTATGCTGACACTGCCTTATAAATATCTAGTGAAGATTAATCTGAGACCAAATGCTAAGCGTTGATTGAAAGTGATTATAGAGTGGTTAAACAAAAATAAACTTATAATTAATTAAAAAGGACGAGATACGTAATCTTTACTTTAATATCGCACAATCCATTACATTATGTTCACTCTAAAAACCACTTCACGTAATAATCACGCAATATCGGAATTTAGTGACTAGAAACTTTAGATAAAGTAATTTGATTTTATATCATAACTAGCTGACCCGCGCAACTTCATCTGTGTCTCTCAATAGTAATAAATTTTCTCCGTTTTTGAAACATTCTTCATTAGTGCTCCGCTCCTATTGGTCTTAGGAGATGATAAATAGCCTATAGCCTTCCTCGATAAATGGGCTATCTAACACTGAAATAATTTTTTAAATCGGACCTGTAGTTCCTGAGATTAGCGCATTCAAACAAACAAACAAACAAACTCTTCAGCTTTATAATATTAGTATAGACAAGGAACAAAATTCTTACTTTAAAATGCCCATTGTCAGATTACTGCCTACCGCATCTTTGGATAACCCAATTATGCCAGAAGATATGGATATAGGCAATTCCTTTCCAATAAAATTAGGTGGCAATGAGTCCAGGTTCTTAATCAGAATAGAGTCTGTGTCCAAATAGACGCCGCCATATTTGTTTAATGCGATAATTCTTAAGATATCCGATGCATGTTCTATCGGGTATTTACTTCTTTTCAGTGGTTTCAAAAGTATATTTTCAACTACAGTGCCTTTGATATATTTTTTAATGTGTATTCGTAATAACTTGATATTTCCAAAGTCACGCAATTTCTTTAGATTGCTGGTTTTAAGCATCTGTTCGGTGATAGGTGACATGAACAGAAAATTCACTTGTCTGTTTGGGTGTAATCTCGCGGCAGACTCCACGGCACATGCAACTCTTGAATTTATACCACCACGGCACGATGTCTCAATAAAGAATATAGAATTATTTTTTGTGGAAAGTTCCGCATCTTCTACTGATGGTAATGCATCATCTTTGTTTGAGTAAACACAATCAAATTTATTTTTAACTTTTTTCCAATGGATTATTACAGGTTTCTCTGTAGTACCGTTGTTTATTAGTTTTTTATAAACATCATTGGAATATATAATAATAATTACATACAACGAGCACAAACACAGAAAGAATACACAACAACGCCGGTATCGCCCTAATAAAGCTTCCATTTTATCCTTTGGATACTTAATTTATATAAATTTAATGTAAAAAAATTGCACTTAACTAATTAACTAATAAAATACATCTGTGTGCACAGTCCACATTGTGAATGGATCTACACATCTCTTGGCCAACATTTATCGTTTCCTGTCACTGATAAAAGTCATGGACAATGCAAATATTTTCAATTATATTACACATTGTAGACATATGTAATAGATTTATCTAAAGGATAAAAACCTCGGCAAGATTCCACTTGTTCAATAATTGCTATATAAACAACATTTGCTGAACTTGTTTTGTCTCACCAAAAAGATGCTCTTTTATTATCGTTTGAATGTGTTGTTTGTGTCGAAAAGAGTTTTATATAGAAATTTTATTAACTGACCTATATATCATAATTGAGCACACTGGTCATCTGTTGGAATATAACTACCGTCGCCCATGGACGAAATGATGGAAGAAACTGGTAGACCACTGCTCAGAGATGAAAAAGATTTCCATTTGCAGCCGAACTTGCGTCTTATAAGGTTGCCTGCACTTAAGTTCTGATGCGTTCTCGATTTAGTTCAAGTGAGTGGAATTTTAACAAATAAGATCCCTAATATAATTCCTATCAGATTGCATTTTTGGGTTTTACTCATTTGTAATTCCACTGCTCATCGTTTTGTAGCATTCATTATTCAAATAAATAGATAAAATTCCAGCAGTGGACTGCGAGAGGCTGATGATGATGATGATGATGAATTATGTTGTGTTTGATAATAGAGGACAAATGTGCAGCTTTGGATCCAGTTTCATATACCGTGGTCGGTCTAGTAACAATACTATCTCTTTTACGGATGCTTGTTGTCGAAATAAGAAGGTAGGTACTGTGGCGAGTCCCACATACAAAGAAAGAGAAACATACTACAGCGCCATCTAACGAAGGCACACCAAACTACGGAGTGACTAATGAATGAGAATTGCTAATCCTGTATCGCGATATGAAGAATTCTCTCGCCGATTAGCATACATACAACTGCCCAACATCAATCGTGGGGCCACGGCCCACCAGGCATAATCACCTCGCCTGGACGAAGGATCCTCTCTTTGTGTTGGAGGGTAGGGAGGTAGGTAAGTCACAGGTACCACACATACTACGGCAAAGTATACGGCGTTAGTCTGCAAACTATCTGAAATTATTTACATGCAGTTGCACTGAAATGTCACAGGCAAGCAAAAAAAGTTTGGATATAAGATTTTCATCGACAAAATAGTTTTGCAAGGGAATATTTAAGTTTTGACTGGTGCAACAGTGTAGTTTATTTTTAGTGTATTTAGTGACGAAAAGTATTGTAAATGAGATAAGGACGCAAAACTTTTTCATCAAAAAGTGAGTGCATCGAAGTCGGTTTAATCTTTCATCATCATCATCATCATCAACAGCCTTTAATAGTCCACTGCTGGACATAAGCCTCTCCTTAGAAAGGAGGTTTTGGCCTACTATAAAAGTTTAATCATTAAAACTCTATTATTACATTTAATTAATAATAATTAATTAATAAATATTATAGGCTTTTTACATAAAAATAGTTATTTCATCCACAATTAGATATTCCATCTGTCCCTTTGGTGACGGATTAAGAATGCGGAGTGTCACCACCCCCATTAATAAGGTGGGTGTTGTAAGACTACCGACCAAAGAAGATAACTACGCAAGACAACAGCATTGAAAATGGAAAGAAAACTTGACACAAACCCTATAGCGACCCGTCTGGCCACCGTGTTATACGAGTAGTAGGTAAAAACCTTCTTTCTAAGGAGAGGCCTATGTATAGCAGTGGACTATTAAAGGCTGTCGATGATGTATTATAATATACACTCACGCCTATATAGGTCAGTTGTCACGAGACGCTTTATGGGTGCGCTGGTGGAGGATCAGATTTCTGGGTGTATCATATCTCTACACAAAACATATTCATGTCATGAATAATATGGAAATATAATAATAATAATATAGTTAAGTGAAAATTATAGCATTTAGAAGATAACAATAAATGCACGAATATATGAGTACATATGTATATCCGAAGAATACGACAGAGGCGTAATATGAGGCAGATTGAAATACAAAAGGCATGTTTGACTTTATTTCCTTTAATGGCGACTGTATCCCATTCATAGAGCAACATTCACACTATTTATCTGATCAATCAAACGTAATATACAAACACAATAATACCAACCATTGACAAATGTAGATTATTCTTTAAACAAACGACTATAACAATCCGTTAAGATAAATTATTTCACTTTGAACACAACCGTCGGAGAGTCATGCTTTGGAAAATCTGAAACGGCTTGTTAATTACATCTCCATTAAAGTTCAGCACCATACGTTTGAAATATTGTGGGACAAAACTTTTCGGCCATTTTCATTAAAGGTGACCCTTTTTCTGCTGTCAAATTATATGTAAGTTTATTCCAGAGGTGGTAAGCATACGCGTTCTTATCTTCTTCCTGCAGTTCTCCTGGCTGGAAGTAGACCTTGTGATCGGAGTAATGAATCGGGAAGAAATACTCTGGTCCGTAAACATCCAGTCCTGAAATGAAAAGATTTGAAAATTAAAAAACGAAAACCTGCACATTCAGTACCTAGAGATTATTAATGGTATTGTCGCCCTTTTAAGGCCTCCGGTAACTTCCCGCACTCAGTGAAATGAAACGAAATAATTGTGTATCACTGGTATTTTGTGATGCCGTGGTATCACTTCACTGGAGCCGTCCGATATGTGCCAAAGCATTCTCATTAAATCAATCTCCTAACATTAAATTAAATACTTATAGCCATTCAAAGGTTGTCTGGCAGAAAGTTATCAGCGGTACGATCACCTATTGTACCTAACAGTACCTAATTGAACATCCATCTTATTTTAAAATGGTGTGCATCAATATTCTATTTCATCTAGAGTAAGCAGGCAAATGATTTACAAACCTCCGCAAGTGGTAGGAGACCATTCCGCCATATGGTGAGTGTCGCACAGCTGGTGTAGTACCCTCGTTATGGCCCCTGGACCATTGTGTGCCCAAAGGTCTGGCCTGTACGTAATCTTCAATTCACTGCAAAATTATACGCAAATTAGTATAAAAGCGGAGTGTGGTCAATCTTTAGAGTTGTCATGTTTTGGAATACAACTCGCGCATTAGAAATATATCCTGTGTCGCTGGGAAGTTTACAATCATACTTGAAACGGACACAAAGAACTCCCAGACTCAGAACAACAGTTTGTGGATCACACAAAGGGTCGTCCCCTGTGGGGATCGGACCCACCGCCGCGGTAACCGCTTAACCAACCACTTAAGTAACCACTACGCCATCCATGCAGTCAAAATTACCAGCTTAGTGAAATAAATTGTGTTTACGAGTAATAGACAATCAAATACACCTTAAAGAAAAAGAATAAAATTTATTTGACACTTTGTATTCATAAAATTTACGCACTGAAAAACATTCTCGTATTAAAAAGACGAAATCCTCAAAAATGCTATCAGCAACAGAGTGGTAAAAGCGTGGAACAAGCTCCCAGAATATATAGTGTCAGATGAAAGTACCATTTAGTTTTAGAACAGACCGGACATGTATTATCTTACACTAAAATGAAATAAGGAAACTGGAAATAAACAAAATATTGTTGCACAACTTAACAATTTTCTGAATAGTACCTACTTTGAGATTTTTCCATTTGCTGTTATCACTGCGGTTATGCGTTGTCCGATATAGTAGGGAGCCCATGACACTAAATAGGGATTTAGATGAGCGTCATGGGGACCTATTGCATTTCAAAGAATAGATGATAGAATGTAAAGTATAAGATGTTCCCACTTTCAGCGATGGGGGAAGCATCAAAAATATTAAAAAAAACAATTACATGGAAGTAGTCAAAAATACCCAAACGTGGGCGATATTGTTGGTTAGATACTGCAATGTCTAATTACAAACGTATGCTAATCTGGCAAGATTGCACGACGGGTGTGCATAGACGTGGAGAAAGCCAAAAAAACATCAGATAGATGATAATATATGTTAATTGTACCCTGCAAATGTACGCCTTCAAAGGTATTTCCGGATCGATACGCACTTCAAACCTTCAAGAAAAGAGTGTACTCCTTTCTCAAAGGCCCGCAACACGCTTAGGACTCCTGAGTTGCGGGCGTTTATGGGCGGCGGTAGTCGCTTTCCATCAGATAACCCATCAGCTCGTTTGCCACTCTATCTCTAAAAAAAACTCTATTTTAAAATACTCGAGGGTGTCAGATTTTTTTCTCGAGTGTCAGGTTCAGCATAGAATACTTTCCCAGTCATACAAGAAAAAATGTGATAGTGATTACTCTTTTAGATGTCATTTCTTTACCAGAACTCTTATTTTTTTAAGTGTGGAAACCCCCATCGAATCGAACCGACTAAAACCACACACTGCGCCTAAAATAGGAGGGATCTGGTAACAGCTTTTATTAAGGCGGCCGTGCCTTTCTTTCTTTCAGGATTCACTTATGCAGGATGAGCCGAGTACCCGGCCCGTTCCCGGCTCTGGTGGACCGAGAGAGTGGTGACAGGCGCAATTCATTTCACTCCTAGCAATCTACTGCCTCTAAGCAGATATATTCAGAAAAGCCTGCCTACTAGACGATGACCAGCTGGAGTTCCTCCATGGCGCCAAAGCCAGTACGGGGAGCCTCCAGCCTTGACATTCAACGAGTCATCGTGGCTCGGCAAGCGGTCTTTAGACATTCATTTCCGCCTCTGAATCCCATGGAAGATCCGCCACCACCCTCTGAGGGTGCTAGAGGCACGCCTTATTCTGGGCGATCAGAGCTCCCGCACCGTATAGTGCCATTGACTGGGCAAACCTAGTCTATTACTACAACTTATAAAGTAATCTTCACTACAGCTGCAGTCGTAGCAATTGCATTTTTGTGTACACGCGTCAATCTTCGAAAGTTTCGAAAATAAAAACAAAGAAGTAGGGCCAATTACATATAATAAATCTTAGATGTCAACCTTAAATATCTCTATAGAATTAAGGCATTGTTTATATTGTTGTAAGTTATTGTGCATACATACAGTGCAGTTATATGAGTAAACAGTGCAGGACAACAGCACTGCAATGAGAAGGAAAACTTGAAACAAACCCTATACCAACCCGTCTGGCCAGCGTGGTATAGTAGGCCATAACCTCTATTCTAAGGAGCTGCCTATGTCCAGCAGTGGACTATTATAAACTTTGTTAAAAATTCTGCGCGCGCGCCCCTTTGTAACCTCGCGCCCCTAGGTACGTGCCTACTTTGCCTTAGGGTTAATCCGCCACGGACTGACAGTATGAATCCCGCTGCAATGTAACTTAATTTATCGTCTGGCAATTTTCATTAGTTTCTTCTTCTTTGAACTTTCAAATCCTGGTCAGATTTAACCCCTTCGGCCGCCTACGAAACCAAGTTTCGAAACCAGTTTCGAATTAAGAATAATATTTCTTCTTTCGAAACTCCTTTCGATAAAATGTTTCTTCTTTCGATACTCGTAAATGAATATTTTTTTAATGGATAAAACACAATTTGGGGGCTTTTGGGGCTTGGGAACATTCATGAAATGGACACGAAGAATATCCAGATTCAGAACAACAATTTGTTGATCACATAAAGTGTTTTCCCATGTGGAGATCGGACCCACAACAGCGCGCGAAGGCGCTCGGGGTGACCGCTTCAACCACTACAATTATTACCACTGCTTAGATACAATTTAATTGTTATAATTGTGTATTTTTTTAATCAATATATACTAATATATAAAAAGTGTTTAAAGATAATCGACTCGACACGACAATTAAATAAAAATCAAAGAAAAAACCGATAACCGATAGAGATATTTGACGATACTATCTTGAACCTTATTTACTTATAACTGTTTTCTCCGAATTTAATCAATTGGCGCCTTACTACGTATACTACTTACGTACACACTACTACTTGTTTACGCCTTCTTATCAATATATATTTAAAACAGTAACTTTTATAAGTTACTGTTAACAGAAACTTTTATAAAAGACTTTTGTCTGTTTTATTTTTGGGTATAAAAACAAATAATTTTCTCTTTTTATCGAATACGAGGCAGACGGGTCTTTCGATAGTAGTAACTATCGCCGCTCATTGACGCCTGATTAACATCTGAACAACAAACTAAAACATTGATCGCGAAACATTTTCAAAAAGTACGGCAAAATGTGCAAAACCAAATGGCGGCAAATGGACAAAACATTATCAAATTTTAAAGTTTAATTTTAAAATATTGTTTCTTAAAACTACTGTTAAAGTTTCGATATAGGTAATCCAGAGTGTCTGCGGCCCAGCAGTGCTATTCTCTTGAGGAAACAGCCTTGCGTACAGCGATGACACAGCGTCGAACTTCCAAGTTAGTTCGTTTGAAATTCGACCCTATAGCGTTGTCACAGCGTCGAATTTCAAACTAAGCCTTCCTGTATATTCCGAGAGTGCACAAATTACGACAATAGGGTAAATAAAGTTAAAGGAATATAATGCCACAGGTAAGTGTATGTTTTGTTCTAAAATGCATTAAAAGGTGTATGTAGGTACGGTTACGGAACAAATATTTTGTTCGTGCAGTTAAATATAACGTATCTTCCTTAAAATATCATTGGTGATAATATTTACAGCGATTAACTTTTTGAATTAAATGTAAAAATAAAATAAGTATCATTATCTTAATTTTACACCAATGTAACTTAAGAATTTACTAAACCATTGTCTAAGATTTATTTTATATCAAAATGTCCTACACTGTAAACTGTAACGTATATTACTCGTAGTTATATAAATAAATATTCAATAATAAAAATACTATTATTTTCAGAAACTCGCTTGCGCTCTCTGATTTATCAACACTCCGGAAACGAGACTTCCTTTGTCAAAATCCTCAATGCCAAACCGAACATGAACTCTCGAATTCCGTAAAAAATAAACATAATTCTCACAAAAGATTAACAGACTATCAGTCATCAAGCTTTTCTCAATTAAATTTAATAACATCTGTACGTACTTTATGAATGCATCAGCTAATCTTCGACCAAAGTGATCCGTAGATATTGCAATGGCTGCAGCATTCACTACATTACTGTCTTCCTTCACTGCCCAGTTATGGCCGAGAGGTGCAAGTGACTTGGCCACTAATATATCCGTGTCAAGGTATACTCCTCCCCATTTGTATAACGTCAGACACCTCAACACATCAGACGTATGCTCGATCCACCACTGACTTGCCTCGAAAGGCTTGTTCTTAACCATTTCCTCTAAAGGCGTTCTTTCAGCGTATTTTTCTATATGTACTCTAGCCACTTTTATGTTCGCAAATGATTTCAGCTGGACGAGGTTGCTGCTCGTTAATACATGCTCGTTGACTGGAGCGCTGAATAACACGTAAATCTCTTGTTCAGGATTTGCTCTAGCTGCTGATTCTATTGAACAAGCCTGTCTTGGTGTTAGATTCCCTCTACATGACGTTTCATGGAAGAAAATTGAGTTCGGTCTGGGAAAAAAATTAAAATCTTCAGCGGCCGGCAAAGCGTCTTCATCTTCTAAATAATAACAAAACATTTTACTTTTAACTTCTTCGAGCTGAACACTGTAAGATTTGGTAATATTTGACTCATTTTGTTGTATTTTATAGAAAATTATTATTACACTGAAAAACACTATGGCCAAAAAGAAAATGTTTTTATTTCTGGAAAGTATTTTATATTGCGTCTGTTTTAACGAGTGCATTATTTAACTTGTGTATCAATATAATAGTTTTAACTTAAAATCGGATCAATATAACAGCATATTATCTTTTGTATACAGCATTTATCTTTGAAAACTTTTTTAAAGAAACAAGAGATTTCATTTAGATTAGATGGAGATTAAACTTTTGCTGACAATAAACTCTGTTGTAAGATAGTATAACACATGTGTTGATTCACTGCAAACTAAAGTATTTCTATTTATTATAAGGTCTACTAATCCTATACAAGCAACAAGCGAAAAGCGAGTTGGTAATCGTTGTTTTATTTGGTACCATTTTCATCATATCGTATTAAAACTTGTGCTGCAAACAAAGCTGTACTTGAAAGGCCTTAATACACACCCAAAATCTTTTATGTACTTTTCAATTATTTTTAAACAATCCAGTTAATAAAGGCCTATGATTAATTAGTGAGATTCAATTGCCATATATAACTTAGTTTAACATAGTTTGAACAAATATTTCAAGGCGCAGACCCTAAAAAGATATTCTACTTTCGAAAGGTTTACAATTATACGCTTTCAGTTATCAGTTTGATATCAGATCAGTTTATCGCAACTAGCAAACACCTGATGGTGAGTAACTGCCGCTGACCATGGGTGCCTACAGCTCAAGAGTCTCTAATGCCAGTCACAAGGTAAGTCCTCCACCCAGAATCAGGAGGAAGAGGGGTTTGGGCCCCAGTAACCACCACACACTCGGTGAAAAGCAACAAAATAATTGCTTAACGACCGGTTTCCTGTAAAGCCATGGTATCACTCCGGCTCGTTTATGCCGAAACATGGCTCTCTCACGTAAGGTCTTCCTTTCAATGTAAATACTCCTAAGCCTCCCACTTTTAATTCTAAATGTGTCTAATATGCTTGCCCCTATAGTTAACAAAATGTGAATGTTTAATCATTTCTATTTACCCTTTCAGATAAACAGGCAACTGTATGTATGGCGTAGGTTTAAGCGGTTACCACATGGGACAACACTGTTTTATCCACAAATTGTTGTTCAGAGTCTGGGTGTTCTTTGTGTCCGTTTCATAAATGTTTGTAGAGTACCCCGCGACACAGGATATATTTCTAGTGCGAGAGTTGTCATTTAATTAAAAAACAAAAAACAAAATATTTATATTTAATGTAGATTAGATATTTAGAGGAAACCAAAAACCTGCACATATAACATCAAAATAATTATATAATATTTAAGTATGTCAATACAGTTACAGTTGAATCGTGCGAACTATTTCTAGAACAACAAAGATGTTGGAAACAAAGGGAATGCATCTACAAAGGCACCTTTCAACTACGGTTCTTCAAACATACTATATACACATACATGTATATAATAACCCTAAACCCACTTACTCCATAAGTCTCGTAATGTCATGGATCCCAAAAATTTTAGACCTATCACATGTTTACCAACCATGTGTATAAAATTCTAACATCTATTCAGAGACTCAAAATTACTTTACACATTAATAATAATTCGATAATGTCAGTTTCTCAGACTGTATGTAGAAGTGGGACCCGTGGCACTAAATAGCCCCTTATCATAGACATGACCATTAGCCATCAGGTACGTCCAGTGTCGGATTAAGCCAGCGCGGGGCCTGTAGCAAATTCTATCAAGGGGCCTTGGATTGTTTTAGGTTATCTAAGTAGTTTATGGTATTCATCATCATTATTAACAGCCCATAACAGTTGACTGCTAGACATAAGCCTCTCCTTGGAAATGAGGTTTTGCCAGGCTGGCCAGTCGGCTTGGCTGGTTGACTAGACAGGGCTCTGGTCTTGGGCCCCTCCTGTGAACTATAGGGGGACTGGGCCCTTCTAATTGACTGCCCTCCCGGGCTGGGCGTAGTCTGTTATTTGGTTACAGCCCGTGGAGTGGACTTTCAAGAAGCGGCATGCCTGGCCACCAGGGATGTCTCTTTGGTGGTCGGGCTTATGGGAACCCTGGATAAGACGGAGGCCTCTTATTTTATGGACCCAATCGTGGTCTACCCACTGGCGCCTCAATCGTGGTCAACTCGATCATCGTACCGGTTGGTCGGCGCTGCGTACGTCCTTGGGTGACTTTTGTCCAATTTGAGAGGACCGATCGTCGCGACAAGATGGCTGTACACAGGGGTTGTCCGGTCAATGACACCGTAACGTGCACCGTTGTGAGCGGCGGCTTTGCTGCCGCAGTGGTGCTCCAGCCGGTCATTGTCGAGTAGGCAGGTCGGCATCATGGGACCCTTTCCTTCTGACTGACACATTCTACACTCGGTCGCTAGAAGGGAATTGAGTGCCGCCTATCATCACTGCAATTGCAGTGAGGACTCGGCTCAAGACACCCTAGCAATTTGCCCGGCTTGGGCGTCGCAGCGTCGGGTCGCAGTTCAAACCAGGATTTCTGGTGCAACCATCGCTAACTTTTAGAAATGTACTAAAAGTTTAAATTATAGATGGACCGTGATAAGAATTGTGGAAGCGTTGGTGCGCGAGGCCCTTAAATGTGCGGGGCCCGTAGCGTTTGCTACACTTGCTACGTGGCTCATCCGCCACTGGGTACGTCGTAATCGTTAGAGTTTGGTGACATGTTGGATAGATTATAAGAAGACTTATGACTCGGTTCCACATACATGTCTTTTGAAGGTGCTGGAGTTGTATAAAATTGATACAACTCTGTGCACTTTCTTAGACTTGGTAATGGACAACAGCACTTCGCTATCCAGGGTGTCGGCAGACTGCGGTAAACGATGTACTAATAAAGTTCGAGTGGGGTATATTTCAAGGTGGAAGTATGAGTACCTTGTGGTTTTGTCTGGCTTTGAACCCTTTTAGCACTCTATTAAAGAGTTCAGAGTTAGCCTATGTGTTGCAGAATAAAGATCAAATTAGAATTATTAACTTCTCCCAAGAAACTGTTGCATTTCTGTTGCATTCTAGGCAATTACTAGTATCACAATTTTGTAAGATGGGTATGGTCAGATGATCTCATAAAATAAACTAGAAATATCCAAACCCTTGTTAATTTATCAAGCCACAGGACAATTACCGTCGTTAAACTAAGTAACTCGAATAAAAAGGCGTAATCCCAAGGCGCTGTGGTACGTACAGCAGTTTCCCATTCAAGACAAGATTTTTTTCATGTAATGGTAAATAATTTCAAGATGTGAACTGTGAATGTTCTAACCATCACAATCGAAGGTTGCTGTGGGCCTTGCTGTTGTTAGGCACCTCCTAACGGCTGGCAGAAAGATCTCTTTGGGATTTGCTGTCAACCTCTTCTGCGTCCCCGGCAATTAATGCCTGGCTCAGAAGCTCAGGCAGGCACATAGTGACAGATACCCTGGAGCTCTCTTTTTTGAGTTCTGTGTTCTGTATTTTTTTACTTTTACTTATAAAATCAGAATTTAAGTCATTTTCAGAGATTGAGATTTTTTGTTGTTTATTAAATTGAAAACTCATCCGCTTTTTTAACGGCGCCACTTTTAAATAATAAAATAAATGTCCAAATGCTGAGTTATTGGGTATTTCTAGCTGCTATCTACCAAAAATTTCCTATTCTATTTACATAAGTATCTTAATGAAAACAGTAGGTATTTCGTCACAAATTGAGGCAATTTTTTTAGAAATTGCCAACATTTTGATGTTTTAACTATCAAACAAATAACAAATAAATGACGCGAGTAAGTAAAACTTTAAAAAATGTAATCATTAATTTAAGAAATGTTTTAATTAGGTACTTTTATTATAAATTTGTATGAAATATGATATAAATGTACACAGCAGCAAACTACATTTAATTTTTATGTGTACTTAAATTCAACTACTGATAGGTATGTAAATTTTAACCAGCCATTTTACCACATCATGACACAGAGTTTATATCACTCTCCATATTCTGGCAAAATGAAAATAAAAAAGGATTACCTTCAGAATAAGGGACTACCATCATACCAGTGGTAGTCCGTGTGGTGACGGATAAAGAATACAAATTGTCACCACCCCAATTCATCCCTTGGGTGTCGTAAGAGCCGACTAAGGGAGCAAACTAAGCAGGACAACAGCACTGCAAAGAGAAAGAAAACTTGAAACAAACCCTATACCAACCCGTCTGGCCAGCGTGGTATAGTAGGCCAAAACCTCCTTTCTAAGGAGAGGCCTATGTCGAGCAGTGGACTAGTATAGGCTGTTGATGATGATGATGATGTGATCATACCAGTCCCAGTTTTCAGACTCCAGATTTCATTCTATGTTTGTTTTCGTGAAGTGCATTAAGACTTTTATATAAAGCAAGTGGATGTTTGTGTAGAACGTGGAAAAGTTAAGAGTTCTTAGTTTTCTACAAAAGGGAACACTTATACTACCATAAACTTTTATAAGATACATAGATCTGAAATATAAAAGTGCATGTAAGACGTAAGACACGGAGTATTATAACCTCGATAAATGATCTTAGTTTAACAGTAAATAGTTCAACAAAATTTTGTTACTGTAGAAAGGGGTTCGATTTGCTTACTCCATGTTACATTACTGTCAATTATAAAACTAATGTACTTAATGCTGTTTGATGGTAACTCTAAACTTTATTGATTATGCTAAAATTGTGAGTAGTGAGAATATGGGGAAAATTTGGTTTTTAACCAAATTGAGAAGCAAGAAAGCGTGATTGCTAATCTAAGTTAAGTGTGTGTAGTTAAAACAGTAAGTATATATTTAATACTGCTTGCAGACCTGAGCAATATTTACAGTGACAGATTTTATAAATCGTAGTGTGTTGTTCACTAAAGGATTCAAGTTTGGAATACTATATTCTCAATTCTAAACAGTTCGTTATGCTTTCATGGTAAAAGGTGTAAGGAATAAATGTTAAATAAGAATCCCCGTGAATATCCGACAAAAATAGCACGCTTCCAAAATAAACGTGCAAAAGATAGTAAATACTGAATCACTTACTTACTCCACTATTGCATTAATCAGTTTTCTGCCAACACGATCTTTCGATATAGCAATGGCAGCACCATTAACCAACAGAGGTTGCTCCTTAGCAACCCAATTTTTCCCTAAAGACGCTAAGGATTTCACCACTAACATATCCATGTCTAGATACACACCTCCCCATTTATACAGCGTCAGAGATCTGAGCACATCTGATGTGTGTTCAACCCACCACTTACTTCGGTAAAACTCCTTGCTGGCTACAAGATCTTCTAGAGGTGTATTTCTTGCGTACTCTGCTATATGTACTCTGGCAAAGTTTATGTTTAGATACATGCTAAGTTTTGCAAGACTGCTGTTTCTTAATGTGTTATCACTGACTGGTGAGCTAAATAATACGTAGATTTGTTTATTTGGGTGCATTCTAGCAGCAGATTCTATTGCACATGCTTGGCGTCCCCTCAGACTGCCTCGACACGAGGTCTCATGAAAGAAGATAGAATTAGGCTCAGGAGAAAAGTTGAAATCTGCCGCTAATGGCAACGCGTCTTTCTCTTCCAATTGATGACATTTGAAATCATTTCCAAACTTCATGTAATAGAAGATTTCTTGACCGGTGTAAAAGAAGGCTACCACACCCAAAGTCAGAAGGCCTAGTCCAGCTTTTTGCAAAAAGGAACGCCATTTCAAAAGCCACTGCATTTTTTCCGAGATTTTGCAACGACCGTTGAAACGATTAAGAAACACTGAAATTTTCTGTTCTTAAGTAGTTAGGTACCGTCCGCTTAATTACTTTTTTATGACGATTACTTCTGTTGACATGAAAACATTAATTAAGCGCAAATACCTACTATGGTTGGATATTCTTTTCCATAAAGACTTTGATCATGTAATAATAACATTTTTTCGTAAAACTCACACTCATCTAAATATTAATACGTCAGGCTGTTTCGTAGTATGCATTTTAAATGAAATCGTGCACTGGCCAGCGTGCTATAGTAGGCCAAAACCTTATTTCTAAGGAGAGGCTTATATCCAGCAGTGGACTAGTAAAGGCTGTTGATGACGATGATTGATGAAGAGGCCGATTTACCCTCGGAAAACCGTGGATACGTATATTCTCCACATCACTAGCATGTATATAAGTATTAATTAAAATTTATAAATCCCCATGTACTACTATAATCTGTTCTTTCCTGTCACAAAAACCACAAACGTATTATCTAATCACAACACTTCTGTTTATCCAATAACGACATTACAAAAGTCTAGTCTTTGTGATAAGGACATATTATATTGCATGTACACTTTACTTAAACCCATTAATATTATCTTCGTTTTCGGAATACCATCGACAATCACTGTTTTTATGAAACATCTCCACAAATAACAAACAGACAAATTCCATTTCCTGTTAGTAAATGTATGAGTTTATAGCAAGTAAACCTACACTTAACCGTTTAAATTTAAATAGCACTCGACAGGAAGAATTAGATTTTCTTTGAGTGAAAAATGGTAAAGATGTATTTCCTGTAAAAAAACCCTGGATATCAATTTCATTATAAACTAGCTCCCTAGAACCCACTAAGGCAGTGTTTTTCAAATTCCACGCGAACGAAGTCGCGGGCACCAGCTAGTAAACTATATAAACGAAGGAATATCTCCATGATAGCTGTTTTAAGAATTCCCTGAGGTATTCACGTTATGTAAATAATAAGTTTTATTTTTCACTATCAATAAACTTCAATGCGCCCATCGTGATGAATTGTTGTAAACCGCATTTTTCATTCCTTAATACCTTACCTTAAAACCTTTTAGGTTTGAATTTCGCTTTTTGTCTTTAAATCTGGGCCAAACAGGAGTATAATGAGAATTTAGACCTTTCAAATAAGGAAATAATTCTGCGAATCGGTTCATAACTGACGTAGTTCTAAGATAACAAACAAAAACCGAATTGAGGTTTTCTTTTTACGATTTCATGAACTTATTTTATTACCATAATATAGATTAACCAATGGACAGTAATCTACAGCAATTTTATCTGAAAGTGATTTGCTAAAGTCGTTCTCATAACTGCTCCAAGCATCATATGCGTAAATTTTATGGCTCCGCCATTGTTTGATTTCTTTTTCTGATGAAAAAAGGTTTTTAAGAATAGACATGGGAACTAGATGGTTTGGCCCAATGATCTGCAAACCTGGAAACAATAAGATGTAAGTTATCATTTAAAAACATACATTAAGATAAAAGATAAGTTTTTCAACTCGAATTTTTTTCTTGCAGTCACCTGCGAAGTTCTTCTACCATCATCATCATCATCAAGAGCCTTTACTAGTCCACTGCTGGACATAGGCCTCTCCTTAGAAAGGAGGTTTTGGCCTACTATACCACGCTGGCCAGACGGGTTGGTATAGGGTTTGTGTCAAGTTTTCCTTCTCTCAGCAGTGTTGTTGCCCTGCTTAATTTGGTCCCTTAGTCGCTTCTTACGACACCCACGGAATGAATAGGGGTGGTGACACTCTGTATTCTTAATACAACCAGACTTTAAGTGCCTTAAGCTTTAATTACTTTATGTAATAAAACTTTCTTGACTTTTGATAAATACATACATAACACTTTCTTTAGGCCTTCTTTAACAACTTTTTTAATTTCCAGGCTCGAAATGATATCATTACTAGTTTTTGCCGCGTGTATGTCGGTTAAATCCGTGTGGTGACGGATTAAGAATACAGAACTAAGTAACTAAGGGAACAAACTGCACAGGACAACAGCACTGCAAAAAGAAGGAAAACAAATCCTATACCAACCCGCCTGGCCAGCGTGGTATAGTAGGCCAAAACCTCCTTCCTAAGGAGAGGCCTATGTCTATTGCAGTGGACTATTATAGGCTGTTGATGATGATGTCGGTTATTGGCGTAAAAAGTAGCCTATGTCACTCGCTGATACTGAGCTGAGCTGAGCTTTGAATTGGTAAAAGGATTTTTAAAATCGGTTTAGTGGTTTAGGCGTGATAACTGGTGGCTTAACGAACAAATAAACGTCATGTTATAGGAGGAGAAACCCCCCCTCTATCCACCTAATACGAGGGGAGGGACACACACACACTCAAAGTCAGTTGCAGGTGTCAATGGGCGACGGTAGATGCCATCAGGTGACCCTTCAGCTAAATTTTTTAAATGCATAAAAGGCACACAATTTATCATCTCAAATCATCATAAATAAACTTAATGGTATATAGCCGACAACACGGGCTTCGTATTGGTCGTCGGTTTTCATTAAATCTGTTCGTAGACCACATCGAAAAGTCAAGGGCGTGGTGAACCATTAAATACTGACTGTTGTGGGGCGTTAATAGAAATGGCTAAAAATCATACCGTTACAGTTAGCTGCGACAAAATTGAACGGGTCTGTAGTGCCACACCATAGAGCCAAAACCTTGTCCATTATAGCATTGTCACTAAAATACTTTTCTGGCATTAAAAAGTGACTTCGAAGGATACTGAAGTAAAAAAAAGTTTTTGAGCTTAGTTAGTCTAAAAGTAATTTTGCGATCTCCCTTTGCGATCATTACTTTTTGCAGGTCCCCAGGTTTTGTATGTCCTAAACTGGTACGACTACAAATTTAGTAACACTAAAACTATTTACCTCAAAATAATGCATTAATACGAAAAATTTGCTACATTTATAAAATAAAATTAAAAATACAACTGAAATCAGGCATTCCATATGCTTCAACACCTTTACACCAGGGTTAATAAATGACGCTTGTCTACGCGCCTTTTAGGGAGCTTAAAAGGGAAATGGGGGTTCCCACACAGGAAGGGGTCATCTACACGCCGTAGATGTCTCGAGGTACGTCGGGGTACCAGATATTTCCTTACTAGGATACACCTGGTTCCCCGGCAAATGTTACCCAAAACGGTGTGAGGTGTTTGGTCAGCTCGAGTCCAATATAACCACCCCACCGATGGGAGGAATGGTATCCCAGGGGATTTCCCCACAGAAAAAAAAGGGGTTTAATAAATGACGAATGAGAAAACTGAGACTAATCAAAGAAAGTTTAATAAAACTGTCTTGAAACATTAACCAGAAATAGCTGTCTAAGAGAATTTTCCATATCCTCTTTGAAGGTCTCCAATATTGAACCTGGTCATGTATGAGCAACTGGATAAGCCAAAAATGTTATCCATCGCTTACAAATATCAGTTGAGCTAGTTCATACATATACTCACGTCTTTTATCTCTGAAGGGGTAGTCAGGGGCATATTAAACGCCATCATTTTTAGTCCTTCTTACCTAATAAGGGGCAAGCCTTATTGTCGGCCACCGGACACACAAAATAATATTTTTTTAATTATATATTCCTAAATCCATCATCCTAGCCTTTTCCCAAACTGGGTTGGGGTCAGCTTTTAGTCTAAGTATATTGTTTTTAAGTAAAGCGACTGCCCTCGGACATCAGATATATCGAAGGTCTGTAGATAGACTGTTGTCGAAATTTTTATGGCTCCAATTACCCGTGACAATTGCCAAAGAAGGTCGAAGGCTTAACGTGCTTCGAGGCACAGAGTTCTTGCATGTGTTAAGAATGGTCACCCATCCACAGTCTGACCTGGCTAGGGGGAATACCCAAATACTCCGAAATATTTTATTCCGAATTTCAATGTGTTTATGTCCATTATTAAAATTCACGATATTTATTTTACCGAAAGTCGTAAATGCGATTTGTTTGTTTTAAATGATGCAAACAGACAAAATGCTAAAATAAGGATTCTGATTCGGTTAGTACGAGTATAATCTTCAGTTACGCAGATATATTCAAAATCTATAAGTTACATTTATTGTAATTAAAAAACTTCTTCTTTGTTATTAATATTTGTGTATTAATATTATTTTGTATTATTCCAAATATTGAATTTTTTAAATTATTAAAATAGGGTGAATGATAAATCGGAGTTCTTATATTTGGAATTTTGAACCATTCGGAATTATGAAAATCGGTATTTCAAAATTCGTATTAGTGACTAACAGAGTTAAGTTTTTCGGATTTATGTAGTGTGCCCTAGGGTACTAGGGGCTAGGGTTGCTTAATTTTGCAATTGGCTACCATACTCGGTTGCCACTTGGATTCGGTTATACCCTGACACAGAGCAAATGATCGAGCTCATCACACAATACCAGTCCTGGGTGGAACGAACCTACGACAAAACCAACAGGCCAGTTAAAGTATATGATAATAAAAATATCAACAACACTAAAATGCGTACCCAAATGCTAACATAGCTAACTTTCGTCCATTATCATTCGACGAAAAGGAAAAAACATCTGTAGATATTTTTAAATTCGTTTCTTTAACAACAAAGTTGGCTTGATATTCTCGAAAGGGGTTCGTGACCAGTACATCCAAAGCCAAATACGTTCCACCATATTTGAAAACTGTCAGATATTTTAAGATATCACTTATTTCCATATTCAGTTCTTTATTATGTAATGATTCTTTAAGCGAGCCATGCAACGGTGTTGTCTTCGCATATTCTTCTAAATGAATCCGTGCAACTTTTACATTAGGCAGTGACAGCAATGTAGACAGTATACTATTTCTTAACCTGTATTGTGAGATAGATTTTGTAAAAAATAGGTTAATTGGTGTATCAGGGTTCACTCTAGCTGCTGACTCCACAGAACATGCTTCACGCCAGGATAAATAAGTGCAGGTAGCCTCGATAAAGAATATAGAATTCGAAGGCAACATAAAATTTGTATCCAGGACTGGTAGCGCATCATTATCCTTTTCGTTGAGACATGTAAATATATCTTCCGATTTATTAAGAATTCCATGTATTGCAACAGTTAGCATAGCACCATACACAAATATAATTATGATTAAAAGAACATTTTTAGGTTTTCCCAGTGTCCGAATTTGCCTGAATATTGAAATCATTGAGAAATTACTTTCGATTTAACAATATGCAATAGATTTCTTAACAAACTGTGAGCATTTGTTTTGTCGATAACATTAAAGCTTAATGCAACGTTTGAGATGGGATAAGTTTTCTCTCAAAATTGTTTACCTATTGCTTATTTCTGTTTTTTTTTTTGTATCTTATTTTGTTTAATAAATATACCTTTGCGTAATAATTCTGTGTGGTGACGGATTAAGAATACAGAGTGTCACCACCCCTATTCATCCCGTGGGTGTCGTAAAAGGCGACTAAGGGAGCAAACTACGCAGGATAACAGCACTGCACAGAGAAGGAAAACTTAACACAAACCCTTTACCAACCCGTCTGGCCAGCGTGGTATAGTAGGCCAAAACCTCCTTTCTAAGGAGAGGCCTATGTCCAGCTGTGGACTAGTAAAGGCTGTTCATGATGTGTGATGTGATGTGTAATAATGTGTGTACGTGTAAAGTGTGTATATTTATATGAGTTTGTATATAACAATAATAGTCTTAATCATAACATACTCAGGGAACTTTGATCTACAAATTGCAACTCCCTATCACATTTCTATTCTCTTTCTCCATCCATTGCTTGCCTGGAAGAGATCGCAAATTGCGATAAGGCAGCCAATTGTACAACTTTTTTATAATTTAGTTTCTTTGTTGCGTTTATATAACTTTAGATCAGAAGCTCTACACAAATGTATACAAACTGTATTATTGTTTAATTTTAATTATAGGTACAATAAAGAGTTTTCTCTGTCTATCTTAATGATGATGATGATGATATTTATTTCTGTAAGTAAATCTTTTCAGCTATTTTTACAAGTCGGACTTTATAGCTAGAAGGAGCCGGCATTTCCTAAAACTCACTCTGGGAAGAAACGCCGAAACAAACTACAGAGGTGTCTTTTTTTTTATCTACTTTCTATGTCTAAATATTTAACATAAACATAATTAACTTACATTGCACATTTGTTTAAAAAATGTGTGTTGTGTAATTAGGTATATTTCTCCAAAAATCTAAGTATTAACATTGTCTTTTGGCAAGTTGAACTAAAGAGGAGCGAAAAAAGTATGGAAAGAATATGAAATAAAACAAAGATCTTTCAAATCTTTGTATCAATTACCACGCTGCCAAGCTAAAAATCACAAAGCTAGACAGGTAATACCTACCTAGCTTTGTGTTTTTTTTTCATCATCAGATCATTATCAACAATCATGATTTGGTTTACATTTTTCACCATCATTTAAAGAGGTTTTTTTACAACCATACACTCAGTCTATTTCTCCGTATAATACAAGAAGTAGGCTGTCTATGTCAGACAGCCTACTTCTTGTAGTATCCAGAATATTCCATCTATAATTTTAGTCCGAGGAACTTTAGAAATTAAATGAGATAATGTGCAACATTATCTCATTTAATTTCTCCGCACATTCCAAACCCTTTAACCAATTTTTTACTACAAATTTTATAAAACTGTGTATAAAAAGTCGACTACAAAATAAATTGTATCAAAATTGTAATATTTGATTATAGCCTATACTAGCCAACGAGCGTGTAGTATATTGTCCAGCAATCAATTAATTGTTGTTTTAGTTAAGTAGAAAAGGCAATGGTGGCAATTTTTAGTTTAGTTTAGAGAGTTTTCGAACAACAGATTAGCGCCATTATCTAACTAATATCTAATTTTACGCATTAAATACCTAGGATACGATGATTGTTACTACACATCAAATTCATTTTTCTTTTTTCTTTCATACCCTCCAAGTTCACATCCTTAGTTAGTTAGTTATTAATAGTTGATTAATAACAAAATTTATGACGGTATAAACACGTTGGAGTATGTACCTATTTCGTTTTTATAGAGTATAACAGTATAACAGTGTTATCTTATATCGCTGATACGAACGTGGATCAAAATTAAATCGTAATAAAAGGAACATCATCTAACAAATAATTATTAAAAAGTAAGTCAAAAGTTCGAAAATTTTAGGGCTAATCTATGTATTTATTCGCATGGTCCGGATGTCTTAATAACAGTCGTTTCCGAATCCCTCTTATTACAGGCGCAGAGTGGCACACCGTGTGGTTGTATTCGGTCCGATTAAGACATATCATCCCGCCGCAAACCACGGTGGGGTGACGGCCTGAGGCCGTAAAAAACAGTAGACGGAATTGACTTATTAAGAGAAAATACTCCTGTAAAAATAACCCACAACTATTACTAATGAACGGGAATAAACACGATTAATAAGTATTTTATACCTATGAATTGTCTGACGTTTCGACCAGAAGTCCAATTCGTGTATCTCGCAACTGTCATAATGGGTATTTTCGTAGTAAGAGGCCTATTCCCAGCAGTAGACTATTAAAGGCTGTTGATGTGATGTATCGATTTTACTTATTGAAATAATTTTTATATTTCTACTCACCTCGACAAGTATAACATTCTTTTACACAAACCAAGTTCTATTTGAAGAGACTACAGAGAAACTTGAGAGCGAATATGAGTGTCATTATCTAAAAGCAGGCGACGCATTACCACCAATGGAAGATTTTAAGTATTCTCCTCATCGTCGCTCGATATTTTTTCACGACATGTCATGTGGAGGTAATCTAACAAAACGTCAAGCATGTGCCATAGAATCTGCTGCCAAAACACATCCGAGAAGACATATTTATGTGTTATTTAGTTCTCCCGTCAACGAAGAGATTTTAATGAGTAGAAATCTTGCGACGCTGCGTTTAAAACGAAACATTCACTATAGAAGGATTCATTTAGAAGAATACGCGAGAGCAACGCCTCTCCTGCATTTAGTTTCTAGAAAGGTGGTCTATGAAAGCAAATGGTGGGTTGAGCATGCAGCCGATGTTCTGAAAATACTGACACTGTTTAAATATGGAGGTATATATCTCGACATGTCCTAGTTGCCAGGCCGCTGACGCCGCTTGGACATAACTGGATCGGCATTGAGGACTCTGCGCATATTAACACTGCTGCCTTAGATATATCTAAAAGCAGACATGGACGGAAATTCATTTATTCAATATTTAAGTAAGTACCTATAAAAATTTAAAAGGCCTCATAATCATCACCGTTGCTGTCTAGCAGCATTCCACATGCACATCAACTGGTTAATTATTATAATTCGTTTCATTAATGAAATCCAAAAATCATCGTGGGTTTTCGTTTTCGGTTCGTTCGGTTACGTCGTAAGAATATCGCTGGGAACCTTGACTAGTTCTCAGCGATGCAACCTGAGTCAATCCGGTTAATGTCGTGCTGGAGCGATAGTAAAAATATTTTTCATTCGTTCTGTTTCTTTTATTAGAATAGGGCACGGTGAAGTACTATGAACTCCCTTGAGTGATACCAGTTGGTAGATGAGAAGCGAATCGATGGTGGTCACGGATGGAGTGTAGAAGAAGAAGTCCAACCGTGACCACGATCGCTGCAATAATGTCGGGTAAACCAAAAATGGTTTAGTACCATGTAATTATTATTTCAATGAAGAATCGATTTACACATCGGCTAGATATGATAAAACGCGAAAGTCTAAAACAATTATACCGTATTCTTGTATCAGGTACCACAGTAAACAAAAACCCCGTTAGGTAATAAATACAAGAATTTTCTTGTTAAACGTTTAATATTTTAAACTCGATATAATGGGGGGGGGAGGGGGGGGGGATTTTATGCACGCTGTTATCGCCGACAGCATTAGTAAACACATACCTATAAGTGGTTTATTTCTCAACGAAACAACATAAATACACATTACTACAACATAGGGTAAATTTTCAACAAATAAAAACCCCTATTAAAAATCTCACACGTCTGCGATAATAATGTTTTTGTCAAAACAGATTAAAAGAAAAGTTTTTTTGAAGACTATATTAAAAGCCTTATTGGTAGTGGTGATTTTGAGTTGTATAACTATTTATTATACAGTACAGTTTCAAAAATCAAAAAATAGTATATACTGTCATTATTTAGAAGAAGAAGATGCGCTGCCATCGGCCGAAGGCGTGCAATTTTCTCCCAGACCGCAGTCCATTTTCTTCCATGAAACTTCGTGTCGTGGAAGTCTGACAGCAAGACAAGCTTGTGCAATAGAATCAGCAGCTAGAGCAAATCCTCAAAGAGACATTTACGTATTATTCAGCGCTCCAGTCAACGAGCTAATGTTGACCAGCGGCAATCTTGAAAAACTGAAGTCATTGCCGAACATAAAACCCGCTAGAGTGCACTTAGCAAAATATGCCAAGAAAACTCCTTTAGAAGAAATGGTGCAGAGTAAACCTTTTGAGACAAGCAAGTGGTGGATCGAGCACACATCTGACATATTGAGATCTTTAACGTTATTTAAATTTGGAGGAATTTATCTTGACACAGATATGTTGGTTGTCAAGTCACTGACGCCACTCGGACCCAATTGGGTTGCAAAAGAAGACAATACTTTAGTGAATTCTGCAGCAATTGCCATATCCACTGATCAAATTGGCCGAAGATTAGCCAATGCTCTTATAAAGTGAGTGACAATTTTGAAGAGGCACTGAAAAAATACTGTTGGACAAGATGAAAATCACATTTTTTATTTATTTGTTGTATTTAGATATGCTTACTCGTATTAATTAATCTTTTACCAGACTTCAAAATACGTGTATGAACTACTGTGAAAGAACGGGCATTTAGGCCCTCCAACTGTAGCCTAGCAGTACGCAGCCGAATGGTTTATGTGTGGTGACCTCCTCACACGGTGAAACGTAGAAACATACAACAGCGCCATCTAACAAAGTACAGAGTAACTGCTAATCCTGTATCGCGATATAAACAACTCTCTCGCCGATTAGCATATGCACAACATCCTGTCATCACCCATCAGGCCGCGACCCGCCAGGCATGATCACCTCGCCGCACTATCTGCATAAAAGTTAGGGAATGTAATAATAATGAATGAAGAGTATAATGAAGAATGTATAACATGCATTTAGTCAATCTACTAAATGTTTAGAAAGTACATAACTTGTGAGCTGTATGTCGACCTATCTGTGCCACATATTTGGTGTCAAAGTCGCAAAAAGGGATTTTATTTCTCTTTGTTTAGGGTTAGGCCCCGGGTAGTCGTTTACTCGGTGAAAAGCGTCAATAGTTTTGCTTAACATTGGTTTGCTGGTGATGGATTAGCGTGCGCTATGGGCAAGCGTCAAATTAGTTTAAGTACTACATGCGCTGTTAGAGCTCGGGCGTGTATTACAGGATAACTCAAGATGAACTTGAAAGTGCATTACACAGATATTAAATTTCGTATCCATAACAATTTTTTGACACTTTCAAACCTTAGGAGCCACCAACCTGCCAACTCTGCATGTCCCAACCCTATTTATACCAAATAAAGAATTTAAATTTGAATTTAAACGAAATAAGTTCTAACACAAAATTACCCAATATAAAGTACTATTACAATTTTTTTGTTTTATAGTGTTTTTTCTATAAAATACGGTTTTAGCATAACATTTACATTAGAGACAAAAATCAATGGTTTTCCCTAAGTGCTTCCATATCATGTCAAAGATGGTTCACAGTTTGCCTTTTAATTATTCTTTAAAACTTACAGAGAACTGAAAACTACATACACGCCGGATATCTGGATACACAATGGCCCGGGCGCCATAACCAGGGTGCTAGTTAAATTCTGCAAAACTCGCCACGCAAATAAATGGACTTCTAGCAGCTGCAATGGTTCGTTTAACATGCTTCTTCCCTTCAACTGCCTTTCATATGCAGGCAATTGTTTTATGATTTTGGAAAAGTTGAATAATTGGAAAAGGTAAATAATAAAGTGGTGACGGATTAAGAATACGGAGTGTCACCATCCCGTGGGTGTCGTAAGACAGTGGGTGTCTAAGGGAGCAAATTACGCAGGACAACAGCACTGTAAAAAGAAAGAAAACTTGACACAACCCCTATACCAACCAGACTAGTCTGGCCAACGTGGTATAGTAGGCCAAATCCTCCTTTCTAAGGAGAGGCCTATGTCCAGCAGTAGACTATTAAAGGCTGTTGATGATGATGATGATGAAATATACCTTTTAAACAAAAAATGAAGCAATAAACAAATAATCTTGGATATATTATATATACTAATAATGTTATAAAGCTGAAGAGTTCGTTTGTTTGTTTGCTTGAACACGCTAATCTCAGGAACTACTCACTTCGCCCCGGGAAACAGCTTCCTCCGCCAGAGCCTTCAGCATGATCGCATCCATGGCGGAGCGCCTCTGCCGAAAACCATACTAGTTATTCGCCGGATCCGGCCCCACCTTGAAGAGGTGCTTGACGAGGCGCCTTGCAATCACTCTTTCGAAGAGTTTGCACACCTTGTCAAGCAACACCATGGGCCGGTAGGCGGATGGTGAGTACGCCGGGCGCCCCTCCTTTCGGATGAGGACCAGTTTCCCTGTCTTCCACGTCATCTAGGGCCAGGATCGACGCTCGGCCTGGAATGCCATAGGGTCCCGGGGAAAGCCTACTAACCTGTGATGGATTTCCTTTTTAAATTTGTTATATATGTTACTACCATGACTTTTTTTCAGATCTCTAAATACTGCCGTTTGGCTAAGACGATAAATATTATGTTTCTTATTAATAATTTCTCGTTTCAAATTACATTTGAATCTTTCAGTATATTTAACCGTATATTTATTTTTAACTTCATTTTGTAAAACATTCATAAAACCTGTGGCGATTTCCACATAAGGTAAAAACGAAACATATTACCGCGCCATCTAACGAAAAAACACCGAACTACGGAGTAAGTGCTAATCCTGTATGGCGATATAAGTAAATTTCACACTGATTTGCATACATACAACTTCCCGACATCAACCGTTGGGCCGCGTGGCATGATCACGTCGCCTGATCGGAAGATCCTCTTTTGTTGGAGGAATATGACACCCGTTCCTCGCCAAACCCTTTATTTTATTACCACTCGATAGGTTTTGAAGAAAAAAAACTTAAACACTAACGATCTTTTCTTATGCCACTTCGTTCATATTTATCATATCTTTAAACTATTATTGCTGTTAACTAGAGTAAACGCTGACTCCTTATTAACATTGTCCTTGTGTATTATGCCTTTTTGATGTTATACTAGCTGGTGCCCGCGAATTCGTTCGCGTGGAATTTGAAAACCGCTGCCCTAGTGAGTTCAATTCCCGGACTGGACAAAATTTTATAGGGTTTATCTGACAGAAAAATAGCCTAAGTTATTCCTTATATAGACAGCTACCTAGTAGTAAAATAGTAAACAAACAGACAGACAAAAAATATTTAAACCGGTTTTTAGGCATAGGTATCAAATAACCGTGTGAGCATGAAAAAAAACCTATTATTTACATTACATACAGACACTTAAATTTTATTTATTTGTATGGAGGCAAACGATGGACAGCGGCAACTCAAGAGGCACAAGTGCGCTGTCGCTCTTTTCCGTCCATTCCCCTAGAACCAGAGGGAGGGAGGGTTTACGTCTTCTAAAGTGAATTGAAGATATTGTTGAATATTATTGTTACTAAAAACACTTTATTTTCAGGACTGGAAGTATACAGCCCCGAGTACTTTTATCCAGTTTATTACAATAGGTGCAAAGTCTACTTTGAGCCTGGAGAACTGAATACAGTCACGAAAAACGCTTACGCATACCACCTTTGGAACAAGCTAACGCATAATATGAAGATTGAAAAAGGATCACCATTAATGGGAATGGCAGAAGAATTTTGTCCGTCAATATTTCAAATGTATGGCGACAGCTTTGGAGATGTATGAATATACATTAAAAACTTACTTCATTATAGGTTTTTCAGACTCATATATATTTGTAATTTTTATGCAAAAAACTACAAAAACTCGAACACGTCTGGATCGCATATCTGCAACTTGAACTGACTGTTGGCAAAATAATTTTTTTTTTTTTTAATATAAGGGTTTTTGCACTACCCAAATTTTAATCCCCGGCATTAGTTTTGACACTTTAAACCCTTTTAGCATTATATAAGAAATGTATACAGGAAAGCTACAAAAATGTTAAATCGATTTTTTTTTATATAAAATACCATACGAGTTGTCAGTTGTAGAGTAATGACGTATTGTATAAAATAACAGTGTGTGAGTGTGTATTAGAGTTGTGTAGCTCCTGAGTAAGTGATATAAAAGATATAATCATATCATTCACGACGATAAAATGTATCACTCACTCACACTAGCTCCGAATATATCAGTAACTCAGTACTAGCTCACTAGATCACTAGCTCAACGACGCCGATCTTTGTTTCACGAGCGAGTGAGACTACAGATAAATGAGTGAGATAGATGATGGTTGAGTTCACGCAAGTTTCTTTATGCAAAATGTACATTATTTCTATAGGATCAAAGTTTAATATTACTTAAAATTAAGCCAAGTACAAGGAAAAAAAAAGTGAGTGATATACGAGTATACTGAGCTAAACGATCTAGATGAAGAAATGAATTAATTGAGAGATTAACAATTGAATCGGATCAATGAGCTAGTGAGCTAAATGAGCTAGTGAGCTAAACGAGTTAGTGAGCTAAATGAGCTAGTGAGCTAGATGAGTGATATATATCTTTTGAGCGAAATGATTTATATCAATCTTTTCAGCTCAGTGATACATTTTGCGCATCACTAGTGTGTATTAGGTACAAGTATGGAGTGTGAAGGCAGTGTGGAGAGATTCATGTATGTGAAAACGCGTCCAATAAGAGTGGCGCTGCGGAAGCCTAGGATAAATTTATATTATCTTAAGTAATAATTAGACACTGTGTTAAAGACTGCGAAAATAGTCAATGAGTTTTACAGACAATAAACAGAAGTGTTATTTTTTGATACAATAAAAGTATTATATTATTTTAACTCAGCACACTTCACTTCGAATATAACAGTTATGTTTATATCATAGTTTTTCGTACGACAGCGACCTCTATTTTCAGTACACAGCTGGACACTTTTTCAACTTTCCCCACTTAAACCATCACCACCATCCATCCACCATCTCGGTTCTCCTTGCCTCTAATTATATAAATATATATATATAATATTTGTAATCTTCGTGTTACACCCCTAGTAAGCTACATAATAATTTAAGGTACTAACTATTTAAAAACATATTCTTGTTTGAACGTTTATATTATTATTATTATAGTCACAAAATCAATCGACGGACAATGAACACAAATGGGAAAATGGCAGGTGAAAAGAATATATTACTTGTCAGTTTTTCATTTAATCAATAGATTATTCTCTAAATCGTTTCAATTGATTAGTTTAGCAAATTTTATTTACATCTTTTATAGTAGGTACGATGAAATTTCAAGCTATTTTATTCTATAGGTGAACAAATATTAATATCGTATCGATGTGATATAATTATTAATACTGATCTAAATTTACCCTAATACCAATAAAATATTTCAGCAAGCAAGCAGTTCCTGTACAGCACTAACTTTCAGTATATTACAATGTACTCTGTGGCACTAACTCAATTCAAAGTTCACAACACTGAGATTTCTTTGATTTTGCAGATTTTATATTTTAATGATGTTTTAATGTGTGAGTTTGTGCCACGAAGATTTAAATTACAAATATTGATGTTATTGTATTGCAAGATTTAATTTTTTACTTTCTCATCAAGAAATCAAATGACTTCGTACCTAATTTTGAAACCATAAAAGCGCTGTAATTAGTTTCTAAGCTTATAGTTTTTAAGGAATAAACCATTCAAGTGGTATTTAGTAAAAATGACTTCAATTATTTTGGCGCAAAAACTAGTATCAGTCAAATTAACTAAAGAGGAATTCGACAAAGTAAGATGTCTCAAAGCTAATAATATTGAAAACAAATTCAAAATGATTCCGTAAGTTATTTAATAAACCTATAATATTTTGCGGATTAAACTGCTTAATGAACCAGTTTTTTTAACTTATATAAAAGTATACATACCGTATATACAATAAAACGTATATAAAGTCTTGTACAGTAAATTGGCCACCTAGGTAGGCCATAATCTACATGCACATGCACAATGCTGGTCTCATGCCATACAAACCTCAAAAATAGAAATCGGAAAATAAGCTAAGAAGCTAAGAAATATCGGCTAAGAAGAAATATGAATGGGATCTTTCATTTGACTGTGACATAGAGTAAACCTCCTTTCTAAGGAGAGGCCTATGTCCAGCAGTGGACTATTAAACGCTGTTGATGATGATGATGATGATAGAGTAGATACCGAAGACTCCTCATTTGTTTTAAATTATTCAAAGAAAACCATTACTTTTACTTATTTAAATACCATACCAAACAAGTAGCCGTCTTGTAGAGGATGTCTTAATGAAGACGAAACAACTGCCTACATTATTCTGAAGTGCTAGGGACTGGCCATACAGAATCAAAAATCCTCTATAAGCTAAGCTGGCTTACCCAGCTAACCTCATTTTATATATTTTTTAGGACATCTGACACCCAACACCATCTAGTTTCAAACTAAGCTGAGCTTGTACTTTGAAAACTAAATTGACTGATAGACTTATATACTTTTTTTTTTGTAAATACATACACATTATACATAGAAAACACCCAAACTTCGAAGCAAATACTTGCAGATCGTATAAACATTAGTTTCGACCCTTGAATCGAACCCGAGACCTCAGCACAGCAGTCTCATACACTACTACTGCACCACCAAGGCATCTACACAGATAATGGACTGTTCATGAACTTTGGAAATAAAGCGCTCCACCTAGAATACAATTCTTCAAATTGTGTCTATTGATTATTTTAAAGACATGTCCTGCACTAGAAGTATATCCCGTGTCGCAGGAGACTCACTACAAGATTCATGAAATGGACACATGTAAAATCCGGACTCAGAATACAAGTAGTTGACCTATGTGAGGTTCGAACCCACAACACGCAGTGTAGTAGGAAGTGATGAGGTGACTGCTTATAATCAATACACCATCTGTGCAGTCAAAGACAGTTTTGACTCTGAATAGTACATATATAATTTTTGTTTAATGATTACGTCTCATACTTTTCTTTGGAAGAGTCATATACATAATTATACCAAAAGACAGCATTGCCCTCTTATCAATTAATGTATTCTTAATGCCTTATTTACAGTTATTTGAAGAAAACAATAGACAATCAAATGAAAATTAAGATTTGCAGAATATGTTTAAGGCCTGGTAAAAATAAAATATTTGGTGACCAAGAATTTGAGTGTGTTACAGCTATGAAACAAATACTACAGATAGAGGTCATTATTCTTACATAAATATTTCATACAATGATTCTTATATATATGACTAAAAAGGTTATAACAAATTTGTGTTTGGCTTTAAATTTTTTTTTTAAGATATCCTTTATAGACTCATAGATATAAACTAGGCTTAATCTATTTTAAGGACTTAAAGATGTCTACAGAAAGCACCAAACAAATTAAATATTTATATATTTTTTCTGAACTTAAGACCTATCTGCTCTTACCTTGAAGGTTAAAGCAAATGATGGGAAACCACAACACATTTGCTTGTCTTGTGAAAGAACCCTAAAGGATGCTGAACAGTTAAAGCAAACTGCTGAAGTCACTCAATGGCGACTCCAGCAGGAGCTGGATATGGGTAAGTGACAATACCTATCCATGCATATCTGGTTTACTACATTTTATCAACCTGGGTAGGCAATACTATACTCGCACTCTCAACAGCTCGGCGTTGCGATTGGTTAAGATTTTAGTGCGGGCCAATCGCAGTGCCGAACGCGCTCGCTGTTGAGCCCGCACATAGGCCTCTGATGATAAGTAAACATGGAAATTATCACTACTTTTAAATCATATTAATTACTTGAAATGATGGGCTTTAGGCACAGTGATTTCATCTGGGATTGTGATTTGGTCATAGACCAAGATAAATGCTATTAAAATCAAACATAATTCTTTTTATCCTTTCTTTCTTTTTATTTAATATATTTTTATTTATTTATAAGACCTTTTTTATTTATTTAGATTTAGAAAAAAAAGATCTGACGCTGATAGAGCTTGCCTAATAATAATAATAAGTAGCAGTGGTTTTGTAAATTAAGTCACAGATGTGATTATAGGATTTATCACAGGTGATTGTTACTTTATTCCATCCCTAATTGTAAGTAACTACGCTGCCCATAGACACGTGCAGCTTACGGGTCACAAGCGTTGCCGCTGTTTAATTCCTTCCCTTCCCCTGATACTGGGCTCCGGTAACCTTCTCACTAAGTAAAAAGCAACTCAAGAATAGCTTAACACCGGTTTTCTGTCAGACTGTCTTATCACGCCGGTCAAGCCAGCCCATTTTAGAAGAAGCATAGCTCTCCCTCGGTAGGAATGGTTTTAGTTCAAGTTAGTTAGTATAAAATTTCTTTTTAGTTTCGAGTTTACTCCTGGAGCATGAAGACAAGAACCATCATGGTGGTTTCTTCGTGGAACAAGGGTCCACCATGACGCGAAAATGGAGTTGTGGGAAATGTCGAAGAACTTTTGATAACCAGGTATTATTAAAAGCCTTTTATAGCATGCACTTAAACTGATTTAAATTTAGTGATGTTAGTTATAATTAATTGTAAAGTATTAGTAAATAAATTAGAAGTTTATAATTGGCTTTAGCTCCAGTCACGTTTTTGTGCCTTTAATAATAATATTTCGGACATCTAACACACAACGTCTAGTTTCAAACCAAGCAGAGCTTATATGAAAGCCAGATTAACTCAGAATTTTTGTAAATACATACATATTATACATAGAAAACACCCAAACTCTGAAACAAATATTTGCAGATCATACAAATTATTGGTTCTACCCGGGAATGGAACCCCAGGCCGAAGCACAGCAGTTGCATATGCTCCTACTGCACCACTGTGGCAGTCAAATGTTTGGCTATCTTGTTCTTTGACTGTTTGGAGAATTTAGTGTTACTGATTTGTCTAAACTTAATAAAAAATAATAATAAGGTATTTAGAAGATTACGCCGATTTATACAAAGAAATAGACATAGTTTATTTAAATGAATCACAATAAACACATTTTTTTTTGTGGAAGAGGGGGCAAACTGGCAGACGGGTCACCTGATGGAAAGTGACCACCGCCGCTCATGAACGCCTGTAACTCAGGAGTCACAAGCTCGTCGCCGGCCTTTGAGGAAGGAGTACGCTCTTTTCTTGAAGGTCGTATCGGTCCGGAAATACCGCAAACGATAACTTGTTAGACAGAATTTATCGAAATTCTTATTGATATGCGCTTAACTGTTCGCTGTATGAACTAAATTATTGTTTCTACACTGGTCAGGTAGGTAAGTATATAGGTCGGACTTATCTCACAGCAAGTTCCACGTTTGTGAACTTTCATCAAAAATCTTTACTGACTTAACCAAATGACTCAACACCCCTCTCGGAAATTCTAGAACATATGTGTTGGCTGTGTATTCTAGCCTATTGATAGCAACAATTGTTGACTATCCTGTCAATCTAGTGGTTAGAGATTCTGACTGCTAAGCCAGAGGTTGTGGGTTCGATTTCCACTCAAGACAAAATAATTGTGTAATGAGCACAGTCATTTGTTATGTGTCTGGTGGTAATTTATCTATAATATGTACTATAATAAAGGTTCTGCCTACTTTGGGACCAAACGGCCGTGTGTGAGATGAGTTATTATTTTTATTAACATATTGTCAATTTTATGTAATTCCTATTTTTTTGTGTATGTCTTCAGGACTCATTCACTGAACATGAAAAGCTACTGAAATGTCGGAGTCAAAATCAGGTTTTCGTGTGTGAAACGTGTGGCATCGAGCTCAAAACTTTGTCTAGATTAAAGAGGCATAGGTAGGTAATTTTGGTAATTCTAATTTATTTTTACTACTTTAAACTCAAAAATATTACATTTGTGAGCCCACCTACCGCTGCCGTATGCGTGAGAGAAAGGGAAGCCAGACAGACTGGCACCGTAACGCGTTACGTAACGAAGCGGTTTACTCTCCTATAAGAAGTTATCACTTCAATAAATTCGTCGTTCATAAATCTTGGTAGTTGCCAAACCGGTGATGCTTTTATCCTTTTTTAGAATGACATATTTGTAGGAGTATTCCCCATAAACAATAACATAAAGTGCTAATTACACATGGAACGCAGCTTGGTGCACTCGTGCGAGCTGCGCTTCCCGTGCGGGTCGTGCCCGTACCGCGCGCGCACGCTGGCGGCGGCGCGGCTGCACGCGCGCGCTCACGCCGGCGCGCGGCCGCTCGCCTGCGCGCTCTGCGCCGCCACCTTCCGCACGTCCTCCAACCTCGCCTCGCACCGCAGGACGCACCTGCCGCCCGCTTACGCTTGCCAACTTTGCGCCAACGCATTCAAGTTCAAAGAGGTAACTTTGTTTCCATAGCTCGACGTAATGGAACCCGAAGTAACGAGGGACTGCAGATTTGCACTGGAAATACGGCTTCTCCGATAGAAGACAGTTTAAATACATCCTCGAGACAGATAAAATTCTAGCATGTTTTATTTTTGTAGAGAAAAATAATTGTCTGAGCCTTCATTACTACACATAATTGTAGTCTACTCATCTTCAAGGTAAAAAAACGTTTTATACTCATCTTAAATATATATAATGCTTTCACTTTTTTCGCTTTGCATAGGCTCTACAAAATCATCTAGCAACGCGACACAGTACAGCAAAACCGCATGTCTGCAATATGTGTGGGAAAGCCTTTGCAACAAGGTTTGTATAGATATTTACTATAATCTGAATTTACACATATTTTATAAAAAAATGCTATTTATGAATGAAACTACCTTTTGATCACATGATTCACTCTTTTGTAAGTAAATGCTAGATCCATAACTTTCATTTTTATTAATACTACTGAAACTCATAGAGCACAATTATTGTTGGTACTTACTATCAGGTGGGCTGTGCTTGTTTGCTAACTTGGTAAGAATGAAATGGTTCAAATAAAACTCCTGAATATGTACATAGATTCCAGACCTACAAAATACTCTTAACTACCTACTCCTGCTTATAAAACCCAACTTATTAATCAAGCAACTACAATCGTCAGTCAGTTGTTATCTTAAATCTTATTACTTGTGGATTTTCTCCATAGTTTCACCTGCATTTATAGTCCCTACTCCTCAACTAAGGGTCATAGTGTGATGTAAATGTTACATAATCCTAAATAAAAACTAATTAAATCTGACAGACACTTTCAGAGATAAGTGTTTAACATACAAAATCCCTTTAGCTTATACGAGTATTACTGTAGATAACGCTATTGTATTATTTTTCAGAAAAATGTTATGCAGGCATGAAAGAAGAGTTCACAATCGGCCAAAAATGCGCCCTGGAATACTGCCTACATATTTGAGACAACAGGAAGAACCTACATAAAGTTCGCATAATCAAGATTTTACTGTTTTTTTTATCAATACATGTATTTGTTTAAGAAGATACACAGGATGTTAAGGGGTTGCTCTTTAAATCCCAGTGCTCCTTGCTGCAACCGACACAGATACTTATAGACTCACATACACAGTTCAAAACTTGATGAAGTTCCACTGGTTAAATGGAATATGGCTTGCACCTAATTTTATGATTGTATAATTTAAATCTATGAGAAAGTCAAGCAATGACTACAGAAACTAAATAATAATGTCATAGTACTCAGAATCCGATTCTGAGTAAGAAATGTTTCATCATCATCAACAGCCTTTAATAGTCCACTGCTAGACATAAGCCTCTCCTGAGAAAGGAGGTTTTGGCCTACTATACCACGCTGGCCAGACGGGTTGGTAAAGGGTTTGTGTCAAGTTTTCCTTCTCTCTGCAGTGCTGTTGTCTTGCTTAGTTTTTTCCCTTAGTCGGCTCTTACGACACCCACGGGATGAAGAAATGTTTAAGTGTGATAAAAACAAAATCTAGTATTTTATCATACAATTTTTTTCTAATATTGTAAATTATGTCAATAAAATGTAGCTATATGAACAACAATTTTGTTTTTTTTTTAATATGTTTAATGGCATAGGGGGATCAGATGGATCACCTGATGGTGTCTGCTGCCGCTTATGGCACCTGCAACTCTAGTCACAAGTGTGTTGAGTCCGTGTCAGTTTTCAGGTCTACTCTCCAGGATCAGGCAGAGGGGGGCTTTGAGCTCTGGTAACCTTTTTCACTCATTGAAAGACAACAAAAGAATTTGCAGAGTTTCTGTGAGGCTGTGGTACCACTCCTGTCGACTCTACTAAGCAATTACTTGAATAATAATGGCAGCTAACTTATCTAATTAGTCTTAATTTAAATAGTAAATAGGTACCACAAAAGATCTATATGAAACAAGATAGAAATCCTCTATTTTATTTCACATAAGGTTCTTATGGTCCATGATGCATGGGAATAACATGTTTAGAACCTGGAATTTTCTTAAGTTTCATCCTAAATAAATAATGACAGCATCCGATGAGCCTTGTAGGTTTAATAATAAACATTTAGAAAATTACTGTATTCCATTTCGTCGTCGATTTTTGAATAATTGTCAGAACTATAACAGGACACCCTGAACTGACAACTACTTATCATCAATGCGATGGACAGCCCTCTGTGCAGGGGATGTCTAGAAGCAGAAGGGATGTCTGGAAGCAGAAGGGATGTCTGGAAGCGGAAGAAACGGCCGCCCACGAAATCCTGGAATGCGAGTGGCCACATAACGGGCAAGTATCATTCCTAATACAAAATCGCTCCTAGAAGTCTGAACGCCCCAGGAGGCTTCTGCGCTTCTGGAAGCAGCTTGGTTGGCTCACCTAGCTAACCAGTCCTCTAGGCATAAAGGACCACTCTTGAATCTAAATGTGGATACCGAAGCCCCCAAATAGCATCAACCCCAAATAATTTTAGAAAAAGAATAGTCTGTCTTATCAACTTTAGATTCAATAAGGCAGGAGGTAGGTACTTTTCTTTCACTATTAACCAATAATAATAACATTACACACTGTAGTCTGATGCCAAACTAGGCAGAGAGCCTGTACTATGGTAACCAGACTGCTCATAAACGTAATTATGTATTTCTAAATACATACATCATCAACAGCCTTAATTAGTCCGCTGCTGGACATAAGCCTCACCTTGAGAACGAGATACATACATATTATAGATAAATTTTACCCAGACACGGAACATGATTATGCTCATCGCACAATTATTTAACCTGGGTGGCAATCAATCCCATGATCCCTGGCTTAGCAGACAGGATCACTAGCTACTAAACCAACAGGCCAGTTAATGCTTATAATGACCTAATTAATATTTCAAATAGCAACTTATTCATGAATTAAAGCACTATCTAGAGATGGGAAAACTACGATTGTATTCTAAAATAGTCTGGAATTATAAATATTTAACTACATTTAATATCCTTAACCAGTTTTTTGGATGTATTCTGTTGAAGATCCCCAGCCATTTTAAGTATATTATAAAAATTGTGTACCTAATATAGTTGCCTGACAATTCAAAAACCTAAACTGGTTTCATTGAAATAACTGACTTGATTTGACTGAGTTGACTATTTAAATGTATGTATTAAAAAGACACAGTCTGATGAACTGGTGACCTGTCTGCTTGTCTGCCCCCTCTAACATAAAAAAAAGTTTAAATATAGAAGTAATTAGTAAAATAAATGTTTGAAATAGGAATACAGATTCTATGGTGTCTATACCGGTGCTGTGAAGAAAAGTATGTAATTTAAATTAGTTTTATCATGTAATTTATGATAAACATATTACAAACTAATTAAACACCTACGACTATGTACAATCCAGTTCAATAGTACTGAGTACCAAGTTTAGAAACAGACAACCGTGTGTGAGCTTGTTTTAGTTTTTATGATATTTAAATAACATCTTTGTGAAATTACATAAACAGCATTGAAATGCTATTAACCATTTTTACCTATACAAAAAAAATTGCACTGAGTCTTACTTTTAGATGGGATCTAAAACTTAAGTTTCTAAGTTTTTCTAACCTTTTAACATAGTAGATTTTGTATCTCCACATAAATATTGTTTTGGCATTCAATTACCATGTCTACAAGTGTCAAACCATAATTATTTTTTCTTGAGCTTGTAGAAAAATTGTCTATTTGAGAAATACTTGAACTGATAGAATGAAAACTAAGCACTGAATTTACTAAGGTTTCATAGGTTATATTCACTAAATGTTGTGGTTTTTTAGAAAATATAAAACAAAATGTGTTTTTTGGAGTTTTATTTACTTACATTCCTAACCGTCACATCACTTCTTGGCGGCCGCGCCTACTTTAGATTTTTTGGTACCGCGTACCTTCTTCATCCTGTTCTTACGTTCCTTACGCTGCTTGCGAGTGGGCCTCTTCTTTTCATATAGGCCGTGGCGAGCTAATCTGTGCTTGGGCTCGAACTTCTTAGCCACATCCAACGTGTCGTAGATGAGAGCGAATCCGGTTGACTTGCCACCACCAAAGTTTGTCTTGAAGCCGAAAACGAACACAACGTCTGGTGTCACCTTGTACATCTTAGCCAGCTTCTCGCGGATTTCAGTTTTGCTGACGGTCGGTTTACCCGGGTGGAGGACATCACACACCATCTGCTTGCGCGCCAACAATCTAAAAAGTACCAAAAACGTTGTCAGACATAACCTGCCATGGTGAGGCGCAAGTTTTCTCACTGATTACAAATAGCACTACCGTAAAACTCACTGATTTACGTATTTACCTGTTGGTCATGAATTTGCGCGTACGAATTGTTGCCGTTCCTTCAGTCATTTTTAATTATTTAAGAGATTTCGCCGTAAACGACGCACGTGTCTCCAACACTTTCAGAGAAAAAGGACGTGCCAATGTTGCCAGTACTAAAAGAGATCTTTCTACCTATTGTGGTCTTTGTTTTCATCCATATTGAATTGAAACATCGGACACAGTCATTTCAGTTTTTTTAAACGTAATTTAGAAAATTGTGTATTAATTTCATAAAAAATAAGTTATAACTATAAACTATTTAGGTACGGCGTAATCTCAATTAACTATTTCACATTTTATTCACAGATTTTACTTTGTCAATTACTTCTGGTAACATTTTAAAACAGCACGTTCAAAAATAGAAAGTATAGAAACATTAAATATAATTTAAAGTATTTGTTTATGTTTCTGTTTATCTAAGTATATTTACAAATATGTTACAAATAAGTATTTTCGTGTATATTTACAATTTTTTTTTTAATTAGGTTTGATCAGAAAAACCTCTGGGCATTGTTGGCATATGTATGTATATAAAATGTAGATACAGATAAGTTCACCAAGTCAGGTCGGATATTATTTTAACCTTGACTTTAATCGGTGGTTATATATATTATATACATAAAGCGACATTGCCGCTTTGTTTTCGCAGAGGAAATAGCTGTCGTGATTATTTTTAGAAAATTTAGGACGTGGATAAAGTTAGACTACACAGCGCATTAAAGTATAATACTTAAAAAAGTAAAAGGAACTTAACACAATAAAATCTATATGTTTTTATTAAGAATAAACAATAGTGACCCGTCTTCTGCAACCGTGACATTAAAAGTCGGGTCAGACCGCAGTAAAGTTGTGGTGGGACCTCGCAACGCATTGTGCTGCGATCAACGCTAGTTTTTTAATTAATTAAAGGATGATGTAATGCTGTTATCCTAGCCTATGAATTTTCTTAGAAAAGAGATTTTGACCTACTATACCACGCTGGCCAAACGGGTTTGTGTAAAGTTTGCCTTCTATTTGCAGTGCTGTTGTCCTGCGTAGTTTGCTCCCTTGGTCGGCTCTTACGACACTTACGGAATGAATAGTGGTGGTGAGTGGTGACACTTCGTATTCTTAATCCGACATGGATGTTTTCAATGTTTTCAAGTGGTAAAAAAACTTTTAGGTGCATAAAACTGCCTTCATAAACTATTCTAAAAAAAAAGGATGACTGTTCCCTAAAGTTCCATGGCGGCTCTTATTTCGAGCAGACTTTTGAAGTCTTTAATTATAACTAATCGTGACAAAATTAATATACTTAATAAACTACTTTTTCGATTTTAACAAGAGTTATCTTATATGATATCATTTGACATTAAAAAATAATAAACGCTTATTTTACAAAAAACGCGGCAGCGCCTAGAACAACTATTTGAATATAAACGCATAACTGTCAATTTTCTGTCAACACTACGAAATTTACTGTGTAAATTTTATAGAAAATATTGTATATATAAAATGTACTCGCTGTACTTTTTAGGGTTTTGTACCTCAAAAGTAAAAAACTGAACCCTAAAAGGATCCCTTTGTTGTCCGTCTGTCTGTCTGTCAATACCCTTTATCTCGGGAACGCGTGGAGGTAGGTATCGAGTTGAAATTAAAACAATATACTCAGAACTACTAACAGTCCCCTGAAGTTGTGAAAAAATCCAACTTCTAAGTCAATGTAAAAAAATGCATATTTCGTCACTCTCAAGGAAATCAAAATTTATAGCGTACTTCCTGTTGACCTAGAACTATGAAATTTGGCAACGTCATTAAGTGTAATGTATTATATCAATGAGTAACTTCGTATTTTATTATAAGTACAAGGAAAAATATAAAAATTATAACATTTGTAAATATTTCACTTATAAAACACAATAATAAAAGTAATTATTGGTTTTGGAAAAACAATTTCAGGAAAAGCTTTGCAAAAACTGCGAGGCTCGATTCCCGAGCTATTTATAATATGTATGTACCTACAAATTAGTACGGAAACCTTGGAGGGAGAGTCCGACTCGCACTTGTCCAGTTTTTTATTTGTTTTATTTTATTGGCCCACCAATAATTGTATACTCTGGTTAACATTTAAAATACATTTTACAATGAGTATGAAGTAGCATATTGTTACAATTACTTATAGATAAGCACCTAAGTATTTTTGTATACTCATTGTCTTCCTTGTGTAAATACTTATAATGTATGGAAGTAAGTAAATACCAGTGAGATGGTTCATTAGTTCTATTCAACTGTTGAAATGTTTGGCTTCGAGTAACCTAAATTAGTACCTTCTTATGTAAGTATTAAGAATATTTTCTAAACTAGCATTAAACGATTTCTGAAGACTTTCAACCTACACCGTAGTCTACTAGATCCAATATACATAATGACTTAATTTGAGTAATGGTAAGTTCCACGAACTAGTAAAATAATACATAACACAAGAAAGGCTTATCTTTACTTTGAAGTTTCTGTTTGGAATTCATTGTATATTGGTAATATATGAGCTATTTTTTTTTACATGTGGAAACCCCCTCGGGCCGTTTGCGGCGGGGTGGTGTGTCGGAATCGGAACGACTAAAACCATACGGTGTGCCACTCTGCGCCTGTAATAAGAGCGATCCGGGAACTACTATTATTAAGACATCCGGACCCCGTCTTGCGCCTGTCCGCAATGGCGCAGGCACTATCTTCACATACATTCTCGCGTATATTATTCTACAAGTCAAGCCCTTTCATTTGATACCCATATTGAAGGAGTTGTAAAAAAAATAATGTAATTCGCCATTTTGTGGTTGCGGCCATCTTGGATTTAAAATTTGTCATAGTGTAGAGTATTCTACTAGTCAAGCCCTTTCATTTAACATCCATATTGAGGGAGTTGTGAAAAAAATGTAATCCGCCATTTTGTTTCGAGGGCCATCATAGACCGATTTTATCAAACATAGCTAAGAACATTCCAGACTAATTCACCGGTTCATCCATTCGGGAGCTACGATGCCACAGCAGACACACAAACACACGCACACGCATACAGACACGGCGAACTTATAACACCCCGTCGTTTCTGCGTCCGGGGTTAAAAAGAAATGAGGATTAAAACGGAAAGATAACATATAAAATAAATCTAGAAAGGAGGATAAATATCGTAACTTGACCTACTTCTGAATACGGTACTGTAAAGGCAAATTGTCCCGCATTAACGACCGTTCCTATGACGCACTTTGGTATTCTTGTACAACATACCGTCATCGCATAGACGTATTGACAGACAATTTATTATATCACCCTCAAGGGATCTGACATTTTTTACGAACAGTGTTTATGTAACTGGGGCAAACAATAATAAGAAAAAAAAAAAAGAGAAACGCCTATAAAAATCGTTACTTAGAAAGTTCATTAATTTTACATAAATGCGTATTGCTAAACTTGTTTTGTAGGCGCTGAGACTACTTAATTAAAAGTTAAACATAATATTATAGTAGCTCTAGAAGGGATTTCGTGATTTATTCGAGGGTATCAGATTAGTTAAAAAAATAAACCGATGGCCAGATATACTCGAACGTGTAGGATTATTGACCGGAGGTCGTGGGTTCGATTCCCACCTAGGACAAATATTGTGTGATGAGCACGTCATTTATTCTGTCTCTTGGTGTAATTTATCTAAAATATGTGTCTATTTAAAAATATATAAGTAAGTTGCTCAGCAGTCTGGTTACCATAGTACAGGCTCTGACTAGTTTGGGATCAGACAGCCGTGTGTGAGATATGTGAGATGTATGTTATTTTTATTAAGGTAAGTTGAGATTACATACACATTAGTATATATTAAAAAAAACAGACGATTTGAGCGTGACATAAAGCAGGGTCACAAAGTTCCAAAAAAATACCCATGATGACATTTTATTTTATTTTGAAGCAAACAATGCAAGAACTGTAAAGAACTAAATGTCTACATAAACACACTACCACAAACTACACCCCCCCTCCCGCACATTTTTTTAAAAAATCAAAATATTTCTAACCGTCACATTTAAAATACCCTGCAAAATTTTCGTCAGATTTTTGGCTAGTACGAGGGCCATCAAGCTGAACCAACACGCTCGGATATTTCGAAATGGTGATTTTTCGAATTTGCAGTTTGCATTTGTCACTTTAAAATCGTCAGACTTTTTAATAAGAGCATTTTTGGTGGCCAAATAACATACATGGTATCCCCAAAATACATGGCAGGTGAACATTCATATAACTGTATTCGTTTGCCGGTAAGGTGTATTTTACTTCCACATAAACTTACCTAGGTACTGTCTTACTTATGTGAAACGTACCCGCATTTATTGACAATGTGCCTAGCTTTATGTAGTTTTCGATTGAATGTTCACATATTATTTTATGTTATACGAGTACTTAGTTCCTAGGAAGTGACTGGCGTCTAAGACGGGCTCGGCCGGACATCATGGATTGTATATATATACCCAGCTATTAGTGAACAGTTCCCTTCTGTTGTTTTCTGTGCTGTTTTTTAGTATCACATACTGGTTACTGATGTGGTTGTATATGTTGTGGTGTGACTTTACGGTTATAGCAGTGTGATGTCAATATTTCGAGGTGTATCAGTGAGTTTTATTTATTAATTTTAGGACAACATAACGCATACACGAGTGTATTTAAATGTATTGTATTTTTATTTCATTTTTTATTTTAGAATTCTTGTTGTTTAAATAGGTCTGTGTGGTGACGGATTAAGAATACAGAGTGTCACCACCCCTATTCATCCCGTGGGTGTCGTAAGAGCCGACTAAGGGAGAAAACTACGCAGAACAACAGCACTGCAGAGAGAAGGAAAACTTGATACAAACCCTTTATTAACCCGTCTGGCCAGCGTGGTATAGTAGGCCATAACCTCCTTTCTAAGGATAGGCTTATGTCCAGCAGTGGACTATTAAAGGCTGTTGATGTGATGATGATGATGAAATAGTCTTCTAGGATAAATGAATGTAGATTTCATAGTTATTGGATATGATCATTAACGGTACAGTATTAATATTACATTTCTACAAAAGCTGCGAAAATTGAGGTCCTGCCAACTTTATACTATGTGTACCTAGCTTTAGTTTTAAGATTTAATACACATGTCTGTTTATGACTTGCTTAATTCCTGGGAAGACACTAACGTCTAAGATACAGGCTCGGCCTAGTTTAGAAGTTAGGGATCATCGATTATTACAAACACCCAGGTCATGAGTATATCATAAATATTTTTTTATGTTAAAAATCAAATGTTTTATTGTGGTATTGGTATCAATGAATTATTATTATTATTAAAAACAATCTGATGCGCTCGGATATTTCTTTATTCGATTTCCTCCCCTCACACCTGAAAACCTGTTGAAGCTTTTCCCACCGCTGAAAGTGGATACATTTTATAACTCTTATTCATTCTATTACCTAATCTTTCAAATGCAATAGGTCCCCATGACGCTTGAGTAAATCCTCATTTAGTATCAAGGGCTCCCCTAACCCCATCCCCCCCCCCTGTACCCCGTGACACTCGAAGTTCTGTAGAAAGACTGTTATAGGGCTCCAACTACCAGTAACGATTGCCACAGACAGATCTTCATACGGCAAAGGGGACCGACGGCTCTCCGAGCTACGAAGGGGTTTCATTGTGTTAAGAAATGGTCACCCATCTATAAGCTGACCTGGATTGCTTAACTTTGCTATGTGTTAACCCCACTTAGCCACGAGCCCTACTGCTGTACTTAGATGTCATTGTATAATGTACAATGTATTTAATACTTACGTGTATTTAAAACCAGTTTATTTAGTTTCCAATTTGATTGTATCTTTGAAGTATTCGCGATGTCTGGTGCAGTTGCAAAATAAACTTCAATGTTTATTTGTACTAATTGAAGATATTGCTTTGGCACTTATTTGAAAAAAAAAATGGTTATTCATATCAAAAAACCCTATAGAGTATGAAGCTACAAGTCCGTCGATGGGTCGGACTTAGTCAGTTGGATGCCACATGCAAGCCGGTTGGGATGTGTGGTGGTACGGTATTTCTATAGGTAGTCACGTGGCTCGTCACGTCGTTCGGTAGGTATCATTCAAATAATAGTGAAGGTGATATAGGATGCTGAACATCAGAAGGTCTTAAATATATCCCTTTGTCATCGGAGAAGATAACGATTTCACGATAGAAAAGGTAGCAACTATTAAAAGAATTTAATTGTACATGATTATTTACCTATATAAACTCATATGGGGCCTGTCCGAATACCTAGTCGAATCTTCTTTGAAATATTTTTAGTAAATTATTTAATATTTTTTAATTATTGTTATATCATTATAATGTGGTTTCAGTATTTTTATTGAATTTTATATTTAATTAAAAATCAAATCACAATCCATGTTGTTATTCTTTTTTAATTTTACACGAATGTACCAAGTATTTGAGGAATTCGACGTTCATTAAAACTTTTTTAATGGGAGAATGTGTACTACTATGTGCACTACTTTATTATAAAAATCGTGAGACTTAATTTGAACTTTTAAAATATATCCAATAAGATAAATTGTAGTTCTTGTAAGAGATTTGTAACAATATATATAGAATATGAAAATATACACTGTTACATAGTTTTATAGTTTAATTTTATACTATTAAAATAATAAAAAGAGGCCATGCATTTTATTTTACCTTCTGTGTGTACTGGTAACATAAAGTAACGAAAAAATAATTAACTGTTTCATGTCCAACACCGTTCTAATTATACTTAACCGATTCCGTAACATTTATTGCTCATAAATAATAACATATAATGAAATAACGCAAACTTTATACATACAATGATGGGGGGTCCGTAGCTGTAGAGGGAAACGGTCTTGACAAGGAGCCGTCCTAAGTCCTTGTCACCTTGAAATTCAGCCAACTTGAATGAGTCTTAACTAGTATGATAATGATTACTAAAACGACTTACTGAGAGAACAATGCGCCTATAAACGGGATAATCCAATATACATACAATGATTTTAATAGTTAAATTATTTATTCATTTTAGCATAAATCTGCTATCTTCACTACGATTATACGTTCATTTTTACTAGAACCCCGACCTATGTAACATATTCGTTTCCCACTGCAATTTTATTCACTGAAAGAGGGGGTGAGGAAGGTCAGGTATGAATGGCTGCTTGGGGAGGCGCCACCCGGCCACCCTGTATCGACCGGAATCTCATGGCAGCCCTATATACCGTTTGGATATCGTTATGACTGCTTGTGTCTTTAACTAAGCGCTCGAAGGTTATACTTAGGTAAGCGGAAAAGACATGTATTAGTTACATAATTTACGAGTATTGACATATTTTTAAATTAGTTGTGTTATGATTGTGATTTGGCTATCTGTTAAAAGTGGTCAGCTTTGAAAAGGTGTTCAGTGTTGATGAATGAAATTAAAAATAAATGTTATGGTAACAGATTTGTTCTTGAATGAAGCGATGGAACACCTCCAATCTGTAGAAGATTGCTGATCGTCGGCACTGGTATCGTACTGTTATATTTTTATTAAGACTGTGATAGGTTATAGGACTTATATGTTAATAAGTTTGTAAAACGTTATTAAATTAAATACAATATTTAGTATGCATTAATGTGCGTATGTGTGTGCTTAAATCTTGAATAACAAAATAGACGTAAAGTGGAGGTTTTAATACAAAAACCTTATTTTAAAAATTACAATACATACATTACATTAAAATTAAAACAAGAGAGAAGAATACTCCTCCGTCCATTTCTTTCAGTGATACAGGTGTGATTGTGTGTAATTGTGTAAACTATATTCTTGTTAAAATAATGACAAAGTAAAATTAACTTGACTCTAACCTAGGCAGAACCTGTACTATGATAACCAGACTGCTTATAAACATACTGATATTATCCTAAATATACACATTTTATACTTTGAAACAAAACTTGAAACAAACCCTATACCAACCCGTCTGGCCAGCGTGGTATAGTAGGCCAAAACCTCCTTTCTAAGGAGAGGCCTATGTCCAGCAGTGGACTTGTATAGGCTGTTGATTGATGATGATACTTTGATAAATTACAGCCAGATACAGAGCCAATGATAGTGTTCATCACATAATTATTTAATTGTTTTAATTAAACTATCGAAAAAAACGAAATATACCAACAGACCAAAATAAATAAAGAAATGGACACTTCCTAGTCAAGGTCAGCCCCCATTAATTTCGATTCATTAAGAATACGGAGTGTCACCACCCCTATTGTCGTAAGGAAGAAGTGTGGGAAGGAATACTTGATACAAACCCTATACCACCAACCTGTCTGGCCAGCGTGGCCTCCTTTCTAATGGGAAGCCTGTGTCCAGCATTGAAATATTAAGGGCTGTTGATGTGTGTGAAGTCAAACTAAATTGACAAGTAGTGTTTGTAAAGATTTACACGTATTTATAAGACATACACACGTTCACATATAGGTCACGGACGAAACGATATTGATTGCAGTCATTGGTTATGGATGGATACTTAATAAAAAAAATTTTATTTCATTATGGCTACTCTTAAATTTTGATAATCACAAGATCAAAACAAATAATGTATAATTTTGTAGATTAACATTTAAAACATTATTGAGGTCTCGGGTTCCTGGTTCCGACCAAATGTTTGCAATGATTTGCAAATATTTGTTACTGAGTTTGGGTGTTTTCTATATATAATACTTATGTATGCATTTACAATAATAAAAAGGTATGTTAGTATTATATTATATTCTATTAGTCAATTTTACTTTCATAGTACAAACTCTGCTTAGTTTGAAACTAGATGGCGTAGTATGCCAGATTTAAGAAATATAAATTTTTATTTTAATAATTTTATAATTGTCTCAACACCCTTTTACCCACAGAATAGTTAAAGGAGGTTTTACCTCTTTTAAATGTTCTGTGCTTTTACAGATGCAGTTAAATATACACAATCTACTAGTCTTTTGAGAGACATTCAAGTATTATATTGTGGCGCTGTTACGCGCCACTTACAGCCAAAACGCGTGCATGGGTGAGGATACTGTTTCCCGGGAACCTGCTTCCACGATCTTAATGATACCTAGTCAGAATAAACCAAACACCTTAAAACTAAATAGCGTGGCTCGCCAAGCCAGTCGATACTCAGCCCGAGACCCAAGATTAAGAATTTAAACAAAAATAGTTGTAACAAAGACCTGCCAGTATTTCCAAGGTATTATTTCTAGAAAAGTTAAGATGGAACAAAATTGGGAACCAGTTTCTTTAAGACATACTAGAACTCCAAAAAATAAGGAGCTTGCTTTAGATGGAGCTGTGAGAGAATCGTTGCTGTCAGAATCAACCTCGGGTATCTGTAAAGGTGAGGAGGATGATACTACCAGCGAAGGTACAGCTTCCTTTTCCAGTGCCGACATAGAAATTAGTCAAAGAGATCGCCTTATGACAGTGTGTACCAATAAGCTGGAAATAAAACCTAAGCCCGAAATAAATGATACAGCAAAGAAAAATGTTCAAGTGACAATCACAGAGAATCCAGCTGATATCGAAAAGTGTGATGATGAAAACGAGAAAGGTGGAATAGGAATACCTGATGGTGGATGGGGATGGGTTGTAGTCATATCTTCTTTCATAATATCCATGATTGCTGATGGGATTAGTTTCTCGTTTGGTTTACTGTATATCGAATTTTTAGAAGAGTTTCAAGCCAGTAAGTCTACGACAGCTTGGATCGGCAGTCTTTTCATTGCTGTACCTCTGTTGTCTGGACCAGTTATGAGTGCTTTGGTTGACAGATACGGATGTCGCAGTATGACTATTCTCGGCGGTATTATTTCGACTTTGGGATTTGTTTTGGCATCGATTTCTACTACCATAGAAATGATGATGATAACTTTTGGCGTTATCGCTGGCGTCGGCCTTGGCTTAGTATACGTTACAGCAGTTGTAGCTATAGCATATTGGTTTGAAAAGAAACGAAATTTGGCACTTGGTTTAGGGGCGTGCGGTACAGGGGTCGGCACCTTCATTTACGCGCCCTTGACCCAGTATTTGATTGAAGAATATGGCTGGAGAGGAACAATTCTCTTGTTGTCTGGAACACTCTTAAACCTGTGCGTTTGTGGATGTGTTATGCGAGATCCAGAATGGTGGACCTTGGAGCAAGAAAGACAAAAGAACGACAGTGATGAGGGTAAACTAAAAAGGACGACGGCTAAAGATGATGACAAGTCTGCTAGTTCAGCTTCAATTTCTAATCCTTGCGTAGTTGATTTTGATGCTCTAACTCGAGGAAAAAGTATGGGAGGTTTGATAAGAAGTGGCGTTTCTCCGGAGAAGGTAATAAAGCAAGAATCGGATAATATTATACGTCATCAAGGCATAACAAAATTAAAAAAGTGTCAAAGAATGAAGCCAATATCACAGTCCGTTGAGAACCTACCGACGTACCTGACTTACAGTGAAAAGGTAGAATATACTTTAATTTATATTTTGACTTTGCCAAAGTTTTTAATATTACCCTGGCACACTATGTATGCATTAATGACAAATAGGCAACAATATTGATAAATACATAAACACATTGATAAATACAATATTTGAAGCGATTTGTATATCATGTCAAAAATTTGAGATGAAAATGAAAATTTTCTAAACTGTTTGAGTTTTTTGATGCGTACACAAACCAACTTACTATTTTTATATATTTACATATAATGCTACCCACATCACCTTGACTGTCCTATGACCTTAGATAAATTCTAATTTATTATGCTGGTGTGGTTATAGTTTGTTTTCGTGGATAATAAATTACTGCTTAACATTATGGCTGATTAGGAATCAATTATGTAAATTATTATATTGATTTTTGTTATAAGCTTACTAAGGGGCGCCTTGATTTATGTTCAAACTGACTAATATTTTAACGTTTCAGGTATCTATGTCGACTTTAGATAATCTTGTGAAAGAAACAAGCAAACAGTTTGCAATATCAATTAAGTATCCTTCATTTGCCATAAACCATACCAAAACATGTGTACCAAAAGAACCAAGTGTTGAAAGCAACGATCCACCTGTAGTCAAATATTTAAAGAATGCTGTTCAAAGAACCAATTCCGAAAGATATGAGAATAAAGAAAAGACTACAGACAAGTATGAGCTAAAGACTCCCCAAAATATAATAAACGATTATAAATCAGACGACAAAGACGATAAAGGAGCGATAAAAAATGATACTAAGGTGAACAAAAGAGATTGGTTGAAGAAGCAGTTATCGGTGAATCATCACTATTTGAAAGACCTAAAGATGCCTTTAAACTCTATAAGTCATAGAAATGCTATGTTAAACATAAAAAGATATAGATTGAAAGCTTCGTCCTGCCCAGATATTTTTAAGAATTCAATGATCACTATTGATGACAAGGAAGAGGTAAGTAATATTGAACAGAATCACAATCGACAAAAAATTCCTCTGCATCTCTTCCTGAATGGTATCTATACTAGAAAAAGGTCCGCATTTTAGTCTAGATAAATGTCGATCAGTCGCTGAGCTCATACAAACTTGAACTTAAAATAATAATGATAATGATTATCAACAATTTTGAAATTTTCCAGAATTGGTACGACGACTGCGTAAGCTGCCTCTCTGATATGTTCAACGTCTCCTTATTTACAAAAATGACTTTCAACTTCCTCTGTATGGGCACCATTATTCTCTTCGTCTGGTTCATTGTGCCGTACTTCTATCTCGCTGAATACATGGTGGAGAAGGGTTACAGTGAGGATGATGGGGCTGTTATCCTCAGCTTGATTGGAATTACCAACACTATTGGGATGGTAAGTTGAATTGTCTTTATTTCTTTATTGTAGTTAGAAGGTCTTTTTGTCAGTAAATTTAAGTATTCATCGAAAACAGTAATTTGTTTTTGAATAAAACCCTTTTTCTTTACTCCTAACAATATCTTATCATCTTTCGGTCCTTTTCCCAATTTAATTTTAGCCTTCACAATGTTTAGCAATATAAATTGTTTAAACTGGTTTCTTTTTTTGTTGTAAGATAAGGGTCAAAGGACACAAAATTAAGATTTATATTTCAATTATGAATACTACTACTGCTGTCTAGACTTGAAAATCTATTTCTCTTCACAAACTGCCAAAATTTAAAGGGAAAAGCATCAAACCGTAAAGAAACGTGTACTCTTTGAAAAAAACTACCAGTTGTAGACATAAATCCTCTCACATTAATACTACTTTTTTTAATTAAACATCACAGAGCGGCCAGTGCCCGGTGGTGTGTGACGATGGCTGTCCTACTACGTCGATAGACAGACAAGGTTATCTAATTAATAATGACGTAGACTCGTTAACGTCATAATGAGCCAGTTACATATACCGCTGTTTAAATAATCAAGGCGACTATCACAAAATTATAAATTAAAATTTATTTAATATTTTTTACCCGACTGCACCAAAAAGCAAAAAAGCAGCAAAAATATCTTTGTTTCAAATTTGTTTTTTAAATTGTTTAAACTCTATCGTCATAGATCAACACACACAGTAGCAACAATCTATGATCTCTCTATGTATCTCTATATATCTCCAATAATAATATTATTTCAATACAAGTAGATATCTACAACTGTAGCCTGCCGAACTTCAAAGAAGTCGCCCAGAGATGTATTACAGCAAATGATTTTTATGTATAAATAACTGTTACTTACTGTTTTTACTTACAGTATCGTTTTGGGATAAATCCTGTAAAGACACTGTAATTGTTCTTTAATAAATAAATAATAAATAAATCTCTCTCTATTTCTATATGCGTATAAATATTTTGATTCTTCGGCCCGCTCTGTTATCTAAAGGGCTTGATGGAGTTTGACTTGAGGAATGTCGTCAGAATTTATCTTCTAATTATAAAAATTAAAATCATTTGTTCATGAATTTTAAGTCCCTGTACCAGGTATTAGAAGCATTTAATTCTTCAGAACAGCCATTATAGGGTACTCAGTCTTGTCCATTCATCACACATCATCACATCAGACATCAACATTTCTCAGTGTGTGTTTCAGTAGCGTGCTCTTCTACTATCTATCTCACAAAACTCTGCTATGGACACTATGTAATCTAAAATCACATAATTCAGTCCGACAGCACTACCTAACTTGACTGTCATAAATGTTATGCAAACTTTTCATGATACATGTATCGTTTTGTTTTGGATCTTCTCCAAGTATCCTAAAACCTTGATTTTTAACGCAACGTGGCGACTAAGACAAATATTTAAAATCTGAAACCGTTTGAGATGAGTACGTTTCCAATTTGTATCTTCGAAAAACGTTTATGCTTCTAAATAAACTTCGTGTTTACCGATCTTGCCAAATCTTTGTTATGAATCCCGTAAAATATTTAATTAATTATCATTTTCATCAAAACAGTCTGTAGTAAGTTTTTCTTTCCAACTATGTCTTGGATTATGGCCAATACTGGAAAGGAACACGTGAATTCTCTTATAAATTTAGTATGAAATTAATGGCCATCTAACTTCTTCGAAACTAGTTATGTATTGCTAATGATGCACAGAGCAGGTAATAGATTATAATGTGTATTTAGATAAGTGTTGTCATGGGTACTTTTTGCTTATTGTGATAAAATATATCACTCACCTGAAATATGAAGTATAATTGACACGCCAAATAATTTAATTATAATAATTATTAGACAAATAATTATTAATTTTTAAGACTCTTTTTGTTATCTTCTACGGTATTTCCGGACCGTAACGATCTTCAAACCTTCAAGAAAAGAGCGTACTCCTTCCTTAAAGGCTGGCAACGCGCTTGTGAATCCTGAGTTGCAGGCGTTCATGGGCGGCGGTAGTCGCTTTCCATCAGGTGACCCGTCTGCTCGTTTCCCCCTTTTCTATAAAATAAATATGTTACAGTCTGAGAAGCTATGTTTTAGTACAGAACATAATATATATTTTTCTATAAGCTGTTTTAGTGCACACATGCTAAAAATAATTTATATTGTATATTAATGCTTGCTTCAACTTTTGTTTTTATTGGTTTTCATATTATTTGCGTAAATAATAATAATATGTAATAAATGTTTGTTGTCATAGAAAATTTGTGATTTTCCTGATACCGCGCGAGTTTAGCCCAACTCATTGTTGTACTCAGTATAGGCTAGACTTGCTATTAATTATACCGAGAAACACACACCAAGTTATAACTAACTAAACAGTCAATCCAGTCAAAGAACATTTTCATTAATTATTTACGTTTCAACTGAGTCACAAGGTTGCAATCTACGTAAGTCTAACTAAGATTTAAAACTGATGACTTTGGATTACAGCGGAATACCGAAATAGACAATATCCAGTTTCCAAATGTCCGGTGACGAGATGAGTGTGCCAAATTCTGTTTCGTATTTACGCGAAATGGCCAACGTTATTTCTGTGGGTTAATTTATTTTGACTATGAGTGCCAGGGTTTTAGCAGATAAATAGTTCAAACTGATTTATGAAAACAATTCTTTTTTTGTCTGCATATTGGAAACATCTGTTGAGATAACAGTGTAAGATCTTTGGCTCTGAATACGGAATTTTTGTGATAAACCTTAAAATATATGTGAGAAAATAACGGTACATCTTCTTTCAGACTACATTAAATTGTTCTATTTTCTGTCTTTTACTCACCACCTCTTCATCAGATAATCGTTACCAATCTGTTGCACTCAACGATAAGAATTATATCAACCCAAAATCGATTGGTGTGTTAGTACCGACTAATAAATTCCACTAGCGACCTCCTGACCCACTCATTAAATCAGTTTCAATATTGTAAATTAATACTATTAACATCCGAACCAAGCATACAAAGCATAATGTAGATCGTTTTTTTTATAAAGACAACGCCCGCATTAGGAATATATCCTGTGTCGCGGGGGACTTTACAAATATACATGAAACGGACACAAAGAACACACAGACTCGGAACAACAATTTGTGGATCACACAAAGTGTCGCCCCATGTGGGGTTTAATTTTACAATACTCGGCGTAGTAGGAAGTGGCGTGGCGACCGCTTAAATCACTACGCCATCCGTGCAGTCATTCCTTGACCTTTAATATTTATTGGATTTATAAAAAAGTTACAAGTTGAGCTAATAAAAACGTATGTTGCTATAGGTGTTCGGCTGGTGAGTTGGTTCCTAATGCGTTATATAACGCTCTTAATATACCTAAGTAGTAGGTACGCAGCAAAGTGGGAAATTGGAAGATTTAAAAAACTCATCTCCTATACTTAACATTAAATTAGAAAGCAATTTCAGAGTATGGACGAGCCATTTAGAATTTGGTCATTTAGCTTCTCCCCCTCGAATCGAATCGTCGGACAGCCAAAAGATCTCCGATCGGCTCGATCCCTTGTTACGTAGAGATGTAGCCTCACTCTGCATTCTCTATCGTATATATCTGAGGAATTGTTCGGAATAATACCGGCCGCAACTTTCCACCATCGTTCCACGCGGCAAAATTTTCATCCATCATCACTTGGATAATTGACACTGACACACTGTGCGCTTTTTAAGACACTTTTTGCCTCGCAGAACCAATCTGTGGAACAAGTTATCGTGTGCGGGATTTCCGCACCGATACCACCTTCAAACCTTCAAGAAAATAGCCTTCTCTTACTTAAACGGTTGGTAACGCACTTATGACTTCTGAGTTGCAGGCGTTCATTGGCGGCGGTAGTTAGTTCCATCAGGTGATATGTCTGCTCGTTTTCTTCCCTCTTCCAAAAAAAATCTATCAAATTACAATGGAGATTTTCTTTGACCTAATTTTTTTCTCATTCTACAGTTAGTGCCTGGTTCATGCTAAGGTATTCAAGTTGGTTAAGAATTACAATTAATATTTTTATTTATTTCTGCTTTAGGTCGGACTCGGTTGGATCGGAGACTTACCGAACGTTTCGATCGGTGGACTCTACGCTATCTGTTTGGTTATGTCAGGAGCTTCCGTAGCAGCCATACCACCAGCTGCTGCGACCAATTATTGGCTTTTAGCCTCTGCTGCTGCTGCATTTGGGTTGTTTTTCGCAGCATCATACACTTTTACACCAAGTCTACTAGTCAAATTGGTGTCGTTAGATGATTTTACATCGGCATACGGATTGGTGCTGCTCGCTCAAGGGATCGGACACTTGATCGGACCTCCATTATCTGGTAAGACACCTTTAAAAATAATAAAATAACAACAATATCATTTTATTAAAGTAACTTACATCATTATCATCACATCAACAGAATTTAATAGTCCACTGCTGGACATATTAAAGGCTGTTGATGAAGGCTCCTTAGAAAGGAGGTTTTGGCCTACTATACCACGCTGGCCAGACGTGAAATATGACTCATTAATTGTTAGTAATACCTACTTTAAACTTATACTCAGTTAGTAGAGACAAATCCAATATATTATTTATGCACTCCATAAGACATGGCGTTGCAGTGCCCAATGGACCTACAATCTAACCTCTATGCAATCATGGCTAGTTCGATTGGCAGTCAATTAGTATGACCTTAACACGTCCCTGGTTCGATTAAAAATAATAATGAATGTCATTTAAGAGGATTGTAACAGCATACATAATGTGTACTCTATATTTTATCACCTATCATTCTCACCGCAGTTATTGTCTATGATTATAACGATGTATTATTTTGGTGACATTTACAATGTACTAGTTCTTACTGTTTTGTTCCAGGGTTTATCTATGATGTGACGTATTCGTGGGAGCTTTCGTTTTATCTGGCTGGCGGTTGGATCATCATCTCCGGGGCACTGATATCACTCATACAGCCTATCAGAGCTTATCAGAAGAGGCGTGAAGCTGAAAATACCAATATACCTTAAATTTGAGAAACATTGAAAAAAACACAGGTAGATTATGGGTACTCGTAGTTTAAATCTGAATTAAAACCTTATGTAGTCTAGAAAACGTACGCAATATTTTTAAATTAAATACATATTAGTGTGAACTATTTGTTGACGCGGGAAGTTGTGGAATGCGGGCAGCACAGGAGCGGTTGTTATAGCGATCCTTGGGGAAAGCCCATGTCCAGCAGTAGACGTTTTTCGACTGAGATGATTGTTGAAATAAAATATTCCCTATACTTTTTGAGATCGCATTTTGTGACGCAATATGTGTAAAGGCCTTACAGACTGCACTAGTGCATTGTTTGATAGTCCCAGTTACAACCTAGTTGTAACTGGTACTAGCAAATAATTATCTTTATTCATTATAAATATGAATAACTTTGCTAGTACATAAATATTTACCGCCATATGTTTAAAGCAATTGGAAGTGTCCTCAAAAGTTAACTAGATATCTTTTTCAATCGCTTAATTAAAACCAATACTTGTAATGATTGATTTTTTCCGGATCGATATGACCTTCATGCCTTCAAGAAAAGAGCGTACTCCTGCCTAAAAGGCCGGCAACGCGTTTGTGACTCCTGAGTTGCAGACGTTTATGGGCGGCGATCGTCACTTTCCATCAGGTGACCCATCTGCTCGTCTAACATAAAAAAAACCCCAATCATTTAAGAGGTAAATCAAATAAAGGTAAATATTAAATTGAGTATTCTGCCGTCTGTGGCATAATAGTATATTTTATAGAACTACGGTTTTTATCAAGTCATGCCAAATTGATGTTGTCAAAATACACTTTTATAGTTGACATTTGCAATGTTGAAATGCAAACCAAATGTTTATTATTGTATTACAATGGGTATTAAAAACACTGCTATTTTCATAATCTCTGGTACCAAACTTTTTTGGGAAACTTTGTAATAAACGTATTTACGTTTAATGAAACATAAACTTACATAGTTACATGAATCATCAATTAATGCTTTTTGTGTTTAGATAACAAACAATACCTACCGCATCTGTTATGTTGATCTTAAACGCGAATAGAACTCTTAAAAGGATAGTTTTAGCGTTTTAAGATTAATAAATCACTCCGTTAAAGTCTGGAATACGTCATGGCTAGTTATATAATCCATACAAATGTTATAAATGCGAAAGTATATATGCCTGTCTGTCTTTCTGTCTGTCTGCTACATCTTCACGCTTAAACCGCTTAACCGATTTGGATGAAATTTGGTATAGAGATAATCCGAGTCCAGGGAAAGGACTTAGGTTAGTTTTTATCCCAGAAATCATCCTTTAAGGTATTGAAAGCATTTTTGCCGTGATAAACGACATGTACACGGGCGGAGAAGCGGGCGAAAGCTAGTAAACAATAAAATAATGTTGCTATCTACGTAAGTACGCAGATGCAACACTGTTTATAAACACCACATAAATGGACATACAGATAATGGGAGACTTTCATTATAATTAATTAAGTGACCATAACATTTATACTCGATACTACATACATTTTCCGACTCCAAAAAGTGCCATGTGAAATTTTTTACATGGTACTTGGAGTGGAGCGACAGGATAGCCTTGCTTCGTCACAACTGGGTCAGTTCGCCCGGTGTAACACCACAGCCTTATAGAAAACCGGCGTAGAACAAGTGAGTGAAGTTAACCGAAACTCTCCCCCCTTATTTCTGGGGGTGGGGGGGGGGGGTGCCGCTATACTCTAAGTTGCAGGTGTCCATGAACGGCAGTGGTTGCTTACTATCAGGTGATCCGTCTGCTCGTTTATCCGCTAAACAATAAAAAAACGTGTAGTAGTGTCATGTGTTTTAACTCTAGAATATTCTTCATAATGTCACCGCCTTACTTTTGAGGGTTGTCTGAAATATTCCACGTGAGATGGCAGCACTGTAGCGTCAGGTCCAACCACCTGTCAAAACACATACACGATTTGTATTTTTCGATCATTTTTTTTGGTTTATTCATTCTTAAAAACGTTACAAAAGGAATATTGTTTTCTAAAATGCCACAGTGTTGTGCAGTGCCTATGTGTGCAAATAAAACTTTTGCGCCTCTCTTTTTGAGCTCAATCTTCAGTTCGGCAACCTTTCTCTGGCCGTAATCTATAATAAACTCAATAACACTTCCAAATTCATAGAATTACACTAAAAAAATATACGTTCGGTAAGAATCCGAGCTATCTGACAGCTGTTTGGATCTGACGCATACGAAGCGCCGTCTGGTGGCAGAAAAAGTATCAAAGACCCTCATTTGTAGACATATAATTTTAACAATTTGTTTGTCAATTGAGTCAAGAATGTCAATTGCGTCATTTATTTTAATGGAACTTCAATTTAAGACACTTTAGATAATCCGCTTTTATTCTATGAGTAGTATATTTAAACTATTGTATTGTAAGTGACCTAAATAACCATTTTGTCAATAATAATATAACTTTGTATAACTTCCACTTTACACGCTGTATAACCACTTAATATAAATATACAAACATATAACCAAAATTTTTATCTCATGTTATTATACGTATTAAATTATTGGAATTTGTAATAAACTTTATATTGATAACCATTATTGAGTATAGAAATATTATCTGTAATAATACAAAGTTGCACAAAAATTTGTGTAAATACATGTAAAAAAAACTTATAAAAATGTATAACATGCTAAATTCACAAAACATATACATCTTAATACCTTTATTTATATATAATACGACGTTTTGGTATTTAAAAATTCAAAAGATAATTTGAATTGCAAAATGTTGAACACAATGGCTGGCAGCGGATGGTTGCGGACTGCCTAAGACCGGTTGGCGCTCTTTGGGGGATGCCTTCGTTCAACAGTGGACGGCAATAGACTGAACTAGTAGAATTCAATTTGAGAGATTTATTTTGGATAATACCTTTTGTTATTGTGTAATAATATGTATGTCGTTAAGTTTTATTAGTATTATTAATTATATAATTTAAAAGATGCTAATAGGCATGTCGTAAAGATAGAAAGTGTTGGGGTGTGGCTGTGAGGTTGTCAGTGTAATTTATTTGTTTTTCATGTTATTTGTAACCAAATTATATGTAACTATAGGTCCAATCTCATGGCAAATAGGGTTATCAATAGGCGAAGAGTGTTTTCCAGGGCAATCAAATTACCTTAATACGTATTTCTTCTTAATACGTATTTAGTATTTAATTAGCAAATGTTGTGTAGGACGTCCACAGGCCGGGTGGAGTGACGACCTGCGCAAGATGACTGGCAGGAGCTGGATTCGAGAAGTCGAAAATCGATATAAGTGGCGTGCAATGGGCCTTTGTCCAGCAGTGGACTGCGATAGGCTGATGATGATGATATAATTAATTTACTTTCTGGATATACATTTCCATATTTTTTAATAACTTTACCCGCAGTTACACATGCAATTTAATTATTCCACGCTAACTCGGAATTTCTTTTACTTCTGTTAAAAAAACACTCAAAGAGACTCAAAACTCCGTTACTTTGAAGTGAGCGATTTTAGTCTTTAAAATGAGGATTGCAGTTAAATTACGTTTTCTTATTCATGTATTTTACGATATACGGTCTTATTTTATAAGAAGGTATGTATCTCGTTTTAGACCGAACCGATTAAGGGTATTTGTCTTTTTTATTCCAACAACAATATTAAAAAAGAAATTTAAAATTTCATCAGCCGTTGACAAATCTCCTTATTTTACAGGAGAGGAGGCAGTTGATGATACCACATAAAAATAATTTAATTTGTCATTTTCGTGCCATGAGATTGTAGTATGCCTATAGGAATAAACTTCTTATGGAAAACTAGGTTAATATACGTTATTAGTTATTTAGTTTTGTGTTAAATGTTGATGACAACGAACGAATGCCTAAATGTGTAATTCGGATCTTAGTCCCGATATAATAATTATTAGGTACGATATTTTTTGGATCCCCGACGTTTCGATTAAATTACATCAATCGTAGTCAAGGTTTACCTGTGAGTTCCCACCGAGGGAGTGAGTGACCAATTCAGGGGGGAGGACTCAAAGGACGGCAACTCACTAAAGTTGCATGTGTTCATGAGCGGAGGTATTCGCTTACCATCAGGTCACCCATCTGCTCGTTTGCTATCCTAAACCATTAAAAAATGTAACGGTTAGTGTAATTTAATAAATAGACTCAATAAATTTTAATTTGATTTTTTATGTATGGGACATCGACGGTCGGTCTTCGGGGCATCTTTTTAATTAGTACCTAAATATTTTCGATATGTATGTATCTATATGCTACATTTAAATAAACTATTATTTTAAGCATGTTATACGAAAATATTAATAATGTAAAAAAGGGTCCTACAGCTCCAAGCTTAAGGCGACAGACAAAAAGTACGAGTAAAAAGGTAAAATAAACTTTGCACAGTTTAGAAAAAGATTTAGTTTTCAACGAATTGTTCTAAAACTTACATGTGTGTGCACAAAATTTCAACAGCATTGATATAAAATATTAATGTATACACTATAATATTACTATTTTTAAGAACAATTTGTTATTCTTGAATTCGTAATTAAGAGTTAATAAAATTGTATTCATTTAGTCAAGACTTTTTTTTACAATTTTGGAATTATTTAAGCATCTTTTTGATTTCGATAACGGAGGAACACATTATTACGAAGTGCGTTGAAAGTCAGAATCAATACCAGGTAAGTTTATGTGGAAAAGTATACAAAAATCTACAAATGTCTAGTACATACATTGACCTATCATGGTACGAAAAGACTATATCATGACAGCTCAACTTTTATTGGTTAATTTAAGTCTTATTTACTTTTTGGAAGCTTTCAGTGTACTGGTAATTTTGATAATTGGCAAACACACGATAATTTTAATATTTGGCACACAATGTTATCACAAGCCTGCGAATCTGTATGTTTAATAATATTAAGTCCGCATATTCACTAAACGCACTGATA